AAACCTGGGAAGTGGAACACCTCTGTAAGTGGAACACTTTTCAGAGTCCAAAGACCAAATGACTTAATGTAAATGAACCTCTATACGTGGAACACTTCAAAAGTGGAACACCTTTTAGAGGTACCAAAGATGTTCCACTTAGACAGGTTTCACTGTTCTAATAACATTATTTCAGCGGGTTTCGGCCGCTTGAGCCAAGATTTCACTATGTTACTCTTTGAAATTAGGTTATTGGTATATTGGTTTTGCACGAGTTATTTAATTCGAAGATTTCACTATGTTGCCCTTTGAAATGGGATTATTGGTATATTGGACGGTTTTGCACGAGGTATTAAATTCGAAGATTTCAATATGTTGCCCTTTGAAATGAGGTTATTGTATATTGGTTTTGCACGAGGTATTAAATTCGAAGATTTCACTATGTTGCCCTTTGAAATGAGGTTATTGGTATATTGGTTTTGCACGAGTTATTAAATTCGAAGATTTCACTATGTTGCCCTTTGAAATGAGGTTATTGGTAAATTGGTTTTGCACAAGGTATTAAATTCGAATCCCATCTTTTTGCATTGTATTATTCCTTTATAGCTAGCTTGTCTTATTACCCTTATAGGGTACTTTGGTTAGTTTCACCATACCTTTGTCAAAAATTGGCTTCTTATGATTTTGCAAATTATAAATATAGATCCCATTTGTCAATGTTTCAAATTGAAAAACACGAGACAGCAGTTGAGCATAGATGACTTATAACGAAATCATGTATCCAATAAAATAATACACGTTATTCTTATTAATATGAGCTTGAATATAAAATCCACTCTTTTTAAATACAGGGTGGGCCAAAAAAAACCACCCCCCTAGCCAATATTTCTGATAAATATTCAATTTTTAACATGCACACCAACAATGATATATCATTTTAAAGATAATTTAATTTGCAACAGAATGATAATTATTATATAATAGAACAATTTTCAACAACTCTGACTCGAGATATAACCATTTATGTGACATGGGGGTCAAAAAACACCTTTTCAATTTTCGTCGAATTGTGCGAACAATTGCCTATTTCTACCAAATTTTAGTAAATTACAACATTGTCATGAGTCTTTCATAATTGGATATTATATATTGTTTTCATTCAATTTTTGAACCTTGCATGCTCAATATACATGTGTATGCTTATAAAATTAATCCATTTCTTCTTCAGTCTGTCCAAATATGGCTTTAATAGACTCACCCCGGACCCAGCTTCTGATTTGATTTCTCGCTTAAAACGCGAAAGCCATTGGTATAATTGATGGACCTCTGCAGAAGTACCTTCCAACACCTAATTATTCATTCTTTCAGTATGTCTACACCCCTGATGGGCTAGGGATCTCCATAGACCAACTGTTCTAAATGCCCCAAGTACTATACATGTAATAAAAAGGCTATACTCTATATCAGTAAGCAAGAATAGTGACATTTGCGATAAAAGGCTACTCAAATCGAGATGACATTTTTCTGAAAGGGTAGTGGTGTCCACTCAGTGTTTCCCAAAAGGGAAAGACCATACAGGCCCTGTTTTTTGAACCAGGAGCAAAAATATACTCTGAATGTTAATGACATGAGGTGGTAAAAAAGGACTCCTCAAGAATATAAAAAACATGTGAAAAAAAATTCATTTTCTGATAGAACAGTGCTCCATCACACAGGTCCAATGCTACCCTGGAGTTTTTGGAGATTTCGAAATGTCACCATCTCTAGCCCAGAAAAATGGCTTACTAGCAGTCCAGTTGCCAATAATGTTGATTACCATACCTGGGAGCATTTAGAACAGTTGATATTTAAATATACCCAGCCTATCAGGGATGTAAAGAAACTAAAAGAAAGAATAACTAGCAGTTGAATGGTACTTCCGCATACATCCATCAATTATGCCATCAACCAATGGCTTCCGCGTTGGTCCGTCCGTCCGTCAACATTGGCCGCACAAATTAAAACTGCTATTCGGATTGAGTCATATACACATTCATTTTATGCATCCATAATGCCTATTTGACCTATCATCGCCATTTCCCAAGTTCGCCCGGTTTCCTAGATTTTGACGTCAAAAAGTCAAATTTTCTGTAAATACTAGACACTTTGTTGAATTGGACCTTTCAAATAACTTGTAGTAGTTGCTGTATATGCAACTTATGTTCTCTGAAGATTTCAAAGCTCTTGAAATTACAGCTTTTGGTATTTACACTTTAACATTTGACAAAAAAGTAGGACTTTGTCATTTTCAGGGAACTTTTTCATGTATAAAGTCAATCATCATTGGCTGCAGAAAACACTGTGTGAGCACAGGACCGTGGGTCCTTTTTATGGATTGGTGTGATATTACCAAGTTTCCAGCATTCCGGGAACGGATTGGTCAAAAATATTTTATTGATTAATTTAGACAAGGGAAATGCGAGAGCAGGTGCTGAAAGTTTAAGCATCATATTACTGATCTGATCAGGCCCAGATGCTTTATTAATAATAAGAGACATCAAAGCTATATAGACCTCATCTCTATTTGTTGAAAGTATATCAATAGACGCATTTGTGCGTTTTTGGTCAAGAACAACAGGGTCAAATGATCGCCAATGTAAAAACTTTTAATAAAATGAGCTAAAAAATATTTGCCTTACCAGTCATTACATTTTTGCCATTTTGGTTGACTAAGACAGGAATAGAGCTTAAACGTGTGCCTGTGAAAAATCTTGAGGCAACATTCCAAAATGATTTAGATCCAAATTGTTGGGTTTCCATTTTATTCATCATACGTCTTTCATGCTCATCTTTTGATTAATACAGATGACTTATAAGGAAAACATGTATCCAATAAAATAAAACATTTTCTTTTTATAATAATACAGATGACTTATAAGGAAAACATGTATCCAATAAAATAAAACATTTTCTTTTTATAATAATATAGATGACTTAAAAGGAAATCATGGATCCAATAAAATAAAACATTTCTTTTTATAATAATACAGATGACTTATAAGGAAATCATGTATCCAATAAAATAAAACATTTTCTTTTTATAATAATATAGATGACTTAAAAGGAAATCATGGATCCAATAAAATAAAACATTTCTTTTTATAATAATACAGATGACTTATAAGGAAATCATGTATCCAATAAAATAAAACATTTCTTTTTATAATAATACAGATGACTTATAAGGAAATCATGTATCCAATAAAATAAAACATTTTCTTTTTATAATAATATAGATGACTTAAAAGGAAATCATGGATCCAATAAAATAAAACATTTCTTTTTATAATAATACAGATGACTTATAAGGAAATCATGTATCCAATAAAATAAAACATTTTCTTTTTATAATAATATAGATGACTTAAAAGGAAATCATGGATCCAATAAAATAAAACATTTCTTTTTATAATAATACAGATGACTTATAAGGAAATCATGTATCCAATAAAATAATACATTTTCTTTTTATAATAATACAGATGACTTATAAGGAAATCATGAATCCAATAAAATAAAACATTTCTTTTTATAATAATACAGATGACTTATAAGGAAATCATGTATCTAATAAAATAATACACTTTCTTTTTATAATAATATAGATGACTTAAAAGGAAATCATGGATCCAATAAAATAAAACATTTCTTTTTATAATAATACAGATGACTTATAAGGAAATCATGTATCCAATAAAATAATACATTTTCTTTTTATAATAATACAGATGACTTATAAGGAAATCATGAATCCAATAAAATAAAACATTTCTTTTTATAATAATACAGATGACTTATAAGGAAATCATGTATCCAATAAAATAATACATTTTCTTTTTATAATAATACAGATGACTTAAAAGGAAATCATGGATCCAATAAAATAAAACATTTCTTTTTATAATAATACAGATGACTTATAAGGAAATCATGTATCCAATAAAATAATACATTTTCTTTTTATAATAATACAGATGACTTAAAAGGAAATCATGGATCCAATAAAATAAAACATTTCTTTTTATAATAATACAGATGACTTATAAGGAAATCATGTATCCAATAAAATAATACATTTTCTTTTTATAATAATATAGATGACTTAAAAGGAAATCATGAATCCAATAAAATAAAACATTTTCTTTTTATAATAATATAGATGACTTAAAAGGAAAACATGTATCCAATAAAATAAAACATTTTCTTTTTATAATAATACAGATGACTTATAAGGAAAACATGTATTCAATAAAATAATACATTTTCTTTTTATAATAAAATATATATTTAGTATACACTATACACTATATAGGTATTACAAATTGCTACAGGGTTACAGAACAACTTAGAACATTTCTACATGGAACTGTATTAAATGGTAAAAAGAAATTCCCACAAACATACAGAATTGTAATCGTGATCTACAAAATCCAAATTGTGTACAAGTTGCAGTTTCTGGGTATCATTGATTCCATTGATTGTACGAGTATCACCACGTATCACTCGTATGTCATACAAATATCTCTGCTTTTTAAATTACTCTAAATGTTAACACAGTCATTGGAGGTGTGCATGTAATTGTCAGCAGATATATGAGTTGATAGTTATCTTGTTATCAAAAAAATGATATATTTAGAATATCGGATCATTTTCAGATATATCACTTTTATGAGATGATGTAAATTGTCAAGGACAAAATGATATCACAAAATAGCTGAGATTTGTAACATTTTAATTTACTTGAACTGAAAAAAATTGTTTACCTGCATGTAAATTCAAAAATATTTTGGTTCAAAGTTCTTTGTTTATCACGTACAAATGCGCCTAATACATTGTAAAAGGAACTGTTGGCATGACTCATATGCATCCGATAATCACTTTAGCAAAATATCACACCAATCTATACAATATGAAATATACCACTAATTCGAACATGACTGTATTCACGCCTTCTATAAACTGTAAACAAAGTGAACATTTTTGGCCAGCCCCGGATGTGGTTTGGATTACACAGGCTTAACTGCATATCAATGGGTTTTCTAAAAAAAAGCCCATGGCACAACTATATATATTAAAATCTCTAATACAATTATATGATGTATCTTGTAAACAAGAAAGTCAAAATATATTTTCACTTCCTGTGTGCCATTCTTGATTCCTCAGCTCCACTCTCCTAATTTTGCCACTAACAGTCTTAGGCAGTTCATCCACAAAATCAATCTAGAAGAAGAAGATAACTGTAGCTCAACGTCGTTATATGAATTTAAATATAGCACATTCAGAATATAATCAAATACTTACGTCGATGGAATCAGGCACATAACCAGGCATACATGAGGGTACGCAATTGTCTACTGGTTACATTGCTGGGCATTGATCTAGATACATGTATGTCATTGTGACACCACATGTAGATTCCACTCAAAATCAAACCAACAGACAAATATCAGAAGATCCAAATCCTTTCCAATGGCAATAGCAAGGTTATAAATTAACATAACCATTTCTTGATTAACTTGTTTTGACGCACAAAACATCTCACCTACAGAGTTGTAGCTAGTAAATGAAGGGGGGTACAACATACAAGAAAAATCCTACCTTTCTTGGGTATTTGTAAGGAGCCGTGACCTGTTTTACATGTTCCTGCAGTCCCTTTCTTAATTCATCCTTATCTGCATTCTTGTATTGTTCACTTAATATCACAAAGGCCTTTACAACCTGGAAACATGCATGAAGGTAAAGTTATATGCAATTCTGACACATGAGAGGGTTTATAATGAGAAGCAACATGTATAATTGACCCGGGATAATTGACCTACCAATCTATTACAATATCTCCCAAAGGATTCACAATATGTTATAAATTGGTGAAGTTATTAATGATTCAAAGTGCAAAAATGTTTAAATTCTCCCAAATAATAAGAATGGTAACCATTCTTATAGAAAAATAATACATTATTGTAAAAATCTTTAGTTTTCCTCGAATAAAATATGCACTTTTGTGATTTTTAGAAAATAGACATGACAAGGAATGACATGAGCCAAAAATATTCTAAAATTGAAACGATTTTTGTTTAGCCTGCTCACTATATCTGATTCTCTCTTTAAGTTTTGCTTAAGATTATGATAACCAGTTAGTCATCCTGCTGTGGAACACTGAACAACTAAAGATAATGGTCAAATTCCTGTAAATGTAGTTATTTTCTCCATCATATACATGTATGTACCATATACAAATCTGTTTACTATCGTTCAGTGCAGTTTCTGGTTGCCACCAGTTGAATATCATATTCTTCAGTGGGGTACATAATGTATGTGTATTCACACAGAAACACCATATAAAATCACACTACCCTACCCCATACTGTAGCCTGTATTTCTTTAAAGGGATACAGGCTACATTGATGTTGCAAATGGAGCGAGTATTCTCTATCTTTGTCTATAGGGCTTTTCTGATGATAATAATAGAATGCAAACTGCTCAATGAATCTATACAGTATAATAGAAAACTTGGAATATATGTAAAATCTAGTACACCTTCAAAAATATGGAAATAAACAAGCTTCCTCCATTTACAACTTCACTGTAGCCTGTATCCCTTTTAAAGAAATACAGGCCACATTATAGGGGTAGAGTAGTGTGAAAGAATTGGAAATGTATTATTGTGCAGTTAGGAAATATGAGCAATCAAGCACAAAGCAGGACAGTATAAAATATACATATAAAGCCTACCTCCCCTCTCTGCTTATCTGGACTGCTGACCACAGCAGATTCAGCAACAGATGGATGTTCTATAAGTGCATTCTCAACCTCAAATGGACCAATTCTATACCTGAAAAGAAGAACAATCAACCACTTACATCTGGATTGTGAAATGTTTTGCCATCTTAAAGTACATGTATACCTACTTTTAAAATAACTATTAGAGCTGTACGGAGCCAATTGGATTCTCAAGGCTCATGGGAGCAAACCTGAATTTCACAAAAGAAAACTTTCACCAATCGTTACTTGAAAATGCAATTTTATTGTTTTTGAGAATTGGTGAATTTCATCAAAATAGGCATTCCAAAAATCACAGTTCATATCTCACCCTGCTGAGTTGATGACATCATCAGATCTACCAACAAACCAGAAATAGCCATCATCATCTCGATATGCACGATCACCTGTGATATAATAATCTCCTTTATGTGCTGATGATGTCATTTCTGGATCATCCTACGAATTAAACACAAACAAATAAATAAGAAGAGTTTGTATTATATTAGAAATTAACATACCGTATATCCATTAACCCTTAAAGAGATCTGCCCCCAAGGTTTTTTATAACTTTTTTCATAGTTTGTCTTTTGATTTGAAGCTTTCTAACTTGTATTAAAATTGAATAATGCATGTCTTAGCAAAAAATTGTGACTCTTAAATCCCCCTAAGAGGGAAGTTCGAGATGGTTGAATTTACTGACATGCCCCAATTGTCAGTAGTTTTGACTTGAAATGATCAACTCCTTCGTTCTGAGAATATGAATTTCTTCATTGATAATGGTTCAATATAATTATAAGTAAGCTCAATACTACAGCAAACAATATTACATAGCTCAATTTTGCCAAGTAGATCTAAGATTCCTGTGATATAGTGCTTAGTTCTAGTGCTTACCACATATTTTGTAAAAAGTCCAATAGGTCTATTAGGTTTAACTTTCACTGCAATGTCTCCTTCAGTATTTGGCCCCACTTCCCTGCCACTGTCATCTACAATGGTGGTGTCAAACCATGGAGACGGTTTACCCATTGAGCCTGGTTTGTTTTCTATGCAGCGGAAACTTCCAACAAGTAGGCACTGAAACGGGATTTTATGGTAGCATTGAAATAGTACTTTATTGTAGCACTGAAATAGGATTCTATTGTAGCACTGAAATAGGATTTTATCGTAGCACTTAAGTAGGATTTTATTGTAGCACTGAAATAGAACTCTATTGTAGCGCTGATATAGGATTTTATTGTAGCACTGAAATAGGATTCTATACTAGCATTGAAATAGTATTTTATTATAGCTCTAAAATGGGATTTTATTGTAGCACTATCAAACTTGCCATTATGGTCAAAATTAGATCACATGAGATAGAGATACAGCAATATTCAATTCATTGGTGACGTATGCACATAATTGAATATATATAACTTATATCAGATGCTAAAATTAACTCTCTTGTGACTTAAAAGTCAAAAGTGCAAAAATGACAATGAACAACCTCCATTTTTCGTTTTCCAAAATTCCCCAAATCAGGAAGGGCTTTAGTGTGAATTCCTTGTGAATATTGTGCTGATACTTACAGTTTCTGACTGACCATATCCTTCCCTGATGACCTGCCCTGTACCCTCATACCATTCATCTGTCACCTCAGGGTTCTGGAGCGCAAGATATAACTCTGTAGATATTTTCATACATAAAAAATATCTTACTATACCAATTAATTTATAAATGAAAAAAAATGAAAAAGGAGCTTGAGTGTACCAAATAAAAAAATTTGTATACTAATGTAAATTCTACATTCTTCCTTTAACCGAATTTTTGGGGGTGAACATGATTGACAAAAAGATTTTTGTACAGAGGAATATTTATAGCGACTTTATTTCCATACTTACCAGAGGTTCGCCAGCACTTATTGCATGTCTGAGAGAGTGGAATTTGTATTTCTTGAGATCACTTTGGACTAAAAGCCTGTATGCAGTGGGGGCTGTACAAAATGTTGTTATAGGGTAGGTTTGTAGAGTCTGGAAAAGAAACAAATACATCACATGTATAATATAAACCCATCAACTCAATTTGGATTAGGCATCTTGCACTGGTATCTCAACCTTTAACAATTGGAATGCTTTTAACACATTTATTTTGTCCATATGTCATTTTTGTACAATTCATACTCTAATAGTAATGTAGTCTGGGAGATGGTTAACAAAAAATGATGGAAAAATTCAAAATGGCCACCATTCTGAGAAAAATGAAAATCTCAGTTGAACCCTACCCAAGTTTTCTAAAAACAACAATTCTGAGCATGCATGCCACAGATGCTTTCCTGAAAATATGAACAAAGGTAATGGAACCCTCCAGGATTAATGGTTTATTAGAGAAAATAAATACACTGAAATTGTATCTTAGACCATGATTGGTGTGATTGATTGTTGGATTTACATGTATAATAATACATTTCTTTAGTAAACCATTCCAGTTTGCATTTTGTGCAATGAATTTTTTAATTGGGCGTTATGACTTCCAACTTACATTTAAGGTCTTTTTAACATCGAACTTTGGGGTGTGATGTACAAAAACACAAGCACCTTGTATCCATGGTGCAAAAACATTGCTCCAAGCAGATTTTGCCCAACCTGTATCTGAATTATTCCAGTGTATATCAGTTGGGCAGAGATCTAGCCAAAATCTACAAATGCAGGATGAGAAATAAAATGAAAACAACTGAAAACCAGAGTAAATAAAAAAGTGGAATAAAACAACTCAATCTTTTCTATCTGTAGATTTGCATGTGAAATAAAGTGATGACTGAAAGTACAAAGAGAATAAGACTGAAAAGAATACTGAAAAGAACTGAAGAGAATAAGCATTACAATTTGAAATAATAAAAAAATTGAATGATGAAAAATGGAAGAAAGCTTCCAAAAAAGTAAAGGAAAATAAATAAATAATAGGCCTCTCAAAGATAATCATTAAAGAACTAAAAGAATTATATAAAAGAATCTGAGAAACTACTGGTTAAACAATTTAAGACATGTCAGTTACCTGCCAGTAATGACATGTCCCATTCCATAGCTAGCATGACTATGTTCACACATCTTTGGCAATGCTGTGGTGCCACTCGTGAAGAAGATTGTCATTGGGTCAGAGCTCTTGGTGTCCAGGCACTAAAATAAAGCAGAGTGATATCATTTGGTTTTTCTCTTAGTTATGAGAAACAAAAATAATGTCAGAACATCATGCAGTATGCTGCAAGTTTTTATATGGATTTTGTTCCTGATCTATAAAGACCATTCAGGGTAAGGACCATTAAGGAATTTGACATGCTGTATTTACCCTGTATTTACTATTGACATAGTACTTCAATCCAGGAGTAGAGATTTCTGAAATGCATATTCCCTGTAATAAGAATTTTGACTATATTTTACCTGCTATTACTTTCTACTACTATAATTTCAACAAGGCATTAACATGCAAAATTTTACCTGCCATTTGTTACAGACATAGAACACCAACCACTTGTGGTTGTGACATAACAACTATTACCTCATGGGTCTTATTTGATTGTGCGCAAAGGGAATGAAAGTCCTTCCAGCCAGTCCTGGTTGACACCTCATTCTCCTGATTTTCCATTACAACAACTTTAGCCTCCAAATCTGGGCATTCCTTGGCTATCTGCAAAACATAGTCTGTTGTGAAAAAAATTATTTTCTATTTATCTTTTACACATTTGATGCTAGTGTTTCATTGCCTATATCAACATTGAATGAGGGCTGCAAAAGTTGTATGATCTTCCTAGGTTTTAACAATAACATATATTCTGTCTCTTGGACAGTTAGTCATCGTTTACATGTACAGAAAAACCTGTCCTGTCTATGTTGAACACATTCAATACCTCTTACATGTCTTAAAAGTGTTCCGCTTGGGAGCTTTTTCCCCTAAAGAGGTTCATTAAAATTAAAGGTGGAATGTCGAAAATATTAACAATTGGACATGTTGAACAACTAATATAACAACTAATACACTCTTTTTGTGGCTTGGTTGAATGGCTATGAATCCAAAGTTCCGATGTGCCTCATCAAGAAGACAATAAAGTGACAATTAAAACCATTTAGCTCAGCTTGAATTTTGCTCTCGCAGTCGATCAAAAATGAAACTTCTTTAGTCGATATCGATGTGATTTTTTTCAGGCTCCGGTATTTTGACAAAAGTAAGTTCAGGTCATAGCCATTCTTCAGGGCAGGTTTAAGGCAGCAACAATTTATTTTCGAGATTTTCTAAGGAATTATTCCTGATTTACCGCTATTCCACCTTTAAGTTGGTAATTGGTCTTGGGACTCTGAAAAATATTCCGCTAACAGAGGTGTTAAACTTAATAGGTTTCACTGTATATCAGCATAAGCTTACCAAATACTTTATATGCACAATCACACCCATACATACCTGATCTACTACATGTGAGGTTCTTTCATCTGTGATTAGACATTTAGCATGTGACTGGTTCAGTCTCGTCTTAATGTCTTTTGCTGTCAACTGTGTTGTTCCTGGTATCAAGATGGTCCCTGAAATTTTAGAGAGTTAACAGTAGGCCTATTCATAAATTATATGCTGTCTTATGCAAAATTTCAAAATTGTTAGATAATGAGATTCATCAAAAATCCTTTTGAAAATGCACTCTAAACTGAAGTATGTAGCAAAGGAGTACTAGTATAGTAATTACAGCACAATGTTGCATTGATTTCAATTGGGTTCTTGACATGTAAAGGATTGGAAGATTTCACATCAATTTAGTTGTGCAAATCAAAATATGTACATTGTATTTCATAATTGATTCCTTGACCAGGGACCAAGGTAATACGAGGGTTGTCCAAGAAGTAATGCACTATATGCTCTAATTACTTTATCAATAATTGATATTTTTCCATGAAATTTTCAGTAAATGTTCCTTGGAGACATTTTGATTATTCTGAAAATTTTCATGTTGACTGATAAAACTATATTGATGTTATAATAAAATCAAGTCAAGGTGAGTTTGGGTAGGGTGGGGCAGGTTATACAGTCACGTCAAAAGTAATAAAAAATTGAAAATATGAAAATATTAATCAACAAATACGATTTTGTGTAGCCATAAGAAGTATGCTCAAAAATACATTTTAAGATACTAAATTACTATGAGCACATCCTAGATTCAATGGATGTGCATTGCACAGTGTCCCATTTCACATTTTCTCACAATATTGCCCTTTGCATGTTATGTACTTTTGATGCCTGTCAGGTCAAACACTCTTGGCAATTTCTTCCACTGTGACTTGTGGAGTTTTTGCCTCCCATGTTTGGAGTTGTCATCCAGGGTGAAATCATTGCTTTTAAATCTCTTCCGTCACCTCATAATTGTAGTTCTATCTGGTATATACTCCTTACATACTTTCTTCATGGTAGCATAAGTTTTGCGTGGCTGTGAGTCCAAGTGAAGTATGAAATTAGGCCACCAAACCCAAGGCCTTCTGTTATCAGGTGAAAATTGCAGCCATTTTTTGCAATTTCTTGACTGTGACTGTATATGAATGTGTGACTATTGAAATGTGGTATTATGACATCACAGTTCTAAATGTCATTATTTGTACTTGGTTAACATCATGCTGAATAAATCAAACAATTTCCCAAACATTTTGATCATTTGAAGGAAAGAAATATTAATAAACAACACTTTAGATCTTTTCATAATCAGTAAAATTGGTACCTGCCCCGCCCACCCCTACCCCCATGTTGTTATACCAGCCATATTTAGACTTAATATTAATTTTTGATGCTGAAACTTCAGGATATAATAGATAAGACTTCAATTGTTATATACACAAAAATTCAGCCGAATTGAAGAATATTAAAGAAAGTTAGAGTATATAGTGCATTACTTCTGGGACAACCCTCGTATATAGAATGGCAAAAAAGCATCTTAGCATCCCCCATCCTCTCTTTCTTAATCACCACCTCGCATCAAACACTTGTTCCCCCCCCCCCCAACTCCCATACTCTATCTGAGTTTATAGAAAGAATGGGGGTACAGGGGTCTAATACTAACATACTTTATCCCTTCATAATATTTATATTATGCACCAAGTATTATATGCGCCAAGTATTGTATCTTAAATAACGATTTTAAATGTTATTTTTCATTTCGAATTCCTTGTATTTAAGGATTAAAGATAAAAACTTCAAGATTCATTACCTGTTCGTATACATGCAATATTTAGCAGCCACCACTCAGGTTGTCTTGGCAAGATAACAATTACGCGATCGCCTTTCTCTAGACCAAGTCCATGCTGCAAGGCATTGGCAACTCTAAATGGAACAGAATAACCCATATGCCAGTAGGTAGTTACAAATTTCACCACCAGGTGGCTAATTCGGGTCAGATAACATGGGCATGGCAAGTTCCCTTAAACTTAAATATTCCTTCTAGTAGATCAACTTTCATACTACCCTTAGTTACTATACAAATAAAAATATGTCCAGTAAAACAAAATAGCATCTGTCTAATACTTGTAAAAGAAAAGATATGCATCGCGCTTTTACCGTTATTGGAGTAGATTAGGGTCATGTGACCCAGATATTCTTCATGAAATGTGGGAACTCTATTTATACCGTAAGCAACAAGTCCAAATTAAGATAAAGGAAGCTCATGTTAAGAACCACATTAAGTTGATCACGAGAAATGCATATAAACGCTCTAAAAGCTCTAAAACTTATTGGAAAACGCTGACCATGTTTAATGCTAATGCCGGGTATCCCATACAGATTAAAAACCCCGACGACACTGACACAATATTAACAGACCCCAAGCAAATTTCAGATGCCCTCATTAAGTACTGGGGTAGTGTTGGTAAAGTTAACAAGAACCCTAAACATGTCACACCTTCCCTTGAGGATAGAATTGATGAGTTAAAGTCAATGTCAAATTTTTCAACCGACTCACTTTTATTTTGCGCTTTTGAATTTGATGACATAACCACATGTATTAAAAATTTGAAAAATGGCAAATCTTGTGGAACAGATCAGATACCGAATGAATTTATGAAAAATGGTGGAGTTGCGCTAATGAAACCATTATTTGACCTTTTTAACAAGGTAAGACTATTGGAGCTGATTCCTAAAGAATGGAAAGAAGGCCTATTAAAACCACTGCACAAAAATAATGATATTGAGAATTTAGATAACTTCAGGGGCCTCACAGTTAATTCTAATGTTTATAAAGTTTTCACTTCTATCATGGAAAGTAAATTAAGGTCATTTTGTGAAAAAAGAAATATCTTTGGGGATACACAAGGTGCCTTCAGATCCAACTTGAGATTGGAAAACCATATATTTGCCTTAAAGGGCCTATGTGGCATAAGAAAGGCAAAGAATAAAAAATCTTTTTTGGCTTTTATTGATATTTCCAAGGCTTTCGACGTGATTGATCGGGATATTTTATTTACGAAATTATGGGAAAAAGGGATACAGGGTAAATTTTGGAGACTCCTGAGGAAAACATATGAAGGTATATCTAATAAGGTGGTTTTTGGAAATTTTTCAACTCCATGGTATGACTCAGAAACAGGTTTAAAACAAGGTTGCTGCCTTTCCCCAACATTATTTTCTATTATAATGACCGACTTATTAAGCTCACTTGAAAAGGAAAACATTGGCTTTGACTTTAAAGGTAAAAAAATTCCATCTTTATTTTTCGCCGATGATATAGTGCTTATGGGCGAGTCTGAGCAGCAATTGAATAAACTTTTAAAAGTAACTGACATTTTTGCAGTTGAATGGGGTTTTAAATTTAATTCGAAAAAATCGAAAGTAATGGTTATAGGGCAAAGAATCAATTATGAGAAAAAATGGATATTAGGGGAACATGAATTGACAGAAGTTAAAGTCTACAAGTATTTGGGTATCTATTTTGACCGTTCTTTGAAGGATACTTACCACATTAAAGACACTTTAAAACCCAAGTCAAGAAGAATTCAAAATATGATTTGCTCTACACTGACAAAGCATTGTAATATGAAAAGAATTGATTTTGGCAATACAATGTATAACGGAATGTTTTTGCCTGCAATACTCCATGGTTGTGGAGTAATGTTACTGAATAAGACCACCGAAAAATATCTTAGCACTATGCAATACAAAATGGCTAAGGCCTTAATGCAACTCAAATGCAACCCTGCAAGAGAATCCCTCCTTGGTGACCTTGGGTGGAGACCAATCTGTGATATTATACATAAACGCCAGATTGATTATTTTATTTATTTAAAAAGTTCCTTGAAGAATGGACTCCATAAAGATATTTTCAATTATTTGCTACATGAGTTTAAGCTTGGTCACAAGGCTTCATGGCCTTTTATGGAAAATGTCCACTCAATCCTAACTGAGGTTGGACTTGATGATGTTATATACCGTGACGATACTAACTGGTACACATCTTATTTAAATATTTCAAATGAACAATGGGTAAGATGCTTTAATGAGGCAATATGCGATAAATCATCATTGTCACTATTCAAGACTGTTAAGAACCATACTTTTTTAGAAAATTATCTGAAAACAGGCATGGATTTTTACAGCCAGCATATCAAATTCAGAGCTCGCGCTAAATGTCTGGGCTTGAATACTGATCTTGAAAGGAGGGGACTGTCAGATGGGTTCTGTAGTACTTGCCTCTCAGAAAAAGATACACTTGAACACCGCTTATTTACTTGCCCATCCACAACAACACAACGAAATATGTTTTTTGAAAAGTTTAATAAAGAATGCCCGGATTCAATTGTCAATAGTTTTTTACAACTTTCCATTTCTGAGAAAACACGTTGGATTTTGGGGGATGATGTAGCTATATATTGGGGACAGGACCTAGGTTCTACTTTTGATAAGCTATCAAAAACATTTTTAGTTGATATCAATAAAGAGATATTCAAACATTGATTTTATTCACTTTCACTTTCTGTAATGACAATGAAGATAAAAGTCTATTATCAGTATTGTAATGTATTTTAACAAATATTTTAATGTTTTTTAATGCTGTAATATGTTGTATTTTAATGATATGTCATTCTGCCGCACTGATACTCCTCATGTGCCACTGTTGTAAATAGTGAGAGCAATAAATAATAATAATAATAAAAATTTCACTTTTTTAGATTTAATAAAGGGGTCTATAATTATGTGGAATCTCCCCGACCTAGAAGTCACATTTTCAAAGAAAATTAAATTTTCAAAGTTGTTCAAACACTTTTTGAAACCATATTTCTAGATATAATTTTACATGTAGATTTCAATTAATTTCCAAAAAATAAAACATCCCTTTCACTTAAAGGGGCTACAAAGACTGGAAATGGAATGAGAGTAACTGGCACAATTTTACACTACATTGGTCTTTCATTTCTGGCCTGTTTTATTTCATTTTCCATTGGTTGTTAAAAATCAAATTTTCAAGTACCTCATGGACTTCTCAGATAATTCTCTGAAGTTCCATTTAAGTTGATTGTCTTCATCATCCACCCACCAGAGGGCTGGAATGTGACCTCTTTCACCTTTCTGCAACATCAAATATGACCAGAATCATTTCATTCTATTTTGCAAACTAATAAAACAAAAGGTGAAAAGTGTAAATACGAGATTACAATAGAAAAGTTAATTTCAAAGACAGTTAAAAAAGAAATCATAACTAAGTTTCATCACCCACTTTTATAATGATCATCATAAATTTACATTGGGCATTATGATTTTACCACTCTTTTTTAATAGCAACACAACTCACAAATTTTGATCAACAGTTTCTAGCCATGTTGTCTTGCTTTGTTCATTGTGACCCCTCATACCCTAAAAACCCCTAAACTCGGGAGGTACATAGTGTAGTTGGGTGAGGGGGCCCAAAGACTTCTTCCACTTATTTTGTTACCTTTTCAGCCTCTGCCCATCTGTCAATCACATCTTTAGCAAAGTTAAAATATTCTGGAACATTTATCTTAAAATTCTTCTTTTCGTCTTCATAGTTTGTGAAGTTAGCAGCAGAGCTTACTGTGCAAAGCGTTCTACCATAACCTGTGTGGAGCAGAGCAAAACTTGTTAGTCAAAATAAGAATTTTTTAATAATCATATCTGACTTAACAGAAAGAGAAAAGCTACAGATAAGATGCATGGCCAAGAGTCAAAGATACAAACATCAAAAATTGTATATAAATGCAGGTGTACCTCAAGGGACCATTCTAGGCCCTCTAACATTTTTTGATTTGTAGGGCTACATTATTGTACTATATTAATGTCAACACATCCAATAACTGAGAAAAATGCTTTTTCTGCCATTTCTAAAAATACCATGACTTTATTCTACAGTACATTAGTACAACCAGTTGACAAACATACAAAATGTATAACTTTGACCTACTTTGAACCTGCTTAAGCTGTTTGGGCCAGATCTTCACCAGCTGTATCCAAGTCCTAAGTTGTTTCATGGCAATATCTAATAGAAATAGAAATGATTTAATGTACCGGATTTTCTCGCATATACGCCCATCTAAATTTAGACCCATGGGCCAAAAGTCGAATGTAGTACGCTTATACGCCCATGGGCCTATAAAAAATGACTATTTATTGATTTTTTCAATAAATTCAAGAGTATTTTGTCACTGGCAGATCATTCTCGTTACTTTGTTTCAAAATTAAGTTCAACGCTGTGCCGTAAGTGATGGCAGTGGTGGATCGTTCTGTTGTTACTTTGTTTCAACATTAAGTCCAAGGTTGTAGGTGTCATTTCCTTTATAATTCTTACAAAACATGCGGTAGGACTATAACAGTAGGTACGGTAGTCATCAGCTCTTCTCACCTTTACGCCCACTGGGCCAAAAATCGAAAGTAGTACACTTATACGCCCATGGGCGAAAAATAAGAGGTAAAATAACAGACGAAATTACCCCTTCTTTCAGTTATACGCCCGGGGCTTATATGCGAGAAAATCCAGTACTCTATACATTTGTATAGAATAAGAGCTATCCCCAACACAAACCAATGAAAATCTCCTCAATTCTATTGAAGATTGGCATCCCCAAATCAACAATTATCTCAAACTCGATTACTATCCCCAGCTCAATCCAATTAACTTGAGCTAACTAGCTAACTCATGAGATGACGGCTCTGCGGGAAAATTTTAAATATTGAGGTGTGGGGGTGGTGGTTTCTCCCCTAAAGAAAATTTGAAAATGAGATTGCATTTGAAGCATTCTGGGGCGTTTTGAAATACGAGATTCTGACTAATATAAACTAATAAAATGTAAAATCTAAATTTTGAGAGTATGCCATGGCGTTTCATGCGTATATGACGCTATCCCATTGGTTACGAGACACAGGAATTTGACAAGAGTGTAATACTACCCGGGAATACTACTTGATAAAACGAATATCAACTAAACATACAGAACAGAACTAGTCTATAGAAGACCACAGAGATGAGTGTAGTCCAACAACATTAGACCTAGCCTGGGCCTCGTTTCTTATCTGACATGTCTTATGGCCCCTGCTAGGTCTAACCTCCATGACCATTTTGCCCTTGATGTGTTAATTTAGTCGTTCAGCAGGTTCCGACATGCGGAACTAATTAAACTCCGAAAACATGGTAATATTACATAAAGAATGTGATTCAAGCATGCATACATACCTTATAAATACATACACACCATCCCGTACCCCCCTTAGACCATATTGATGCATAATTACGAAAATATTGGAGACAGGTTTGGAATTTTACGAAAATATCGGTCAACTCCGGTAACATCGAAATTGCAAATCGTATCAGGAATTAACCGTCATTGCGACACTGCATCAACGAACAGTAGGTTTGCAATTAATAACTATTTTGTGTGTATACAAGCGCTATATAAATCAATCAAAGATACCTGCTATCCTCAAAAATAGTTATTTTATCCCGAGTAATCGCGTGATAATTATCAATCTATTTGACAACAATTTCGTTTCAATAGTTTACATTTTAACACGGGACGAACAGACACAATGGCGGACATGCGGAAATGTCATTTTAGAGATTGGTAAGTTTAACCTCATTTTACTTCTATAAATGACCATTTAATACAATAATATTGTGTTTAATCGCTTGATGTTATGTGTTTTTATATTGTTGTCAAGTATCAGTTGCATGTTATCGCGGAAAAATGGTTTCGGTGGATCCAAAACTTGCATCAATGGAAAGAATAGTAAGGAGGTTAAACTCAATAATGGCCCCAAGAAAATTCTTAATAATAAATAACGCCGTTATTGAGTTTAACGACGTTGAACTAAGATGAGTGATGCCCCAACTGATGCACACGGCAGAGAGATGGCTACTAAAGCTGAGATGACAGTAATTACTAACAAAATTAGATGACATATGATATGTACAGTGTATGAATAAACCATACATCCAAAAAGGGGCGTGTCCACATCTATAGTAAACATTTCAGTTGTCTTGAAGTGAAACATATAAATGTAAACTCTATCAATTTGCTGACTGTGATTTATTGACTGCTCGGCATGAGAACAATGGCATAACATATTTAAAAATTTATATGTATCGTGTTTGCAAAGTTGGAGATAACCTTAGCAGCATAGAAAAAGAAAAATACAAACTTCTTCAATTTTTTGTTCAATTTAGGCCAAAGCTTATCTAAATGGCAACATGTATTTTCTACAAAAGAAGAAAATGATATTTGAGCCAAACAATGTGTTATAGTCCAGTATATTAATTTGGTTGCATTTTCGATCAATTACATAAATTATATATATTATGAACATAACTGATTTATCAAATAAAGTAATATATTTTTCAATTGATTTCGATTGAAAAGTTGCCATTTCGATTAGTCTTTAGTGAAAACGAAAGTGAAACAGGAAATACATTTTGAGAAACAGCTGCTTTCTGAACAAATTAATTTCACTGTTTCCAGGAGATTCAGGCGATGTCAGTTAAAAGTCTCACGGCCTGTTTGTTGAATATTTCCGAAGCAAGACGATGGAAAGTTGTCGAGACGGTTGCAAATGCTGCATTGAACTCAAATTCCGCTGGTAAAAATGGGGGAGTGTAAATTATTGATTCAATTTCAATTCTAATTGGGCTGTGTGTCAATCAATCCTAAAATTTAAGGAATCAAGACCACAGCGCAATATATTATGGAAAATACATTTATATTGTTATAGTGTTTATCACCTTTGGCCATTAATAATCATGCCATTCATTCATTTTATTCAGGAATCTCAAAATGAAAGCCCATGCTAAAACTAACTGCCTCACTCCAAAAAAGATTGTCTGTGTAGTCCATAGATTAAGGCACACATATGTTTGTCTTTTCAGGGGAATGCAAAGCTGCAGTGTTGAACATTTTCAATGACATAGACTACAACAGGTCAGTCATCACCATAGTTGCCCCATTGACCCAGCTCATTGAAAGTGTCACAAATGCCTGTGTTGTGGCATTTCAACATATCAACCTGGCAGATCATTCTGGGGGTCATCCAAGGCTGGGTGCAGTTGACCTAATACCAATACATCCCATCAGCGAAGATGTAACTTTACAAGACTGTGGCAAAGCAGCACAAGGTAGAAAATGCAATTGGGCATGTTTGGTTCTAAATATTTCTGATATCCATGGCAATTTCCACAAAGTTAAGCCACCTGTCAACTTTATAGTAATTCAGTCACTAGTTATATCTTAAAATATTGTCTACTTGTTAAAGTCATTTCTGCCACCAAGTATTAAAATTGACTCGACTTACTTTCAGAAATAGCAAAGGAGTTATCCTCAAAAGTTCCAGGATCATCGTATTTCCTATTTGGCCATGCTGACCATCTTGACAGAGGCTTGGTAAAGAGGAGAAAAGAGTTAAAATGGTTCTCAGGAAAATCCAAGATGGATTACTCAACGCTAGAGTCTGACATTGGATGTAGTCCAACATCTAGATTTGGATTAACAGGTACATGCAGGACAGGACAGTACACAATATGCTTTAAAATGAATTATATACAAATTTTATTGACAATTGTATAATTTAATACATGATTACATTACTAATACTATACAGGTATAATATGTCTGAATGTTGCAGATAATGTATTGTAATAGTCTACTATAATTATAAAGGGTGCTTGTTTTATCAATATCAATGATCACCTTATTTTTTTACTGAGATGTCAGCCTCGGTGAGCTCTGCCAGTATCAAGATAAAGTATACTGTACAATCTCAAAATTGTATAAGAGATTCGCCTTGGTTCTGGAGATTCTTTAAACTACATATAGGCCTACTCCCATTTTAGAAAGAGTTTAACCCCAATGGACATTATACTGCTATAATTGAATTTTGCCTTCTACTTTAGCACTTAGCCTAGCATTAATTCATAATTCTGCTCTGTTCATTCATTTCCCCAAAATCCTAAATTATTTCATATGTTAATTTACAGTGATAAATTGCTACAATTACTTTCTTAATTTTCAGGTATAGGAGCCATTCCTTATGTTATGAACTGCAATGTTACTATGGAATCTACAGATTTAAAACTTGGCCGACATATTGCGAAAAAAATCCGAGGGTCAACTCCAGGGGGCCTCCCAGGCGTACAAACGATGGCATTCCCCCATGAAGGAAACATTGAAATAGCATGCAATGTTGAAAGCTTTAATTCTGAAAAACTACCCCTGGGTCAAAATATGACAAACTTTGTGAAAACATTTGGAGGGTGCTTTTATACATCAGGGAAGACAATCCAAGAGAGAGTTAAAGATTTGGCCTCAAAGGAAAGTGTGAGAGTTCATGATGCAGCAATTATAGGATTTAGGCCAGAGGAAGCAAGGGAACTTGCTATAGAGGCTCTAAACTCAGGGAGATATGATTACTGGAAATATAGGACACAAAGACAAATGTGATGGTTAAGTGTTAAAGTAGATCAACTGAAACCAAAATAAATATTACAAGTATCATCAACATCATGATTTTTATACAAAATAAAAGTGAAAGTTTGAAACTTTTTCCAACATTGATATTTACAGAAAATTCTGAATTCTGATTCTGAATGTCATAATTTTGGGTATATTTTAGGATAATATTTTACGAATAAGAGATTGACCCTTATGCCTCAGTCATATTTTATCTACGGCAGCCATACGGTGACTGTAGTTTCCGAAATCAAGAGAAACATGCAGCATAAGATATAGGGATAAGGGATAAATGTGACTGAGGATTTAGACGTATGCAGTCAGAGTATATACTGTATATTAACAATTTCATTTTCACAAGCAGAATTAAATTGGTTTTATCAACAAGTACAGGGTGATCACTAAATTCTGGGAATTTATCTGTCATTTCATTATTTTTCAACCAATTTACTTGAAATATTCAAGGTAAATGGGGATTGTGATTTTGGGTTGGATTAAATAGTCTCATTGTCATCTGATGTCACAATGGATAATTATTGTTACTATAGCAACATGACAAATGGCGTAGCGGGTCAAGTAAAATAAAAATGAATCCAAATTTTGCTTGATCCAAAGGTATGGTTAATAAATACCTATTTGGTGGACATATTTCTGTGATTTTCTATATTTTCAAATATTTCTAATACTTTAGTTTCTAAAGTAACATCTGTATTGTTATATAAGAGTGTACTTTGCTCTATTTTCGTATCTTTCATCAGCATCTCAAAGTCACAATCATGACTAAAAATAGCGGGGAGTTATCTTCCATTATGTCTATGCTCCTTCCCATTACTCGAGCTGCCCATACTACTCTCGAAGAATTAGGGTTCACACAAGTTATTACTGCCCCATATTCACCAGACAATATTCACCAGATGAAGCACCACTAGACTTCACTACAGTTTGGGTGCTAAAGCATTATATGAGAGGTCATAAGTTTGATTCCGATAAGGGATTGATTTCAACGACTTGAGCAAAACTTCAAGGGATACCAAAGGGAGGACTGGAACACATCTTTATGGACTAAGTTTGTCAACAACGCATGTGCGTCCAGGCTAATGGAAACAATCATAAATGAAATGATCCTCTCAGCAATGAAGAATACTTCTGAATAAATGACTTCAAGAGTACTGTTCTGTCTCTAGTACAAGTAGTTTGAAGCAACCATCTAGGCAAGATGAATATGTTTTGGCAGGAAATTTTCAAATTAACATCAGTCAAAATTTCCTGACCCGCGAACCACTTTTACTTTTTTTGTAATTGCAATAAAATAAATTGTAGATGTGATATGTATATGAAACATTGCTTGTCAATCCAGAATTATACAATGTACACCTGCTGAAAATTTCAACTCAAATGGTTGAGAAATCTTGAAATGGCAGACCAATTCCCAGAACTTAATGATCACCCTGTATTTATTATTTACTTTTTCAAATATTTATGAATTGTTATTAATGTTAACATAGGAATTTTTCCACAATTAGTTAGTTAGCATAGAATGCTAACTAAGATTTATACTTGGGAAGATTATGAAAGAATAACCATTGTTTTAATATTACTGTACTGTCATTGTCCATACAACTTTGCAAGTTCCTCCAATAAAATTCATTGTGTCATTGTCAGCTGTAAATTAATCCATTCTGTCCGATCTATCTGTCCAATCCAATCCAATCTATGCAGGATACTGCATAGCATATGTTAATTGATGTTCAACAGTTCAACTATTTGTGAATAGTCTGAGTATCCATGAATAGACATTCCATGTTGAAATTTTAGAGATGTTTTTGCCCATAGTCATATCATTTGCTTGAGGGTCTCTGGGATATCAGAATGTACTACTTCATTGAGGAGCAGTAGAAGTTCAGGTGCCTGAAATAAAGAATTAATAATCACTAAATAAGCCAACAAACTGCTTTATGTCAACTTTATTCACTTCCAAAAGAGATAAAAGAAAGTCCATGATCTAGTAATTGTTTTATATTATCAAATCCTTCCTCATATCATCAAATATATTATCAAATCCTTCCTCATATCATCAAATATATTATCAAATCCTCCCTCATATCATCAAATATATTATCAAATCTTCCCTCATATATCAAATATATTATCAAATCTTCCCTCATATATCAAATATATTATCACATTTTCCCTCACCTATCAAATATATTATCAAATCTTCCCTCATATATCAAATATATTATCAAATCCTCCCTTATATTATCAAATATATTATCAAATCTTCCCTCATATATCAAATATATTATCAAATCCTCCCTCATATCATCAAATATATATTATCATATCTTCCCTCATATATCAAATATATTATCAAATCTTACCTCATATACCAAATATATTATCAAATCCTATCCCCATCCTACATAATGCTTACTTTGCAAAACTTAGTAATATGTCTCTCTCACTTGTATTTTTCATAAAGTCATTCCAGATTGCTATATAATGTATAAGACTCACCTGGGTGCACTTTTTCAATAGCCTTGGGAGTTCAGCCCTTAGTAAGTCAAAGGTTGTTGCATAGCAGCCATTGTGAGATCCAAGCCGTATCAGAAAGGCTTTGTAGGACATGTACACAATTCCTTGTTCAGGAATGTTCACAACTGCACTTGGATATTTCTAAAATAAAATGATCAATATATATATTTTATACCCTTGAGCTGTTCATGTAAGAAATTAAACAAGCAAGATGACTGCTGATTTAGATTTATATCTCGATTTTGTGAGTACAAGAAAGTATGCCCATAGGAAATACCTGACAAGGCATTATAATATGTAACAAAATGTCACCACCTAGTTGCTCGCAATATTATGAGTTCAATCTTATATATTAAATATAAATTGGTCAATTTGAAGCAAGTTGAAAAAAGACCTTTTTTGACCCTGAGAAGGTCAATAAATAAGAACTTCTAAGAATTTATAGATGACTTTGAAAAAAAGATTGGTCAATTTGAAGAAAGATGAAAAAGATCTTTTTGACCTTAAGAAGGTCATCGAAGGTCAAATCTTTTTTGACTTTGAGAATGTCATTGAAGGTCAAATCTATAGCCAGATTTGAACTTTGGAGAACATGTAGATGATTTTGAAAAATAAATTTGTCATTTTGAAGCATTTTGACCTTGAGCAGGTCATTGAAGTTCAAATCTATAGCCAGATGTGAACTTTTGAGAATTTGTAGATGATTTGGAAAAAAAGAAATTGGTCAATTTGAAGCAAGTTGAAAAAATACCTTTTTGGCCTTAAAAAGGTCATTGAAGGTCAAATCTAAAGTCAGATTTGAACTTCTGATAACTTGTAGATGATTTTGAAAGAAAGATTTGGACAATTTGAAGCAAGTTGAAAAGACCTTTTTGACCTTTTTTGACCACCATCCGTCAAAAAAGCGGACACCATAACAATATGTCACCACTTTTTGATGGTGACATAATAAATTGTACAATTTGTATACAGATACTACATGTAGTATATAGCCTGGTTCAGACCTCAAGGACCTAAGTTCACTTCGAGATGTTCAAGAATAGTAGTGTACTGTCAGCCAATCATCAATACAAGTGTGTCAATTGCAATACTTATTTAGCGTACAATATTTAATATAATGTATGAGTTAATACATTGAGGTACCTACATGTTTCCTTAGTGTCTGAATGTGTCTGTAACAGTTAATCCCACAGCTCTTTATAACACCTAAAAGAACATAAAATGTATATGAGTGTATAGTGTGTATACTACAAGATTTGTAGTATTTCCAATACACACATTTTTCCTTCATGAGTAGGGTTACTCATATTGGACAATGGTTACCATAGTAAACATAACTTTATGAATATGCTGAATGTCAATAAGTGTAGACAGTATAGGTATATATCTTCCTTATATTGAGATGTGTTTCAATAAAACAATAGGACAAAGATTGCAGCAAAAATAGCAAAACTTATTGAATGGTAGTTTCACGGATAAAATGTGTGAAGGGTCATTTTACAATTTTCAAATAAAAACTGATGTGAAGATATCTTAAGTTGTCTTGAATATTTTTGAGCAATTCAGGAATGTCCCCAAAATTTAAATAAAAATATATTTATGAAAGAAACTAACCTGCAAAATATTGTGGATTGTTCTGTGCCCGCAATTTGGCAGGGAGCTTCATTATGTAGAAGTGAAACTTACAGGCAGTCAGGGTGAATATATGGTAGATAGTCTGCAGACCAGTCCTCAGTGAGTTCACCTGAAAGATAACATTAGAGGTGTTTTCTCATTAGCATGCTTCAATCTTAATTTCACCTGTTTTAATCAAAACATTTCCATAATTTATGACAGGTTTTCAATACATGTGACATGTGACGGTGACATGTACTTCATAGGTAGGTAAAACATATGTGTAATAAGTAATCTTATTATGTCACCACCACAAGTGGTGACATATTGTCATAGTCTTGGTAGATGGTGTTCGGCGTCTGTAGCAAATGGTGTCTGTAACAAATGAAGGCATTTGTAACAAATGGCAGGTGGGGACATTTCTTATATTAATGCCTTGTTTTATAACTTTATTTTAAACCCCTTTGCAATCATTTGACTTGATTTTGACTTAAAGAGAGCTTGATACCAGGTCGATCAATAAGTTCTGAGAATTTCCCTCTAAAATCAAGAGTTTTGTGACTTTTTGAATGAAATTTTCACAGAATATGTAGAATGTATTCAGCAATTAGTGTACCAAGTTTTTCTTACTTTCCTTTAATTGGACCAAAAATATGGTTACTATGGTAACTTGTGTTTTGGGTAGGCGGGGCAAATAATTTTAATGTCAGAAGTAAAGCGCATAAAATGTAAATAAATCATTTATAAATCAATTATAAATATAGTTCTGAGCTGCTTCCTGCATTAGGGTTGGTCATATAGTCCTAGTAAGATGTCAAGGGGGTTCAATTAAGATGTTCAAAGTAATTTCCTCGGTTCTTAATACACCTCTCCTGGCGTTGAACCAACTGGCGGAACAAGTGCCTAAATCCATCTGGGAAACGTTTTTTCAGGGCATTTTGCACGGCATTGTGGAGGTCTGTAAAGTTCGCATATCTGAATCCTCTCAGCTCATCTTTCATCGGTCCAAACACACCAAAATCACAGATCGCAACATCTGGTGAATAGGGAGCATGGGGTAGTTGTTCCATCTGAAGGTCATTAGATACAGTGCTTTTGACAATCAAAGATGTGTGGGACGGGGCATTGTCGTGATGATTAAGTAATGACGACAGCTCTGTTTCAGGGCGTTTTCGTGCAATAGCCCGATGACGTTTCAATACCTGAAAAAAGAAGTGATTTTTAGGGCACCATTCCCTCACTAGATGTATTTAAACTACATGTACATTCAAGCTGAACTACCTAGACTAGAGTGAACATAAATTCTCTGGCAAGACATGATCCTGAAGGGCATCAATAGCCACACACTAACTTACCATAGCATAATAGTCTTTGTTTATGGTTTGTCCTTCAGCGACTGCATGCACCAGGAGTACCCCGTAGATATCCAGGAAAATGATGAACATAACCTTGCCATCTCTACGATTGAGTTTAGCAATGGTCGTCATAGGGGTAGGGGAGTCCTTTGTTCTCCATCCACTTGTGGCCCTCTTGCCTTCTGGCTCATAATATGAAACATAAACTTCATCAGCAGTAATAATGCGCTCCAAGAAAGCCTCCCCCTCTGCTTGGTATCGTCTGAGGAAGTCTTGTGCAACATCGACCCGGCGCTGCTTCTGGTCCATGGTTAGATCTTTTGGCACCCATTTAGAACACACAAGCTTCATATGGAGCTTCTCTTTCAGTATGTACTGTGTCCTTCCATAGCTGAAGTTTACTTTTTCACTTAACTCCCTTATTGTTATTCGCCTGTCTTCATCAAGGACAGTCTTGAGCTTCATTATATTTGTGGGCTTTGTAACAGATAGTGGCCTTCCTGACCTTGCTTCATCTTTTACACTGGTTCTCCCACTTTGGAATTTGCCATACCATCTGTAAATAGTTTTAGTGGATATCCTGCCTGGAAAGGCTACCAACATCTCCTTGAGTGTTTCTTGTTTACTTTTGCCACCAAGCACGCAAAATCGTATGGCACTGCGCATCTGTATTGACATTTCCTCATTTTCTTCCAAATTTTTAGCATCTTTTGGAGCGGCCATTTTGGCAGGGTACATTGAGGTTGTGGAATTATGATGTAATAGTAATATTATGTAATTTGTCCTGAATTATGATGTCATATTAAATTGTTACCATAGTGATGGTTATAAAAACAACAAAATCCTCATTGAAATCCAATGCTTTGGTTGAAACATAAGATTGTTGCTTGATGTTAAAAAAATTTATTTACGTTAAAAATACTTGCCCCGCCTACCCAAAACACGAGTTACCATGGTAACCATAATTTTGGCCCAATAGGTGGAAAGTGCATTTAACTTCTTACACTAATTGCTGAATTCATATTACATGTTCTGTGAAAATTTCAAATAAAAATTCACAAAACTCTTGATTTTAGAGGAAAATTCTCAGAACTTATTGATCGACCTGGTACATGATACTGGTACACTGTGTATTGTATCAGTACATTGCACATACAAAATTTTTGATCTGTAACTTACCCGCTGATCTAACAGCAACATGTGGCACCTGGTCTTCATTCCACTGCAATAATAAACACATACACAATAGGCTATTTGAAACATTAAACAGAGGAGTGAGTCATCCCAAGCTCTACTTCGGAGTGTAGGCAGAAATAAAAAATGAACTATTAAGAATGAACTATACTTGGGATTTGGGTTCTAGTCTATTAGGATGAAAAAGAAGGTTTTTGGAAGTCTTGATATTAGATGCAGAATCCCAATCCATGATTTAAACAGGGATGGAGATTATGTTATTAACTTACAAAAGCAGCTTTCTCTTTAAACTTTCCCCAGGCTTGTTTGAGAGGTCAACTGTGATTGTGTCAGACAATGAGACATTGTTGTATCTTGTAAAATCAATTGTGACTTCAAGACTTTCTGTGTTCAGATTTAAGCCACACCAAGATATGTGTCCTGAAAATATAGAAACGACTTGTTTAAACAACATACCATATATGGTCAAATGCAAATACTAGTAAGACTTTTAGATGACTAAATTTGTATTATCAGTGAATCGAGACTTTAACTCCAAAATTAAATATTTGTCAAAAACAATGTGAAATATTTGGTGAAACCTGCAGAAACAGATTTTCCTTACATTACAAATTCATCTGAACATATCTTTGGGGTCAAATAATGCCTAAAGCATCAGCCCTCCACAATCATGTATTTTATATGTAATTTATGAATTTATTATGCAAATAAAAACTACATATAAAAATATGACTCTACATATTATACTCTTTCTTACCTCTGACTGAGCCGATGTTAGTAGAAGTCTTAGCAGAGTTCATATAACAATTGTAATCAGCAAATCCTACAATTTAAAAACAACACTGGTCAATGATTGTTCAATGGCCCCTCTGCACTAATTGTTGCACCTGTAACGATTATGTGATACCTACCCAGAATATTTGACTATTCAGGACAATATATATCAAAAAGTCAATCCATGCTGTACCTTTAGTCATTGAGTCAAGGAATTGTTGCGCTTTAGACAATTCAGGAGTGACGTATAAGAAGTCATCCACCTGCCGAAGCAACAGCTCTCCTGGGCCAACTGATAGGTGGCTCTGTTCCATGTGAGCGTAATAGATGTTACATAACAGTGTAGAGATAATTGAACCTTGGCTGATTCCACATTGCTGATTGTAGTATTGCCTCCCGATCTAAAGAATAGAATATTTATTATATATTAATGTTGACTAGAAAAATGGCAGAGTAGTACATACATGTACTAAGAAAAAAATATGACTCGTCCGGAGTGTTGAACAAGCTCAGCTAGGCACTGATGCCATAGCCATGAGGTTGAGTTTGAGACGCATATCAATACTTTGTATTTTCAATCAAATCTTAAATAAGTAATCCATTTTGACAGCCATTTTAGATTTTCTTTCAAATATGTATATGGCAAAAATGTGAAAAATTGACTAGCATTTCAAAAACAAAGCCAAAACTATACATGCATTAAAACCAGCAATGGGATAACAGTATGAAATACATAAAAGTGAAATACAGGGAGAAAAATTAAAAGTCAAAAAGCATTTTTGCATAGACCCTTGCAAAGCAGTCTTAGGTCATTCCTCAAATGAAAAACTAGATCAAAGGTACAGTAACACCTGTCTTAAGTGGGACACCTTTGGTACATCTAACAAGTGTTCCACTTCTAGAGGTGTTCCACTTAACAGGTTTCACTGTACATGAATTTCATGCTTCTTTACCTGAAGTGTATTGCATGACAGATGGCACTGCAGTGTGTACAACAACTCATCTCTTGACACATGTCTGTAAATAACCTGCAAATAGCGACAACAATTTAAACGTTTGTGACATACCCCCCCCCCCCACACACACACACATTCTTTCAACCTTTTTAAATAGCTTTAACCTTAAGACTTAAATTATGTTAAACCTTCTTTACCCCCCTATCACACCAAACTAGTTCTTACCCGTTCTTGCCAGTCCTACGAAAACGTCGTAAAATGGGCTCAATCTGGCTGTGGTCGGGAAATATGTCTGAAATAATTAGCTTTTTCGTTCTTAAACAGTCTTCAATACGTCCATCTCGTTCGCAGTTCGTTCAGGTCGCACCACGTCGGTGTGCAACGTCGTAGAACGCATCCCTTAGTCTAGAAGGTCAACATGACCTGATTACAGAACGGTATGGTCGCCATCGAATTTTGAATCGATTCAAAATTCTAAAATCACATTCTCGTCTGAAAACGTTCATAAAGTTCGTAAATAGACCGTAGAAAGTTGCAGCTACGTTCATTCCGTTCGCACACAGTTTAAAACCAGTTTTTAAGAACGCAGTGGCAACTTGTTTGGTGTGATAGCTATATTTTTGCTAACTCGTTCATAAGCAGTGTTAAATACGTTCTTAATCAGTTTAAACCCGTTTGCAATTAGTTCTACCTCGTTCTCAACACGTCCTCAGACAGTTCAACTCGTTGTTAAAACGTCCCTAGTAGGATTGAAGTACGACAGTTCCGTTCGTAGTACGTCCAGCTCGTCGTTAGTACGTTGTCACTCGTTCTAATTGTAGAGCGTGACGACCACGAGAACATTTTGAGCATTGTCTAAGTTCTAGAGGACCTACCCGTTCGAGTACGTTTGATGAAGTTTGTAAATAGATCCCAAACGGTTCTTACTAGGTCCAGTCCGTTCGTACACAGTTGAAGCCCGTTTTCGAGAACGTAGTGAGAACTAGTTTGGTGTGATAGTAGGGTTAATTACAGAATTACTATTCCAAAATATTGCAAATATAAACAGAATTATGAGTGTTACAAAATACTGATCTGTGTACCTTGTCACAAAATATGACATCATTTTTCAGTTTTTCATGTTGGACCTGGTGCTTCACAAACTTTGGGAATGGTTTGAACCCTGTGAGTGGTGTGATGGTCTCCTTCAATGTCTTTTGGGCCTTCGTGGTGATTGTGAAGTAACTACGTATAATGAACTCAGACCCCATCTATTAACAAAAAGTAAACCATTCTAAACAGGTTACACTGTATGTATAGGAAAATATTTTATGAAGACAAATCAACTTACCTCATTTGTTTAAGGATCAAGTTAGTACGTTGTAGTATCAAGGTAAGATAGTGGTCCTGACAATGATGATTCTTAGATTTCGACAAAACTGCCATATATTTGTTCTAAATGACTTAAATGATGTTTAATTGTCCACTACAGTATAAGGTGAAAGTCTTATATACAATATACAATATAAATGTGCATTTCTACCTTGAGTAGAATCTGGGATAGAATACCCAACAGTTTCTTCTGGTAGATGGTGTCATAGCAATCCATTATATCCATGGCAACAAAGTATAAAGTTCTGCAATGTATACATGTATCATATCATAATATAAAGTGTGACATATTAAGAACAATGGGTAAAATGTATTTGATCAGTTTAATTTTTTACTGAAGTATCCATTAAACACACCTGTTGTCATGGTTTTGTTGTCTGTTGCTAAGGAACTCTACCCAGGCTCTGTAGATGTCATCTAAGCCAAATACACCACTGCCAAATACAATTGGATTTGATCTCTAAAACACACATTTAAGCATTAAAAGCAAGGTGGTCATTTTGAAATAAAATAAAATCAAGATGGAATACAAGAAAAATTGGTTTTTATCTGCAATAAATTAAGTTTAAAGGCAGAATCTGATCTACAGGGGGTGACAAAATTACAAGCAACATGTACGACGTATAATTGACCTACCAATCTATTCCTTACAATATCAAATACAATATCTCCCAAAATATTCACAATTTGTTATAAATTGGTGAAGTTATTAATGATTTAAAGGGCAAAAATGAGTGAAAAATATTTAAATTCTCCCAAATAATAAGAATTGTAACCATTCTTATAGAAAAATAATACATTATTGTAAAATTCTTTAGTTTTCCTGGAATAAAGTATGCTTGATCAAAAAACGTTTTACTCAAATTGTTTTCAGAAACAAGCAATAAAACAATGAGATAATATTCTTACCTTGATGTAATGCAACAATAGCAGAAGATCTGATAGCTTTTCATTAACAGAATTTCCCTGAAAGAATAAAGTAGGCCTAAAGTAAAACAATAAAACTTATTGAGAAAACTTATTAAGGTCATTGATGTGATTGTGATTTCTGAAATTATTTCAGACAGAAATCCATTCAAGCCTCAAATATCCACACTAATTCAGTAATTTCAATTTATTGACGTTTACTTCATTCATTACCTTTTCTTTCTATTTCTAACAGTTAACATATCTCTGATCTACAGTGTATGTACATGTATCTGTTTCATTGTTTCATTGTAGTGAGACCTTATGTTGGCAACTGGTCTGAGAGAGCTAAGTTTAGGCACAAACCAGTTAACATCTCTGATCTAAGTAGATGTACCTGTTTCATTGTTGCTGATCTGTAGCGAGACCTCATGTTAGCGATAGGTCTGAGGGAGCTAAGTTTTGGCACAAACCTCAAGGGGGAAACTCCAAGAGTTTCTCCTGACCCCAACATCTTTTCCACCTCAACTTTTTCCAAACTTTTCAGTAAACCATTCTTTTTAAATCCTAAATAAAACACAGAAACAATATAATTGAAAGGATCTAGTTTTCATATAATTCTTAAAGGCCCACTTCGCGTATTTTCAACGTTTTTGGGCAAAATAAAGGCTTACATTTGAATTTCATAGTATGTCCATTGTATTGATAAGAACCTTATCTTTCATTTGACACCAACAACAGCTCAAATGGACCACATCAAAGCTTACAATAAATTATCAAAAAAATATTTTCAATCTGTCAAGCTTTATATATCAAGTTTTTATCAATGCCATTGAAAGATGGCAGAGTTGTTTGTATTACATGATACATTCATTTTTATAGAAGTGTCGCCATTTTTTAAATCAACAGTAACCTAAAACATGCACTTAGTCTAACATGTGCATGAATGTCCAATGATCTCTGAACTTCAAATGCCTTTTTCTATGTGAATTGTTTTTTCTTTTCTTGGTTCAATATTAAAGCAAATCAATTTTTGTGTCATATTTAAGCGAGTGTGTGAATAACATGTTTCAATGATTTTTTTCTTGATTTTTTCTTCTAAATTAAGTATAGTGGGGCTTTAATATGGATACATCAATCAAATTATCAAGTATACAGTATGCTTTATTTTTTGTTAGTGTTACAGGTTTTAAGAGTTTGATACTCAAAATTTTGAAAATTCTATCAGAAGTGGGTTTATTTATTTAGTGTGTCTATTTCTCAAAAATCAGCAATGTACTAAATTGGGAAATTTTATATTCTATCCAGTCAACTGAGTAGACTGTATACCTTCATTTACAAATTGCATATCCCAATTCACAGAATGTGTACCTTGATTTACAGATTTACAGATTGTATACCTCCATTCAGACTGAACACCTCCATTTAAGGACCATACACTTCTATCTACAGACTATATACCTCCAGACCATATATCTCCATTTAAACTGAATACCTACATCTAAAGACTGTATACCTCCATCTACAGACTATATACCTCCAGACTGTATACTTCCATTCACAGACTGTAAACCTCAATTCACAGACTGTTTACTAATACCTCGATTCACATACTGTATACCTCCATTTAAAGACCGTACACCTCCATCTATAGACTATATTTCTCCATTCAGACTGTATACCTCCATTTAAAGACTGCATACCTCCATTTACAGACTGTATACCTCCATTTACAGACTATATACCTCCATCTACAGACTGTATACCTCCATCTATAGACTATATATCTCCATTCAGACTGTATACCTCCATTTAAAGACTGCATACCTCCATTTACAGACTGTATACCTCCATCTACAGACTATATACCTCCATCTACAGACTATATACCTCCATCTACAGACTGTATACCTCCATCTATAGACTATATATCTCCATTCAGACTGTATACCTCCATTTAAAGACTGCATACCTCCATTTACAGACTGTATACCTCCATCTACAGACTATATACCTCCATCTACAGACTATATACCTCCATCTACAGACTGTATACCTCCATCTATAGACTATATATCTCCATTCAGACTATATACCTCCATTTAAAGACCGTATACCTCCATTTACAGACTATATACCTCCATCTACAGACTGTATACCTCCATCTATAGACTATATATCTCCATTCAGACTGTATACCTCCATTTAAAGACTGCATACCTCCATTTACAGACTGCATACCTCCATTCTCAGACTGTATACCTCCATCTACAGACTATATATCACCATTCAGACTGTATACTAATCATTTATGTTCGGTTGAGAGTAATGAATTAGAACATAAATATTTTCTATTGTGTACTTGTAAACTCGGTTACCAATCAGATTGGCGTGTAGTTTCATACATGTGTTTGTTTCTGAGTGAGCGAGTTGTATTGTTATTGTGGTAGATTGCTGGATATTTAGGATCATTCTGGCTTTGGTCGCCTATGCATGAACACTTCACAGAATAAAACTGTTAACAAATGCCGAGGGGTAATTCCATACCTTTCCTAATTGTTAGGTTTTAATGGTGTGAAGGACCCCAAAATCAATCGGTATTTTCATTTTTCATAAACTATGTAAGAATATTCACACCCTTTTTTGTAAATATAAATCCGATGCAACAATCTGTGTTATATAAAAATTGTACAACACTTTTCTCAAATAAACTTAACTGTTTTGTGCATTCCATTTATACATTTATTGTACTTAGTATATGCATTCCATGTGTACTTATATTGTACTTATCCTTCCCATTCATTTACATACGAATAAAGCGACCGCAAGCCATTTGCTTATTCTTAAGATGATGTCATGTTATTTTGTAACGAGGTGTAAAGTATGGTATATAACTCCATTTACAGACTGCATACCTCCATTTAAAGACTGTATACCTCCATTTACAGACTGTATACCTCTATCTACAGACTATATACCTCCGTCTACAGACTGTATACCTCCATCTACAGACTGTATACCTCCATGTACAGACTGTATACCTCCATCTACAGACTGTATACCTCCATGTACAGACTGTATACCTCCATCTACAGACTATATACCTCCATTTACAGACTGCATACCTCCATCTACAGACTATATACCTCCGTCTACAGACTGTATACCTCCATCTACAGACTGTATACCTCCATGTACAGACTGTATACCTCCATGTACAGACTGTATACCTCCATCTACAGACTATATACCTCCATCTACAGACTGTATACCTCCATCTACAGACTATTGCTATTTTGCATTGCAATGGAGGTACAAGTGTATCATTTACCCAGTCATCTTTAAGGTCAATAAAAGCAAGTTGTAAACTTACTTTTAATAGTGATTGCCCTCATAAGTTTCCATAGTGACTTTCTGAAGTAAAATACTCTGTTTTTGTAAGCACTGCTCTCTGTGATATAAAAGAAACCCTAAAATACATAGAAAGTGTAAATACAGAAACATTGTTTTAATACACAATGCACAAGTAAACAAACTGTTGTTGATCAATTGGACACCAGGTCTCTGCTAAAGATTTAATAAAAACATAAATTTAACTGACCCTCAGTACAGGAAATATAAACTGTTCCATAAGCCATGTCAGGACTTTCCCCATGTATTCTTCCTTCCTCTTGTGAGCAGCCACCCTCGAAAGCCACAATACCTTAGTCACCTGAAACATACACGTCCATGTCATGCATATACTTGACAATCAAATAAACCGTCAAAAATGAATACTCAATATGTAGCTTGACATGGATATTTAAATAAAATGAATTTTTAGCAAAATGACTATGTTAAACTAATATAAATAGGTACAAAGTGTTGATAGAATTTTCCAGAGAACATTTTTCATCATTTACTCTAAGCACCATAAAATGGCATTCAAAATGCTTTATACCTGCATATGGTTCATCAGCTGGCCCAGGCAGAGTTTCTCATAGCGACCAAGTTGAATGAGTTGTCTCACATCTTATCAGTAAAGGAAATGATTTTAGTAAAATGTACTTGAATAATTCTGGCTTGCTCAAGTTACCTCATTATATTTGTAGATATAAAATGACCAATGGTAGTATCAATATTCATTCAAGATTGTTTTCGATTTAAAGTATTTGAAAATTAATCTATTTTTGTTTTTAACTCATGGCTTGCTCTTTTAATCATAACTGGTGTACAATGCCTGTAATGTTTTACAAAGGATACTTTTGATGAACATATTTCTATTGGAGGTACAGCCAAAAAGCCTCAGTGGTATTATATTCATCACTATTGTCCGCAAGTAGAGATAGACCTGTAATCAAAAATATACAAATGCTGGCTGTATAGGGACGAAAACATACAAATGCTAGCTATATAGGGATCTTTTTTGGTACGATCAATTCATATGATTTCAACAAAACCATTGTCTGTCTCTGTTTAGTTGAACTTAGACAAAATTGTAAGTTACAACAGTAACAAAAAATCTCACCAGAGGTTTAGGTCATGCATAGCAGTTAATAAAATAGAGATGAAGCTGGAAGTTTATTAGATCATTTTGCATATATCTAAGCATTTTAGGTTTCATGATACCAATATTCACAAGTTATCTAAAACAGAAAGTCAGACATTTTTACATGCTATCTACATAAGGCACTAATCTTTCACAGTGCTGTCCCAAATATGCATGTGTTCACTGCCAATCTCAAACAGCACCGTTTATGAAAGAGTGCTGGACAGCACTTTAAAAACAGTACTGTAAAACGCTGTTTTCTAATTCAGTCCTTTAAAGAGATGTAAAAACAGTAATGTTCTGCGATGTTCAAAAGAGTGCTGTTAGAACTGTGCTGTACAATGCAGTGCTGGAATTGCACTGTTCAATACTGTTTACAGCAGTTGATGCTGCGGATTGGGGTTGTATACTGTATACTGCTTTGATATAATTGACTTTACCTGTTGCTGGGAGGTATGATACTGAAGAAGTTGCTCAACTTTCCCTGGTTTTCCATTCCGCCATTGCTTACTGGGGCAGAAATGCTCCAACAGGGCCCTGTATCTACAGCACCTGTGCAACTTTAGTGCGTCATCAAGAATCTCTTCAAGGCTGATGAAATCAGGGGATTTAATAGGGGAGGTGGAGAGCTCCTCTATGTTGCCTCCTAAAAGGGTACTACCAATGTGTGCCTGCATGATAAAGTCCAACAATTCCCGACCATTGTCTGACTTAGTCATGGCATCTGAAAAATATTAAATGTGCATGCTATGTAGGCCACTGTAGTGAATAACAGTGTTCTACATTCTAATGTTCATAGAGCCAATATTAAGAAGAACAGAGATGGAAAAGACATGGCTCACTCTGATGGTTCTCTAAACAATTTCATTTTATTGTCAAAATCAAATTTGACACACCACAGATTTAAGTGAGAACTAATCATTCATCAGATCACCAAAGAAAGAACTAAGATGTTAATTTCACGTTCCCTTTGAGCCAACTTTGAGCATAAAGTATTATAGAAGTGTCACTTTGGAGCAACTTTGGGGCAAAAGTGAAATTTACTTACAGTTATTAGGGAGATTTTCCCTCAAGCATTTTGTGTGAAAAAGACTTGATCTTTGCAGATCCTGATGATAACTGTATGGTGAACCAGGAATGTCCTTGAATACATTCTTCTTCTTGGTCCTCTTCCTTCTTCTCTTAGGGGGATTAGGTAGTGATTTGTCACAATTAGGTAGTGATTTGTCACAATTAGGTAGTGATTTGTCACAACTGAGAAGTGTTTGGCCACCACATGGCATTTGTTGGCTAACATGTAGGGATTTGTCACAATTAGGTAGTGCTTGGCCACTATGTAGGGATTTGTCACAATTAGGTAGTGATTTGTCACAATTAGGTAGTGATTTGTCACAACTGGGTAGTGTTTGGCCACCACATAGCATTTGTTGGCTACCATGTAGGGATTTGTCACAATTAGGTAGTGCTTGGCCACTATGTAGGGATTTGTCACAATTAGGTAGTGATTTGTCACAATTAGGTAGTGATTTGTCACAACTGGGTAGTGTTTGGCCACCACATAGCATTTGTTGGCTACCATGTAGGGATATGTCACAATTAGGTGGTGCTTTGCCACCATGTAGGGATTTGTCACAATCATGTAGTGTTTCTTCACAATTAGACTGTGTTTGCCCAACATGTAGCATTTGTTCACCTTTAGATAATGTTTGGACACAATAGGGTAGTGTTTGTTCATGATTAGGTAGTATTTGATCACAATCAAATTTTCTTCTCTTTGAGTTTTGTTTAAAGGATTTTCCCTCAGTTGAGTCTATTCTTTTTCTTTTGATAGGAGCAGTTTTCTTTTTAGCCATCTTCGTTGTCTTCCTTACACTTTCATTCTTTCCTTTGTTCCAGTTATGGTTTCTAACCCTTGATCCTACATGTACCAACTCATGAATGGGAAACCCTGAAAAACATAGACTCAAGGGTAATTGAAGTTTATTTTCTGTCACAATAACAGTTTTTGAGACAATAAAATTTGATGCAATGTTGTAATTGAGTATGGTTTAATTTGTTTACCATACAGAAAGTATAACTAACTATTTTCTGAATTCAAATACAATTTGTATTGATTGCTACGGTAGTTTTAAACAAAATCATCAATTAATCTAGGTTTACAATGCACCCCTTTTGGAGCAACTACTGTACCTCTTTCATTATTAACAAGAATTAATACCTCATTAAAAGATATTGATAAAATACAATAACCAGTAATTTCAATTACCTGTTAGTTGTATGTAAGCCTTGGGAGCAACTCTATAAAATATACTGACTGTTTCAAGGATATCTCCCATAACTTGGTCGCCAATCCTGAAGTGCAAATAAATTAAATACAAGAACACAAATGTGTACAAAATGTCCCCACCAATGGGTGATCACATGAAATGGTTATCCTGAAAATGAGTAGACAAGACTTTACCAACACAATTTTAATTGATCCGTCACACAGTTAACTAGAAAACATGTAAACAAGACTTTACAGACAAGATTTTAGGATGGAAAATCCAAAATGGCTGCCTTGACATTTACCCAGAATGTCAAAAAACTAATCTGTTCCTAGATTTTCAAACTAAGAATCATCCCTGAAAATATGACATTGATCTACCAAATGGTTCACCTGAAAACGCGTAGACAAGACTTTACAGACAAGATTTTAGGACAGAAAATCCAAAATGGCTGCCATGACATTTACACAGAATGCCAAAAAACTAATCAGATGTAGATTTCCACACTAAGAATCATCCCTGAAAATTTGAAATTGATCTACCAAACGGTTCACCTAAAAACGCGTAGACAAGACTTTACAGGCAAGATTTTAAGACGGAAAATCCAAAATGGCTGCCTTGACATTTATCCAGAATGCCAAAAAACTAATCAGATCTAGATTTTCATACTAAGAATCATCCCTAAAAATTTGAAATTGATCTACAGAACGGTTCACCTGGAAATGCATAGACAAGACTTTACAGCTAAGATTTTAGGACGGAAAATCCAAAATGGCTGCCTTGACATTTACCCAGAATGCCAAAAAACAAATCAGATCTAGATTTTTATACTAAGAATCATCCCTGAAAATTTGAAATTGATCCACCAAACGGTTCACCTGAAAACACGTAGACAAGACTTCACAGACAAGATTTTAGGACGGAAAAATCCAAAATGGCCGACAATAAAAAAGTGATTATGTGTTTTTGCTGATTTCTTCTTACAAAATTATCACATATTACTACTGTTAACAATAACATAGGCTTTTACAACAAAGTACACCTGAAATTATTTATAAAGCTACTAAATAGTTAAAGTATGAAAACTCAAAAACACCATTCAATATGATACAAAGTATTATCGTGCGCTAACTTTTCTTAAGACATTCAAAATGGCTGACATGACTGAGCTAACAGGTCCAAAACCTAATCAGATCTAGAATGAAGTGAGCTGAACAAGATGTTAAAGTTTTAAAAGCAACTGTGAAGCCGTTTTTCTTAAAGTTTGCAGACAAGGATTTTAGCATTTGACTTCAAAATGGCCGACAGGAAGTAGGTATCGAGTTAAAATTTTTTCATCCACATCTGTATGCACTCATAAGTTATCCCTGAAAATTTGAATGTGATATCTGTAGCGGTTTTGGAGAAAACTCCCGGACGTACGGACAGACGGACGGACAGACGGACGGACGGACGGACGGACGGACAGACGGACGCGCCTAGGCCGACAATATGGCCCCACACTATGTGGTGGGGACATAAAAAGCAGAACAATACATGAGCGAACAAATCAGTCTCAAATATCTCATGATATCTCCAGAAACAAAAGAGCACTGACCTGTCAAATTGGACAAAGTTTGATCAGAGTTTACATCAGAGATTACATCTTAAAAAAATTTTCAGAGAAAACTCATTTTTGTTCCAATGAAGCAAACCACAAGACTTGCTTGTAAAAAAACAGTTATTTTTGAGTTCCGTTAATATATACTTGATTGTGTTTTTCTGTAGTTATTCAACCAGTTGATAAAACAAATATTGGCTTGCACTATTGTTCCATCTGCGATACTAAATTGTTTATCCCAAACCTCTCATGTAGCGTTGTCCAAGGTTTTGACAGCAGAATGGACACTTGAGAATTGGGGTATGTACTCATCAGTGGAGTCCCACATTCTATGAGATCTGAACTGGATTGAACCTGAAATAAATTAAACATATAAGAAACACCTGATTCATGTTATCGCATGAAATGGGAGAAATAGATGTGAGATACACTCTTCTAAATTGTTCATCCATCACAAATAAATTGTGAATGGCTTAATAGCACATCTACACTCTACAAGACATAGAGTATAAAAGTTACTAAGTTTTGGAAAATAACCATGATTAGCAATGATATGAGCCAAAAAAAATTGGGCAATGTTTAAATTTTCTTCCCCTTAAATCGACTCACCAGCCTATATCCATGTGAAATGATGTTGGCATCAGAGGGACCCTTGCTGCAGAGTTTCTGAAACAAAAATCATGAAAATGGTTCATTAAATCAAAAGTTATTCACAATTAAAATGGTAAAAGTTATTGAGAACCTCAGTTTGAAAAACTGCCATTATCATATGGAAATCTACAGACCATAGAATCAGATTTACTTATAATGTATAAGTTAAGTCATAAATATAGATAAATCAATGCTGTTATATGATAATAATTATCATATCCAAATTGACTGATTAACATTTACCTGTATTACTCTCATAAGAACATCATTCAGATTGGTATGCTGACTATGGTGTGGATTGGACTTGACATTGTCAATGTTGTAAGCCACTATTGTGTTCTTAAACATATTTTTATACCTGCATGTATAAATAAAATAAAAAGATTTAAAAATTAAAATACAAACTGCTACTTGCTTGCAATTTAAAGTTTAAAAAACTGTAATCATTTGTTACAAATGCCAAATACAGATAGATGCTGACACTAAATGCGGGATGCATGCTACATGTAGTTAAGTGACAAAAAGGTGAATACATGTATAACTAAATGTCATCAGTTCTTGAAAGTTAAATAATAGAGAAAAATTCAAAACCAATTTTGCATTAGACCTCTTTTTCATTCTTCAGCACTGATATATTTTGCACCCCTTAACTCTCAGATCCACAAACACTTATATTTATTAAAATATTCTCATTGAGTGAACAATGATTAAGTTTGTTCTTTAGGCACATCTTCACCATAAAGAAATGAGGACCAATAGAAATATACCTTGGATTATCTCCATGTTGAATCAAAGCATCTTTAATGGCACCATCAGAGAGCTTAACGTTAAGGTAGTCCTTAAGCACATGAACATTCTTGTAGATTTTTTCCAGTATATCCATCTTTGCATCATTTGTTGTACATGTGTGTACATGTACAAAGGTCTCTACATGTTTCTTAGTCGTGGGTTGTTGAAAGGGTTGATCAGAATTTATAAGTGGTTCTACAATTACAGCAGAGTAGTGAAAAGTGCCCTTTCAAATCATGGCACTTTTGTAAAAGTTCTGCTAAAGCTATACTAGCCATACAACAATGGGACATGTTTGGACATCAAGGGAGTTATTGAGTAAAATATTATCATGGGACATGAAGGGACAAGTTCGGACATTCCCATAGGACATCAGGGGAGATTGTCCCTTGTTGTCCCTTTTTGACCCGGGACATTGTCCGACGCTGTCCAATTTTGTCCTTATATGTCCCATGAAATGAATGAACATGTTTCAAGGGACATTACTAGACAAATGACGGCCATTTCATCACGTGATGATCATATGCCCACTTTCTGACAAAATGTCGCTATATTCCAGGCATCATCGAACAAAATAGGACAACGTGGGACATTGTCCCATGATGTTCAGGGGACAAGAGCAGACAAGTGGGGACAAAATTGATGAAGTCAAACAATGGCCCATTGGTGTACATGGCTAGTTTAAGTAGACAGGTGGTGAATATTACATACATTTCTAATGTGTCATGACCATTTAGTGGACTTTAGTTGTTGATGAAATTGCAAGGAAGACTATAAGGGAGCATCTCAAAAGATCAATGCCAGAAAATTAACTGTATTTGTTAGGGGAGGGGGTAAAACCTTTAGTTAGCTTACTGACATTGAATAATTATAATTATTATAGTGAGACGGAGGAAATCAACATTTCTCAAACGCAGTTATGAGGGGGAGGGAGGGGGTCACATATTAGCTGTTCATATAAAGTTAGTAATCCAACATTGAACTTTTGAGAATCTCCCAAAACTTGTCATAATTTGTCGAAATTGTGGATGGGCGATAATATAGTCATTTTGTCTTTTAAAGTTTTAAAACTCGGTAAAACGTGGATATTCTCTGCAATGTAGAATTAGGAGTCTTAGCTTTCCAAATGCATGACATTAAAATACTATAGTATTTTCTCAGTGATGTAAAATGGCCAGAAGAAAGAAAAATGTGGAAAGATTCAAAAATAAAATTTCTTACCGGAAGTCACACACTGAACGAAATCTCTGTTTCTAATCCAAGTGCATATTCCCGGGTATTAATGGAAAGTTCAATTCAATAAACGGGATATACAGAATATTCCTGACTGGTGAGGCCATACAATTAAAAACAACCTGAGTAAAATTGGTCGTGCATGAACAATAGGGCTTTTTCCAAAAGAATGTAGGCCTAACAATATACATCGTATTCACTTCAACCCGAGAAATGGAGGGTTATTCCGCGGTTATTTCCATTTGATTATGAAATGTTCAAAATGAGTTGATAAAATAAAAATGTTCAATTGTTCAGTCTGGGATTTGCTAATCCATGGACAGAGCTGCTATTTTTGGCCGTCATATTCGAATCGCCTTCTTGTCCCCTTTTTCTCTAACATTATAAATATGATCATGACATCAGTAACTGCTGGGGCAAGCAATAGTCCTTCATTTACTTCATCTTCCTGATGAGAGGAGAAAACTAAACAATAAAATGAACCTTGAACCAACAAATATAATACTGTAGGCCAATTATATGTAGGGTTATCAATTAAATTAATTTAGCTGATTGAGGGATGTTTTAGTAAGTCGTTAAAACTACTAGTATCCCTTTAATTAGGCTAATTAAATTTATTGTGATAATTAGTTAAATTCAGAATTAATGGTGGCTTTGTATAAAAAACCTCGTACCCACGTACGTGGGTCTTAACACAGTCTTTGAAGGGTGCAGTTTTTTAAAGATTATCATTCATTCTCAGTTTATGCTTAATATAGAGTAAATTGTGATAATTTTCTTTTTATGAAGCGGGGAAGTCAAAACATTACTAATAGAAATCAAAGTAAGCATGAGAAGATCATCATAAAATCGGATCCACGGCAAAATTTGAATTGAAATATTCACACACGGAATATGTCAAAATCGTTTGATCTCGTCCAAGAAGCAATATTTTGTCACTTGTCTCTCCCAGAATTCCCTTAACATTTTTGCAAAACTGGCTTTTTATGGCTAGACAGTTGACAGATCCATAAATAAAGGCATATGGGTGCATTGATTCATCTATATTATTCAACATAAACTAAGATTTAATAACTTCTAATAATCTTACTGAACCCTTCAAAGACTGCATCATGTCCCACGTACGTGGGTAGGTGGGTGCGAGGTAGGAGGTTTTTTTATACAAAGCCTTAATGGTTGCTATGGAACCCACGGACGTCAAGTAAGTTTCTGGCGAAAGCCGGAGCATAGATTATTTAAGAGGACTGGAAACAAGAATGACCTACCTTTTTATTTCCCGAATCTCGCCTGAAATTAGCTCATCTTGGTGACTGTAACCTGTATATCTGTATTAATAGAGTCTCTTTGTATCGCATCTGCCTCAATTTTAAAGTTTTATTGGTATTTTTAATATTTCACTGTTTTTGTGTACTGGTACGATTGGGCCAAGCAAATGACAGCTGACCTGTTCAAAGTACTTTTAGTACTAATTATCGCAAATGACAATGATTTTGGAAACAATATTATACTAAATAGATTACCAAGTATCTAAGGTAAGTAAAACTAGATGAACAACTGAGCCAATCGTGATAAATAGGCCAACACGAGTTGGCAGATTTGAAATAGACTGCCATCTTGTTTCCAGTCCTCTTTAGAAACTTACTTGACGTCCGTGATGGAACCAATGCTGACGTTCTTTAACACAGAAAAGTCAAAGTGTCATTTTCAGTTTGCCTTTGTCTCGTTTTGCCCCCGTCTCGCCTGTGAACTGCGCAAGAAAAATGAACTCGGATAGAAGAAGGGATGGGCACTTTGAGCTGGCAGGCAATTTATCAAAGAAATACTTTGTTCTCGATTTTGATTAATATTTTTTTTTCATTTGGTAGCTATAGCTAAGGTCAGGGTTCTCTGTGAATGTAGACAGTCTTTCCCCCTTCAAGAGCAACACAACAGCCATTGATGATTTGTTACCATTCGATTTTATATTACTAGTATTTGAAACTACTATATAAACAATCATGACGTAGATCGGGATGATCTGCTGATCTATTCGTAATCATCATCTAAATCAGAGTCAGAGTCAGAATATGAAGGCCAATCACATGTGCTAAGTTCCTCATTGAAGACGAGACCATAATAGCAAATCCGTTGTAATAATTGGGCGTTCGGTGTTCCTATGTATTGACACTCATAGTACTGTTCTGCATTCTGGGGATCTGCGAACTTCTGGCCTTCCTCTTTGCATTTCGAAGTTAAGCCTGAAACGAAATGTTGCACATTTTCTAGTGTCATTTGTTGAAAACATTGTTTGTTGAGAAAAATATTATTAAATGGATTCCTTCCCAAATATTATAGATCATCATCTAGTAACCAAGGCCATTGGATAGTTTAATAAACCGCCAATGAATAATGGATTACTTCAACTTTAATTGATTTGTGTACAGTGCATGTATTTATAGTTTCAACATGTTACGTGTTTCAATAAACGTATCGTACATGTCGTATACTTGCACACGTATTCTATACTCACCGGTTGGAAGATCACTCGGGTAGACTAGATAGTCTTTTAAATCATCATCAGATTCCTCCTCGGTGTTATCACTTATGTAATCAAAATCATCGGCATCGTCATTCTCATCCGCAGACCCCTCTTCTATGTCGTCTTCTACAGCCCCCGATCCCTCATCTATCGTGGTTTCTGGGATTACAGGCGGGGGATTTAAGATATCCTTAATCTGGTTCAGTAATGGATATTTAAGCCTGTTTCGTTGGAATAACCCGGTGAAGTCGTCTAAATCTATTGCCCATACCATAACACCACCCAAGCGTTGCTCCTTCAGGTATTTCATCTGAAAAATTACCAGAACTCAGCAATGTCTTCATGTTTGAACTCAATAAGTGGTATCTTTGAACTGTTATAACTTGTCTCGGAATTACTCTAGTGGGTGATGTACCAAGTCGGAAAGACAGAACTATTGTCGCAACTACTATAACTGTATAATGCCGATCACAATGACACACATACAAATCATCGAATCACGATGCATACAAGGAATCATCGTGTCATATAAGGGAGGTAAAGTTTCATAAGTTTCACGTTTTAAAAAAAATTATGTAAACATGTAAAATTGCTATACACTCACGTACAGGTTCTCTTTAAAACGTGTAACGTAACCTCCCTAATATTGGAAATAAAGAACTCGCCCTCAGTTCTAGATGGCCCAAGGAATTAACTTGTCAGATCTCCCGAATACATAAAAATAAGGTTCAGCTTAGTCGTATATCACCCGGGAACATCAAGGCATTGCGCCCCCTCCCATTCACTTTTCAACTCAACAACGATGGAGTAGGTAGGTAGGCAGTTCTAGAAACGTATTTGCAAATCGACCAAAGATACGTAGAATCGTGTAAGAACCTTGAGTGGAATGCTCCTTGTATCATCAAAGCCGACCCATTGGTTGTGAAGGTTACCATAACACGATTGTTGTTCTTCATCCAATCCGCCTACCCAATTAGTATGACCCTTATAGACACAGATCTGAAAAATATGAACGTAGAAAGGTCGAACCGTGATGAAGGTACTGAGAGACATCCTTCATTCAAAGGACTTTCATTTATTTCTCAGTTTTGGGAAGAAGTGAAATAGAGATTGGGCGTGGGAATAGAACCGACGATGTATTCTCGTTTGCACGTTGATTTAATTCCATTGCTTCCATACATATCACATAGATCAACGTCAACAATCCTAGCTATCTTAGTGAACATCAATTGATTCGAATCATGCGAATGGAAGACGAAATGTATCAAATGTATCTGGAATAAACAATATTCATTTGAGACTGAATTTTCCTCATGTACCTCATAATAAGCCAAAAAGCCTTTCTCTCTTGTGTAACGTCCTTTCACCCCTGGTCCTCGTGCAGGGTGGCCAATATCCGCGTAGCGACTGTCATGAAGAGTAAAAGTTCGTCCATATAGAGGAACTCCCATGTTAATCTTCTCTGCTGGAACACCATTGGACAAATAATATTGTATCACCCAATCCTAGAATACAAAGAATAGAATGAGACTATTTTATACACGGGTGCTTATCCTGCATCAATCAATCCCTTGTGACCTCCGCACACCTGACATCTACCAGGGAATGGAGGTGGGGATTCAGAGACCTGATGCCTGAATAGTGCTAATTTTATGCATTTTGCTTACTGTGTTAAGTGTATCATTCGCCACCGTAGGATCTGCATATAGCGGACTATTTATACCAGTAACTTTAGACCAACTTCCATGTAGATCAAACGTCATGACATTTAGAAAATCAAGATACCTGAAATTGACAAAATAATTATGTTACATACATTTACAATTTGGGCAATAAGTGATTAGTAATGGATTTGCTGAAGTGAGGATTTCCATGTTAATAAAAGTAAAAGAAGCTTGAGGAGGCTCAGTGGATGAGAGTATACAGAATGTAAAAGAAACATATCTAGACAATTAATATTGGGGACTATGGGCTTTCAAACCACCATGGTTTGGAAATGGTGATAGAAAATCGACTACTAAGTACACATTTAAGTATTGCCGAAACTGTAATGTGACAAACTATATCTGACCAACACACATTGAATGAGACGAAATGAAACATTTAATGTGAGAAACTAAATCTTCTCACAGTCTGACGAAATGAACATTCATTCCCTAATTCTAGAAATTTCATGTTAATTTTCCTCGTAAGAACTCGAAAACGAAATTGAAAAATTGTGATAGCAGGATAGCGGATACATTTTTAGTTTCTTATCGATATCTTACTCCGCTACTCGGTCTATTTGGTATGCGTTTTCTATATAGTCTTGTCCAGCAGCCATAGCTGCACTCAGAAGTAGTCGTTCACTCCCTGTCTCCATGGCTTCTTTCTCAAATCCATTACGTAGTTCCTAAAATGTGCAACGATGTAAAATTTCTGACATATGAAAATCCTAGATATATTTACGTCAACTGCAACCAAGGGGAACGAACTGACCCATACAAATATCAATATTTCATTTGTGACATTGGTTGGTCTTTGAAGCAATCAGATTACCTTGGATTATATTTAGTACAAGTGAAATCTTCGATACCTGACACAGTATAGTAAATCGTTCCTTGTCTCCTTGAGGACTTCCCCTCGATCCTGGATATTCCCAGTCAAGATCGAGACCGTCAAAGCGATGCTTTCTCAAGTACTTGATACTGGTCTTCACGAAGTATTTAATGGATGTGTTGGAGGCGACCATCTGTGAGAATGGCGAAGACCCCATGTTCCATCCGCCAACAGCTAGGAGGATCTTCAGAGAGGGGTTCACTTCTTTTAAATCGACAATCTTTTCATAGTTACCTGGAATCGGAAGGGTAAGTATTCAATACTACTTGACTGGGATGTGAATTAAGTCAAACATCTGATGACATCGATCTGATGTAATATTTTTATCTTATGTGTTGCTCAATTGTTCGGAGCTAACCATACGCGCGCTATGATCCATTCGTTTTCAAGTAATGACTGAATGGTGCGCCTACCTTTAGACCATTCTGTTGATTCATCATTCCATTCTACTGGGGCGAGTCTTCCCTCAATTAACTTGACAAAAGCATAATTGATATGTGTACAGAGGGTCGGGTCAATATTCTCCGGGAAAAATTTTCCCGGCCTAGGCCGATATTGTGACCAATTTGTGTAATAACACACAATCCTGTGGTTCCTTCGTTCTTCATCTGAAATTCAAAAAATAATGTCAATTAACAATGAAGGGGTATCCACTGAGACATGGCTTACAATAGTTTACACCACCGTTATCAAATATAGCTGTTTTCTGAATAAATCATCGAACATCATCTTAAAGTAACACTCAATGTCGCCAGTGCAAATGGGTTACGAATGTCATTCGACTCATTGCAAACTCTCCCATCTATTATTTTTCAACCATTTCCATTAGTAATTGTTTATCTGATTCGAATTCGTCTATTAATGTCGCATGTTCACATCGTTAGGAAATAGTCCTAGTACGATGCTGCCTACCAATATCAACGTCTGTATCCCCATCACCTTCCATTCGGACATCGCCATCCAGTCCTCGCACGACCAAATTCATGGAACCATAATGCAACAGTGCCAAAAACAGACGATTCAAAAGCTGGAAAAATAATGAAACTAACTAACTTTATTTAATTTACAGATGTAATGTTTGAATATAAACAATGGCACATTGTAGAATCTCTGAATTTTCATTCCGTTTTTTCATGCCAAAAAGTGTAGTGCAGGGTATTTTGATTTTCGTACCTCCAGCGTAATTTCTTTTTTCCTTTGGTTTTTAAACCGCTATAACACTTACCTTTTTGCACGGCGATTTCCTCATTTCAATAAACTATAATTTAGTTTACAGGCAATTTGAATAAGTATCCGAAATCCCTACTTTTATTATCAGATTGTGAATGCTTACCATTGTTTTAATTTAATCCAATATAAATTACTTATCAGCCAGGTTGTAAGTTATGTTGAAACACCAAGTCCATCCACATGATTAGATATAGTAAAATGTTAACTATGTCCTTTGAGGTATTCCTTTCCGTATATGTTGTCAGCGAGTAAATACAGTTTCTTTCCAGTGATTTGCCATGTGATGTCAAAGAGCAGTAATAAATTACAACTTGCGTGTGCTTATCAAGGGTAACTACATAGTGTTTTGTACGAGAAAAATAGCAATTACCGGAGAAACCAATCCCACCGAATAAAACATATTTATCAAATGGATCAGTTTGAATATTACATGACGATAGCAAAATCTGCACTCATGACACGATATCCATTTAAATTCTTCGTGAAAAATGGTGGCCATTTGAATTCACCATCCATCTTCAAGTTTTAATGAGGTGGCAGAATATAAAAGGAGGGCGAGTTGTTTGTAGAATGAATCGGGGGATTTTTTTCATGAATTTCGCTTATGTTTTTCATCCAAAAAACATCAATACACTTTAAAACATTTTGTTTACTTTAAGATTACACCATGTAATCCAAAAATATATTTCTCATTTTCAAAGATAATCCATGGATTAACACCCAGGTATTTTTATTTTTCAATCTTCAGAGGGCTGGGAATCAATGATGCTCAACGCTTTTGAATACGATAAATGCTGTTTTAAATAGGTTTTACGTATGCCAATAATTTCTCAAATTATGTAAGCTGAATGCAAGCCTTAATCCCTAGAATGCCTATCATAATAACATTCTTTTGTCTTGGCCACTTAATATGTTTTGTTGCTGTCTGATCATCAAATCAAATTGTTGTTATTTAAAGATGTCAGTCAAATCTGGTGAAACAGCACAACATTTACCTAAATAGCACGAGTACATATTATGTAACTCATTCATATTATTTCATGCATCAGGTATTAAGGCTTAGGGGATTAACTTTTACACATAAACTGAACTGACAGATGTGTACGCTTACATGTACAACTTCCAGGATTGTAAGAATTCAAAACTTGTTGATAGCCATATTTTCCTGAATGTGACATCGAGATATTATGGCATTTATGAGTGGTAAAACATGAAAAAAGCATTTTCATTTAAAATTAGCATATGATTTGAATTGATGCCAAGAAATGTATTAGTTAACTGTATCCGTTTTACATCCATTGCAGTTGGCTACATTATAAGACAAGGCATTCACATGCAAAATGTCAACACCTGCCATTTGTTACAGACACCAACTGCCAAATGATAAACACCAACTACTGAACACCGTCCACAAAAAAGTTTGAGACCATAACAATATGTCACCACTTGTGGTGGTGACATAAAAATGATCATGGAAAATTGTATTTTTTTTAAAAAGTAGGAACTTCTGAGGTTATTAGAAAATTGGAAGACAAGGAAGGATTCTGGGAAGGATATTAGGGTTATAAATTGCAATAAAACTAAAACAAAACATTCTTTTTCTCAAATATCACAGTGTATATTCAAATCACAAATACGATATCATACAATTACAATAAGGGTCTAGTGCACTTTCCATTATGATATCCCCATGAACAAAATGAATCATTTTTAGGTGTAACATAAAGAATACAATGTCACATAATACTGTGGAAAATATTTGAGCGTTTGGACCCACATGGGCTGAGGTTGAGGTCATTTATTTCAGCAAGGGTGTATTGACTTGCCATTGAATGGGCTCCATTGACTTAACATGTGGATATCATCAATTCCAATAGAGGCCATTGGTTTCTATTGATTTTCACAAAAATACCTAAAATACACTATGACCCTAATCGATTGCAAATTAAATAATTTCACAGTATGACACAAATGGTATATCACAAATATAAAGTTTGCAATCGATTCAGGTCATACTTCAAATTAAAAGATTATACATTTTTTCCATCATTTTTTTCCTACAAAATGGCTATAGAAAAATGCTTCAAAAGCAACTTTTATACTAATGAAATCCCATACAACTTTCTAAATCCAAAGATTATACTGTTATCTTTCATTAATTAATAACATATTTGGATAATATGTTGGGATGTGTAGGATGCAAATGGATTTTGACAGACACAAAAAGACTTCTTGGTTTGGCATCTCTACCCCTGTACACTTTATGATTGAATATTGGCCCTAATAAGTGGCCCATTCATCAATACAGTGCTGAATATAGGTCAACAAGATACTAGTGTACATATAAATGTAATAATACCTATAGCAAGGTCTGAATATTAAACTCCAGCCAAATAGAGCCACCACAATATTTCAACCTTTGTAACCCTTGCAAAAATATTTTCTTGCAATAAAAATGTGAAAATAGCTTAGGGTACTTGTAAGCCAATCTGATTTTAAGGTAGACATGTCTCGATATTTTTCAATAATTTTCATGATTATAAATACCGATAATCAATGAAAGGGACAATATTTTCACATTTGTAATTGTATGTGTATGCATGGTCCATGTGTATGTTACCATAATTATTTATATCCACTTAGAATGTCAAAAATATTGCCCAATTAATAATTATCAGATAATTTATTCATCACCAAAATTAGTAAAAATTATCAACATGCAGAACTACCTTAAAGAGTTTAATCTCTCACTCAGTCACAATCATGTCAACCAAAACTGTACTTGTGTTACATAATATAGGATTATACAGCTTACCATATGTGTGCAATCTATATAGCATCCACACTGACATCTTTACAGAATCATATATAATTTTTGAATATAAACTAACTCAACTCAATAAGGCGAGTACTAAAGAATTTACTTACCTGCCATCTAAAAATCTGCTTGGAACTACCATTCATGCCATTGGATTACCATTGGATTCCTCCAAGAGAATATTCTAGGGATTATGGAATGCATTCAGCTTACATAATTTGAGAAATTATTGGCATACGTAAAACCTATTTAAAACAGCATTTATCATATTCAAAAGCGTTGAGCATCAATGATTCCCAGCCCTCTGAAGTTTGAAAAATAAAAATACCTGGGTGTTAATCCATGGATTATCTTTGAAAACGAGAAATATATTTTTGGATTACATGGTGTAATCTTAAAGTAAACAAAATGTTTTAAAGTGTATTGATGTTTTTTGGATGAAAAACATAAGCGAAATTCATGAAAAAAATCCCCCGATTCATTCTACAAACAACTCGCCCTCCTTTGCACCCTATCCGACGATTGTTTGAGTTATCAAAATTTGTTTTTACAAGGAAAAGGTGTGGCCATTTTGAATTGCCAGGGGTATAGAAAATTCCTTACTGAACAAAAGTCATCAGCACGTATATATAGAGTGACACAAAAAAGTGCCACTCACATCATGTTGAATAACTTTTTCGACCTGGCTTTCTTTTTTGGTAAGTAAAACTAAACTCCATGGAGCAACTCCACAAGAAGTTTCAGATTACTAGCTCAACTAGATACACTCTCACGAGCGTTATAAGATTTTCTCTAAACGTCATGCACACCTGGATTGTGGATTCTATGGGTAAAGCTATTGACAAGCTTAACACATTCCCCCACAGAAATGGCCCTGATCTTTCTTGTGATCTCTATCTTCAGGTGTTCTATGGTTTGGGGGTTTGTAACATACAAATGATCCAAGTACCCCCAGAGATAAAAATCTTGTGGGTTATGTCAGGCGAATGTGGTCAATAATTTTGCAAGTAGAATCCAGAAGTGTGCCTGCAATGGAATGGAATGGATCATATATTGTAACCATCATAAAAGTCCAAATAATTGATCTTGTCATCTGAAACTTCTTGTAGAGTTGCTCAATGAAGTCTAGTCAACAATCCTGACATTTTAGGTAATCCCTGAATAACTTTACCTAAGCAAGGACTATTACTTCTCAAGATAGCAATCTGTAAAAACGTTTTAAGTTTCTTAGACGGTTGCCATGGAAACAGATACTCTAAGATCTGAACATATTTTCATATAACATCTCTAACCCTACTATCACACCAAACTAGTTCTCACTGCGCTCTCGAAAACGGGCTTCAACTGTGTACGAACGGACTGGACGTACTTAGAACCGTTTGGGGTCTATTTACAAACTTCATCGAACGTACTCGAACGGGTAGGTCCTCTAGAACTTAGAACATGCTCAAAATGTTCTCGTGGTCGATACGTTCTGCAATAAGAACGAGTGACAACGTACTAACGACGAGCTGGACGTACTACGAACGGAACCGCCGTAGTTCAATCCTACTAGGGACTTTTTAACAACGAGTTGAACTGTCTGAGGACGTATTTAGAACGAGGTAGAACTAATTGCAAACGGGTTTAAACTGATTAAGAACGTATTTAAGACTGCTTATGAGCGAGTTAGCAAAAATATAGTTATCACACCAAACAAGTTGCCACTGCGTTCTTCAAAACTGGTTTTAAACTGTGTGCGAACGGAATGAACGTAGCTGCAACTTTCGAAGGTCTATTTAAGAACTCCATGAACGTTCTCAGACGGGAAGGTGATTTTAGAATTTTGAATCGATTCGATGGCGACCATACCGTTCTGTAATCAGGTCATGATGACCTTCTAGACTAAGGGACGCGTTATACGACGTTGCACACCGACCTGGTGCGACCTGAACGAACTGCGAATGAGATGGACGTATTGAAGACAGTTTATGAACGAAATAGCTATTTATTTTAGACATATTTCCCGACCATAGCCAGATTGAGCCCGTTTTATGTTTTCGTAGGACTGGCAAGAACGGGTAAGAACTAGTTTGGTGTGATAGGGGGGTTAGGTATTCATTATTAGTAGCCAATCGTTTTAATACAACTTCTTCAGTACATCTCATCGCTCCTTCAACTACTATTATCACAAGTCTCCAAATTCATTGCTATTGGTTGTATCCTAGAATATTGCAAAAAATCTGTTCAAACCATATAAGTGTCTATTATGTGTTAACTGTAGATGTTTCTCATCAATCCTAACGATAGTCTTCAAATTGTTGCAAAATTGGACACATGAAAAGAGGAGACCATCACTAATTTTAGGCTAATATGAAAAAATTGTATGACCATCAGAGATAAATATATCGTCAAGCAATGAACACCATAAATGATCACTTGGAAAACGTTATAAATCATGCACTCTGTTAAGGAATACAGTTCTTGGACAGTTAAAGCTCAACCAAACTTGCTTTGAGCTCGTAAAATTAATTTTAACGTCATCAAAAACTTCTTTCATTAGAGCAATCAAAATTTAACGCCAATTCTCGACAGATTTCTAAGTAATCCTTCACAGTGTTAAAAGTTACAACATTAAATAAGTTTATGCCTAACGAGATATAATCAATGACTACCAAAAAACAAATGGAAAATATGTTTAAAATACAAGTGTCATTTTATTTTATCTTCAAATCTCTGTAGTATTGATATTACATGCAAAACATACATAAGCCATAAAAGTATATTCTTGTGGTTTCTCTTTGTTTATGGTTTATCAACTATTGTTTAAGTTTGGAATAATCATACATTATTAATATTATGCTCAGCTCAAGATAAGTTTGTTTAAGTCCATATCATTGTGTGGGTAACAAATATCTTTTAAAAATTTGTTTTTAATGAAATAAATAATAGCAGACAGCCGACTCTTCTTTAGGAAGGCAAAATGGCTAGAATCCATTTTTAACATCCTAATGTCTCTATTAAAGTCTATTACAAATCAATTCATAATGTTTGCACATACACGCAGTCATCAGTTCATATTGTTCGTTTACTGTCAGCTTCAGTCAATTTATTCCAAGTAGTGCAATTTACTTTGGGAAACTGAAAAGAAATCCTGAAAAAGGCAGCATAAAAATGGCCACATGCCATTACAAAAATACGCTCAAACATAGCACATTCCATAACAAGCGCATCACATTTCACTGAAAAAATTCATTCCCTTACAAACCACATGCCATAGCGAACACGTCATATTCCATTACAAATGGGAAAAATATACAAACCAATCATGTCCCATTTAGAGATTCGCTCTCATTCTATCACAAGCAAATCCAAGAGATTAAAACAATTTTCTATTGCAAACAAAGCACCCATTACAAACATGTCACATTTAAAACAAATGCAATTCAAGAGTTCATAATAATGAATCAGCTAATGCAAAATCGACTGAAAAGTTCATAGATTGAAGTATATTCATGATAGTGAACACCACATAGGGCTAACAAGAAATGTAAATGTTGATAAACATTACAAATATACCAGAAGATCCACATTATCCATGATTTTCACGAGATGCGAGTCAGTACACTTGACATGATGAAAGACTAAATGAATATATCTTGTACAAATAAATAACAAAATAATGAATAAATGAATTAGTTGATTGATTTATCAATAAATCAGTTTAACAATGAAATCAAATCATCCTTCTTCAAAGGACTTCATTTATGCTCAAGAAATCAAATCTACTGTTGGATTTTACAATAAACAAAATATTAATCCGATGTTTGTGAATTTACAATGAGTATTAGATAGTAACAATGAATAAATTAGTCAATCAATCAATGAGTGAATTGGAAATGTTAGTGATTATAACAATGAACAAATTACGTGGATTGATGTATTAAATGAGTGATAGATGCGATAAGTAGATTTACTGAACAAAATGAAGGATAGTCATGAGACTAACCAATAAATAAAACATTCAATTCATTCATTGAAAAATGTTATATATGAATTTCATGATTAAGACGAGGCATAAACATGCAAAATGTCACCAACTGCCATTTGTTACAGACACCGACCACTGTCAACAAAAATTGGAGACTACAACAAATGTCACCACTACTGGTGGTGACATAATAATAATACTAATAAGGATGGAATAATGGAAGGTAATAACCAGTTGAAGGATGGAATAATGGAAACATTGATAACCAGTTGAAGGATGGAATAATGGAAACAGTGATAGCCATACCTTGAGTCCGTGAGGGACTTACCTCTAAAACGCTGAGAATGAGCTTTAGGCATATAGACTACCAGAATAGAGCTATCCTAGCGCCTTGTAAAATAGAAACAAAAACCAAAAATACAAATATTTATTCAAGTGTTTTATATCATTGATTGAAATACATAGTACAAATGTATTTCATAATTTTTTTCTTTCAAAATCGTTTGATATGGAATTATTTTATGCAGAAGAATGTGTTCTTTTTACTGTTCATTTCTTCATCTTCTGAATCAATTAAATAATAACAAATTGCTTTCGTCAATTATATATCCTTGAATATTTAACATTATATATTAAATGATAAATGATGAGTAACAATAATGTGTTACAATAATGAGTTACAATAATCAGTTGCACAATCTGAAATGTTCACCAACATAATGTTGGGGGCTTGATAGGTGCCCAACAACAGACAGACTGTTGTGAATCTCCCACTTAACTGCAAATCTCCTTGTCTCCTTGTTAATGTATAAGTTCCTCATATTGTGTGATTATGTTTCGCATTTGTAGAGCATGGTAATTATTATGTGATTATGTTCGCATTTGTAGAGCATGGTAATTTGCATGCTGTATTTCAATTTGCTTTAATTCGTAAACCGCTCCTTCCAAATTTTACTATGAGATCAATAGCAACATTCACTTGCCTCCTGATCCAGCTGTTTTGTTGTTACCATAGTAACTGTTGTCATGGCACTCCTATCTTGGTTCTGTCACACATATTTTAACTACTGAATATGTAGATATCATCACCAACCTAATGGAAGAGGTTGGGGGCTATGAATGCTTAACCCCAGGCCTGTATAAACTTAATTTTTGAGGGTTTTAGTGAATCAGGGTGTGAGCAGGGTAGGTTGTTCTCCATTGTATCAATTTTAATGCAAAAAATGGTGGATTATAGGGGTTATACATGAATTGATTAGGATGCTCTTCATGTGGAATGTGGTAATTTGATTTACTCATAGCTTAAAATCAAGCTTTTACAGGCCTGGGTATGGAACACATGCTTTCCACAGCCCAACTACAAGGTGACCTTGCAGTGACGTCACTTGCCTGCAGAGTGGCAATGGTGAAGTATATCATCAGCAATCCTTATAAGGGTATATCAAAGCATCACCAACCATTCATTCAATAAGTATACACAAAGCTTGGAACGATCTTGATCTTGCATAAGAGTATGATAAATCTTGAAAGCTTTAATTGAAGAAGTGTTTTCCCAAGATACCTAGCATAATTCTATCAAGAATGACTAATTTTGCAAATAACCAGATTACTACTATGAATTCAAACAAAGAAAGCAAGGTATTATGTTATACTAAACTTTCTCCATCAGATCCGTTTTCAACATTTTCCAAATATTTCCAAACTTACAAAATTACTTTTTAAATTCATAAAGAAGCTGTGTATACTTATGGTTGGGGGCATTTGCCCAACTACAAGACTAATGTCTTGAAGTGACGAGCACTTGCCTGCATTATGTGATATAACAAGCAGTTTCCTTGCTTTAACGGTCACTTTCCTTGTAAAGACGAGCACTTGCCATCATTATGTTGGAGCATTAAAATATGTGTAAACGGTATATGTCCGGCTGTAACACAACCTGATCAATTTAAATTATATTTAGATTTGATGTCACGTAAATCAAATAAAATAGCAAAACAATTTTTTCTAATTCATTGTGCTTTGGCTGAGAGGTATGCTAAACTTTTTTAAAGTCACCAACCTTTAGGCTTTTTGTAAAATTTCTGAAACACATTTTAATCGTTAGTTTAATGTTTATAACTATACTTGTTTCTTATCCTGGACAAAATCTAGATTTTCATATAACGTAACAGCCTCTTAATATAAGGACCATCCAAAAAGTTATAAACTCTAGATTTTTCAAATGTGAAGAAATAAAGTATAAGATGCCAAATCCAGTATTGAATTATGTTGTGCAATTTCAAAATGTGAGTTTGTTCAGAGGATGATCAACTGATGTTTACTAGTAATTAAGAAAACATCTGTCTTTTTGGATGGTCCCTTAGGTTGGGGGCTGAAGGCCCAACTGTGAGCCTTAACGATTCTCACAGTGACACACTTGCCTTATTTTCTCATTTCTAAACATGAATGCCAAAAAGGAGGTTGCTTTATTTGATTTCTTTTGCTGCGAGCAAGGAGGATTGGCTCCCAGAATCGAAGTCGATATTTTCCAACAATGAAAACGCCGAGATGTCGTTATTTTCTGAAATTATAACCGATTATAAATTCAAAATAAACAGTTCAAAAGATTCGAACCAATATCTCAATCATTTCCTGTGAGTTTTGAAATTTTTCGTTAGGAAATAAGACCAAAATTTACGATTCAAATGTTGAAGTGAACAAAATGGCGGCTGTTGGAATTCAAATTTTGTAGCACGACATGCCCATATATGGGACAGAATATCGATGTTGCACTCTGGGAGCCAATCCTCCTTGGCTGCGAGAATGACCTCCTTTTTAGTTATCCAACGCTTGAGTGTTAAATTCAAGATAAACTACAATGTCACCAACCATTCAGGATGGGGGCACGAAGCCCAACTACAAAACGTAGTGACAAATAAATTTATTCTACATTTACAGTTTTATTTCTCAGAATTAATTGATATTTACAAAATAAATTCATGATAACTGGAGCAGTTAACCCTCACCTTTATAGATGGCGTAGTTATTCACGTTAGGATTTAAAATAAAATCTAAAAATAAGTTTCAAATATCATGCACTTTTACTCAGTTAAAGTCCATACCTTTGAGACGCACAAAGCCTGAAATATTCCATATATGGGATATCAGTGTTCAGAGTTCAGACTTAAATTGTAGTCATACCTCTCTAATCTTGGAACTCCTTATATGGTAAAAATTGTGTCATTAAAATCACCTAAAACAATGACTTACTTCAAAATGTTGATCATGCGTCCAATGCTCATAGAAACGAGAAACAAATATGATAGAGTGGTACAGTTCTTGAGCATATGGTCTAGCTTGCAGGTTTTCACTTTTTATTATAGAATATGTTAATTTCAGGAAAATTCAAGAATTTAAGCACCAAAATGTGCACCTCTGAATCAGCCGTGCCAAAGTGGTCATCTCGAAGTGAATTGTCAGGAAGTTGCACCATCTGGTGAAGAAAATCCATCTGGTGAAGAAAATCAGTACCGTGTTGGACCGGACATTAAAGATGGCGGTCTTCCCATCATGTTGCCTTGTTGGTTGCCCATGTTGTTGTAGTTTCCCATTGGTGGACCATTCATACCTATAATATACGTCTGCAGTAGTTAATAACATTTCACGGTGTTTATAATTTCTAAATGGTTCCTAGCAGTTTTTCAAATCAAAATCCTTTGACTCTTCCTTGCCATTTCACCATTTCAGAATTCAATAACATTTTTTGCCCGATTTTTATTTCCTCTGGAAAAGTTCATGACATTTCTGGACACTCGGATATTAAATATTTTCTTTATAAAATCAAACAGGAAATAAACATGACAGTATGTCACCACCTAGTTGATCATATTACAGCGGTGGCGGTAGGCATATATTTTTGTGAGTCATCATGACTCAGGTAGTTTCAAAAAAGTGAGTCACAAGAAAAAAAGTTGAGTCAAAGCTATAAAAGTGTTTTTCTTGAGTAAAAATGCATACAAAATGTAGAAACCACATACAAAATCTATTTTTTGATTTTGTGCATACCTTTTATTGTACTCTTATAGCACATTAACAACTAACAATTAATTAATTAGGCAATTGCAAGAAAAATGACACTATTAATCATCTGATTATCTGGTCCAGCGAGTCATGGGTGTGAATGGAGTCGGAGAGGAGTTTCTCCCTGTGTGGAGTTACACAAATTGGGGTCAAAGCGTTTCATGTTGAAATTCAACATTTTTGCCATCATTCCAAAGTCTAAAACGGCAATATAAGTCCGACCACAATACTGGGCATCATTTTTAAATTGAATACGGTAGAATCTTGTAATTATAGCTGATCAAATGAAACCGAAAGTAGATTTGTTTTCATACCTAATTTATCATCATTACCCCCTTAATGTGCGATCGACTGGATTTTCATGTGCCCATTATCTATCTTCATAGGATCAGCTTCAGATCTAGTGAATCGAAGATCTGAACTTGAGGGAGTTAATTGAAAATACTTGGTGAAAACTTACGATAGATCGGTCACTGTGAGCACCATTGATAAACCTACTGCGCATTACATCTGCGCATGCTGATGAAGGGGACGGCTCAAGGTAACTTGCTAACTTAGCGAAGGAATTTTGCGAACTTGCGAAGGAAACTAAAGGTTCGTAAATCTAGCGTGTGAACATTCAAAAGAAGATTTTATGCGGTGATTTAGATAAATATACGATCACTAAAATCCTTAGAAGGGAGTATGAAATTAATAAATCATTGTTCAATGTTATGTTCGTTTTATTGCATTTTTGATACGCCCCCTAGCAACGTGCTTCACGAGATAAACAAATCGAGGGATCGATCAATGTTTTCAAGATCATTGAATCTGAATCACAGGGCTTTAAAAATTATATGAAATACCGAAATGAGAAAATGATCGGTAGGAAGGAGGCTCGATTGCGCTGAACCAAATGTTAGATTTCCGGAATTAGCAAAATTATAAATTTGATCAATCACGTATTTTCACGTATAGGGATCAATTTAACCAAGTACCAAGCGGGGATTTTGCATGTGAAACAAACGTGCGTCAGAAAGACTCGGTAGACAATGAATATTTGCGTCAGAGTTGCAAAAATGTGAGTAAAAATCGTAAAAAATTGCGTTAACGCCACCTCTGTATTATAATTAGTTCAATCTAAAGTCAGATTTGAAATTCTGAGAACTTGCAGATGATTTGAAAAAAAATTGGTCAATTTGAAGCAAGTTGAAAAAAGACCCTTTTGACCTTGAGAAGGTCATTGAAGGTCAAATATTGTTTTGACCTTGAGAATGTCATTGAAGGTCAAATCTATAGATTTGAACTCTTGAGAATTTCTAGATGATTTTGAAAAAATGGTCAGTTTGCCTGCAGTTGAAAAGTTGCAAGTTGAAAAAGGACTTTTTTGACCATTTTTTACCTTGAGAAGGTCAATGGAAGTGAAATCTCAAATCTAAAGTAAGATTTGAATTTCTGATAACTTGTAGATGATTTTAGAAAAAAATTGGCCAATTTGAAGCAAGTTGAAAAGACAATTTATTTCTTAATTGTAGTACAAACCTCCAGACATCATTCCAGATCTCATAGAACCATTGCTGCCTGATTTCATATAATTACTTCTATTGTATTTTGGTCTTGACGCTCTTCTCTCCTCCTGAATAAGAAATTGTCAAAAATTAGAATTTGTGTATTAGTTGTTCATTATACAGGGCATTTACAAGAACATCATTACTGTAAGGAAACATGTGGACTGATTCCAATAGCTTCTCATTACCAAGTATATTAAGGAACAATTGTTAATTTTCAAATAACATTATTCACACAAAGTGGATTGTGATTCATTTACAAAACTGAGTAGTCTGAGTTCCTTACCAGTGATATATCTTCATCTGGATGCATCAATCGTGATGTATTCCCAGAGCTAGATGACTCTGGTTTCTTTACTGTGGAGGGTGCGGTGATAGTAGCTGAGGGGGGTGATGCTTTGGGTCCTGTATTGCTAGGGGTGGGGCCTGGGGGTGCAGAGTAAGCTGGGAATGTTGGCTTCACTGGACCTGTGCCTCCACCTGTTGGCTTGAAGTCTGGGCCAACCATGCTTGAACTGTGGGATACATGAGACTGCAAAAAAGCATAGAAAAGAATATGTAAATGCCACAGACTGTAGGGTATCTGCATTAGAGTTTATCTATACAATACACAATGTCAATTCTGCATACAAACTTCATTGACGATATATCTAAAAATCAAAACAACTAAACACTAGTGCTAGTCACTAAATCAATAGTTTTCATCGTTTTAGTCAAGTGGAATATTTTGGAGAAACAGAGATCGAAATCAACACAAAAATTTTACATACCTGTCCAGCAGAAGGGAAGAGTGGTTTCACCTGAGAGGAGGTACTTGAAGGGGCTGAGGACTTGGGTGGGGCAGGGGCATTTGGTGGGGCTCCAAAGGGTGGGCGGGGTGGCATTGGACCTCCCATTGGGCCTCCTGGACCCATCATTCCCATTGGACCCATCGGAGGCATAGGTCCCATTGGACCCATTGGGCCTAAATAAACAAAATAAATCATTTAATTAGATATTAGTTCATATTTGTGTTTCACATGGAAATAATAATCTAAAAACATCGGAGTCATTTTTGGCATACCTTGAATTTTGGACAACTGTCAACTGCTCTGAAAATGTGTCAAAAACGTGCAATAAAATTGTACCATCCCTGGAAAAAGATATCAGAAATCGCTTGTCAAAATGGTTTGATTTACATTAAAAACATGGACTCACCCATAGGTCCCATTCGGCCCATTGGACCACCCATAGGGCCTCCCATAGGTCCCATCATACCCATAGGGCCTGGTCCCATTGGACCCATACCCATTGGGCCCCTGGGAGGCATACCCCCTGGTCCCATCATTGGGGGTCCACCTGGAAAGCCTGGGGGTCCTCCCATAGGGGGTCGAGGGCCAGAGTTATCTTCCTCATCACTGTCATCTAATCTGGCCATCTTGTTGCTTGGTTCTCCACTATCTCCTAGAACACAATACAGGCAATGGGTACAAGTACACAACACATGTAATGGCTACAAGTACACAATATATATGATGGCTACAATTTACAATAGACATAATGGCTGCAAGTACAGAATACAAGTAATGGGGACAAGTAATGGCAACAAGTACACAATATATGTGATGGCTACAAGTACACAATATATGTGATGGCTACAAGTACATAATATATGTAACGACTACAAGTACATAATATATGTAACGGCTATAAGTACAAAATACATGTATGGGCTTCAAGTACAGAATACATGTAATAGCCAATACACAATATAGTAATGGCGCTATGATAATAATATCATTACCAACCATTTGCAAAAATTAATTTTTATCAGCCTAGTCTTGTTTTAAAGTGTTTTGTTCCCCATATAAAGTAAAACCTGTTAGGATCCTAAACATATCAAGCAATAACTTTTATACCTTTGCCTTTTTTCTGTTGTTCATGACTTTTGACATCTGCCTCTGGAATCCCTTCCATGCCATATATCTCAATCTCTGTGTCACATCTGTGTGGAAGGGAATTTGGAACTTTTTCAACCTTTTCTTTGTGTACCTAGGGGTAAAATCACTAATAAAGAACAAGTATGTTCAGTAAAATTATTAATAAACAACAAGCACTTTCACTTTCCATAAAAATCAATTTCTGTTCTCTGTAAACTAACTTGCCCAGATAGACCCATGCATATCAGCACAAAACAACAACAATATAGCACAAAAGTGCAATAGAAATATCTACTATTGTAAACTCAGTTACTCACCTGCATACAATGAATGGCTAGTCCAGGGCCAGTGTAGAGCTTTTTGTGGCATATATGACATTTGAAATGTTTCGCTTTTTGATGTTGTATCAAGATTTTCTCATCATCAAATTCTCTGTTGCAATACCTTTATATGGTTAAGGATCCAATTACATATTGTTGGGTAATGTTCTACTGTCAGACACCAAATATATGATAAATATATCTCTGATTTATCAGTTAGTTGGCCGGATCTCTTTGCTAGAACATGGGTTTCAACCCAGGACCTTGGCAAGAGAAGTTAGAGGCCTTATGTATGATAGATGCAAGTACAAATACATGTAGCACGTCAAATGAATTTAAGATTTTGGTTATAAGCACAGATTCCGCAGCCTTGTTGAACTCGAACAGACAATAAACAGAATTTACTTCCTATGGTAGGAAGTGTAAAATGTAGAACAGAAACCTGTCAAAACTCAATTATGGATTCTCTCTCCTGAAACTCCACTTTATAGCCAAATGCACAATTCTTTCAAAAACAGGAAAAAAAAACTCCAACCCCATAACCTGGTATTCACAAGGAAGGGTTAAGACCGAGCTAAATAAATTACGTTTTTGACAGACACTGAAATATTGTCTCGGACCCTTACTTATCTAGACCTATATTTATAAAATGTGCAGCTCAATAGATGCTTTATAATGTTATAATGAGTGGCAAATTTTGAAAACATTTGACAGTGATGATTATAAGGTTATAATTCAACGTCGTCAACCATACATGTCATCCATCATCTCAATTTTTTGTACCCATCATCTCAACTATCGAATAAAATACTCAGAGCCATCAGTTCAATTGCAAATCAAATTGCAAATCTTTTTACAATGACCAATAAAGATTATAAAAAGTTTTGGCAGACAGCCCCAGATAGAGATGACGACCCAATAGCATTGTAGAGCTGAAATCACATTACAGGAATCACTACATGAAACGAAACACCTTCAGATTTGGACAGACTCAATAAAATATTACTATTTTGGCCTCTTACCATCCCTGGTTAGTTTTTATACTGTTTATTAAAGTCCATTTCACTGCTTCATTGCGTCGGTAGAACGGCAAAAATAAGAAATTGGGAGACCATTGTGCAATAATATATGGAAAAGTATATTCATAATGTACATGAATGACATTTGTATATTTCAGATTTTTTAGTTTTTTGTGCAATAAGCCTGTGCCGTCTTGTTATTTGAAGAATTTCAGCCATGTTAATCTTATTGAAAATAACATGGCAGAGGAGCATCCAAATATAAGCCAAACTAGAAGCAATCCAAGATATACAAATGTCATTCATGTACAATAGTAGGTGCATTCATGCACCCTATGGGTCTCTGAGGATCGTGTTGGCTCTAATGCAAGTCCATACGACAATCCAACGCATTAGAGGCGCTGTTCACCGTCTAGTACAATAGGAATATAGTTTTCCATATATTATTGCAAAATGATATTTTGATTTCTTATTTTTTAGCTTTTACTGACGCAGTTAAACAGTGAAATGGACTCCAGTGATAAAGATGCAGGCATGATTATGATGTCTACAGTGGGGAACATAAAGAATTACAAAAGCTTTGAAAATTACATGCTGTCGCACATGTAATAAATTCTTACCTCAGTGTATTCAGTGCTCTATTTTCTCCGTCTTAGTAAGTCCAAATATAGTGGAATTTGTGTCCCTAATGACAAATAAGAACTTCAAAAGTTAAATTGGATATGTTATGCCGACTCTTCAAATGTTGAGGTGATTTTGTCGGCCGATTGGAGGATTGGCTCCCAGAATGCAACGTGACACGTGCCAGCTTTCAAAATGCTGTTCCGCCATTTTGAAACCTGTCAAGAGTAAATATGGTTAACTGATGTTGCATCCTGGGAGTCAACCGTCCTTGGATAACAAACATGGCGATTCATGAAAACATTTTTCGATTTGGTAGGGATTTATCTAGACTATATCCTATTTAGTCTGAATTATATTCAGACTATAAGGCACCTATGTTAAAGTTTGGTAATCATAGATATTTGTTTACATAGGAAGTGCTATTCAAAATGGCTGATTGGGTAAAATTAATTTGCAATTTGTTACTTCAACTAGCTTTATTTCCATTTGACAATATGCTGTGTTACTTTTTATTGCATTTAATTGTACCTTACTATTTAATTGAAATTTTGTAATGTTTATTTTATTGAAAAAATGGTTCCTCTAATTGATAATTTTGTGCAAAAAATTTCACTGCAATTTCCACAGGAAAGTAGTACATCATAACAGACTGACTTCTAGTCAGTCTGTTGGATACATACTAGGGATTTATCCATTATTTGCAGGTATGAAGCTTTGGATTCATTTATTGTGCTACTTTAGTGAACGGGAATTATTTTTCTACCGCTTGGGAGAGTTTGAGACACGAAACTTGGAAATAAGCTCATTGTGACAACTTGTGAACGTTGAGTTTTATTTTTGTCCCCCACTGTACAGTGTGTTGCTTCAAAGCAACCAGTTAAACCTAAAATTTAAGAAATCTAAAGTGTATTGTGCAATTATACATGGAAAATATATTCATACTCCACATGAATGACTGTGTAACTGTAATTTCATTTTACACATCCTTTTGTTTTTCAATCCAAAAAATGAAAAAAATCTAAACTTTTGTTTATAATTTTGTTTATGAGTATTTATGGCATACTTTCAAAAAGGATACCAGCACCATGGTTTCGCTTGCTTCTTCTTCTTTCGTCCCATTTCTGTGTTGAAGTCTGGATAGTTTGTATAGCTATTTAGTACATGAATTCACCAGTTTTATGGGCCATAGAGAAATATATTGCAAAATGTTTTCAATATGGCGGCGGCGTGTGGGCAAATTCCGGATAACTCTCTTCCGTTATGACTGAACCCTTATTTCGGCTATGTTCATTGGTCTATGATTAAATTTATTACACAGATATATATTATTTATATAATTACTCTTGAAAATAATAGATATGTGTTTTTTATACACTTAAAAACGATAAGGAAAACATTTTCGGACACAGAAAGATTACTCAAAATGCAACGATCTGATTGGCCAATTGATGAAGGCGGTAATGGTATAAAAATGTACAATGTTGTCTTCCCGATTTATCGTAGTTTTTCTTGGAATTTGCTCAAATGATCTGTTCCTCAATACTTTAGGAGGTAAGTTTGATATGTGACAATCAATTTAGCCCAGTTTTTACAAGTGAATTGCAGCGTTTGTACTTGAAATCGATCCAATAAAGATTGCCCATGAAAAATTTGTGCGTCACATTTGAGTCATCAAATGGAAAGTGAAAGTGAAAATTCAATATAACAATATGTTGTGTTGATTATCCCAGAGATGGCGGCAAGATTATTTTGTAGTAGGATCAGTAGCTCAATATATATTTCACAAGATGAGACACCTACTTCTTCTTTCTACTACTATACTCTTGTTCCGAGGCTCTTGTCTGTTCAAATATCAATGTTACGCTGACGTCACATTTCTGAATTCCCACTCCCAGAAGCACCATTGATTCAGATTTGGACAAACAAGAGGCCACCGATAAAATATCATCATAAGTTTGGCCTCTTATCAACTTGTATACCAGTCATTGTAATCAGAAAGGTAAAGAATAACAAGGTGCTTCGAACACATGCAACTTAAAAACACTTAAGATTTTCGACATCTAAAGTTACTTGACTTGCAAAAAACCTTCCAAAAAGTGACAGTCGCATTAATTCTCCCTTTCGCGGTTCGCTCTTTGAATCAGAACGTTCACAAATATGTACTGAAAAAGCACTCAAAAAGGACAACATTTGATTGGTCAATATTTTCCCACTATGCACTATGCATTTGCGTGACCCGAAAGTTCTAAATCAAACTAATTACGCAATTTTTTTTTTACAGCCGCACGCTAAATAAAACAATGACACCATCGGAAGTATTCTTCGTTGTCCTTGCTTTAATAGTCAGTATACAGAGTTTAATCAATAAAAGATTGTACGATGACCAACAAAATTCGGAAACGAGTATTATATTTGCTTTCGGACCACTGAACAGATTGACCTAGATAATAGCGACGCGTCTTCTTTGGTCTACTGCTCAGTTGTTTGTGGGTTTTCAACGTAACTCTATAATGTAATTTGAAGATGAATACTTTTATTCAGTTGTTGCATCGATGTTGCAGTTTGTAGTGCGGTAAGATTGGCAGGAAAGTATTGAAAGTCGAATGGAATTGTCTTTTCCAAAATGGCGACTAGTCAACTGATCACGTGACCTTCTCTTCCGGAATATTTTCTCACTTTTCAATCATCGTTTTCACCACGCTGTGAATCAATACAATGAAAAAAATAGCTGTTATATTAAGACTAATAAGAGACCAATCGTTTCTAATAATTTTTTCTGTACTCTCGTACGGGAATATGAACGAATATATCGTTTGAAAAATAGGTGTGAAAATCCCCATGTTAAACCTATGAGGGAAAACAAGGAAGTATAAATTTGTTCCTCCGCGAACTGCATCATGGGAAATATTTTGACCTTATAAGGAAAGATTTTCGCGTCTCCTCTTTTGAAGAGGGAACAACGATTTCGAGAATTCACATTGTCGTACTTACAAAATGATCCACCGCCTAACTTATGCACCATCAAACTCGGTAATATTGTACACATAACTATAAATAACGGTATATTCCCATAGAAAACTGGGCTTGCTTTTCAACATTTTAAGCAAAAAATTTTCTACGGAGCTTTTGTTTTTCTGACGTAATTTCTTCTAAGAAATCGGTCACGTGACACGGTTCAGTTCATCTTATTTCGAAAGGGGTGTCATCTTTTTAAAATATTTATTTTCATCTTGTCCAGTCCTATATACAACCTGCCTTTATCTTTTTCGCTCGTAAAACCACGTAGTAATGTTGAAATTATGGAATAGATTCTCTGAGAGTGGCGACATGGATTCATCTTTACCATCTTGCGTTTGACACCCCTTGTTTTGGGGGAGTCCAAGTAAACCACACATCCGGGTGATTAGAAAAGGGACATTTTTAAAAAAAATCGAGCGTCAACATAGATACTTCTGGTCAAACTGAGTTTATGACGAAACTTATGAAAGAATCAATAAAAGGTAAGTGGTATACATTAGGCGGACGCCAAAAATTAAACGTGGCGCCAATTTGACACTTCAGAATGCTTTCTGTGATTTAAAATCACAAAAAGGCGAGTAACTTTTTAGATGTCGAAAATCTTAATAACATGGTGATGGTTGTGTCAGGCATAAGTCTTTCAACCGATAGAGTCTCGCTTCGAATGAGGTATGATTTTTTATTTTTCTGAAATTGCTGCACAATCGTCATTTTGAAATTTGAAATTTTCATTGGTGTCTCATCTTGTGGAATATTTATTGAGCTTCTGATTCTACTACAAATCAGAATTTTGCTGACATCTATGGATTATCCATTCCCCTATGAATGTGGGGGTGATTTGCCTTTTTCTTATTTTTGACAATGGTGACTGTGACAATGGTTGCAAGGTTTTTTAGGATGTCCATTTTTGATCTTTAGTTGCTCTATTGTTCACTGTGTGCCTTGTTACTTTCAGACACAACCATCAAACCCCAAGGTACAACCTATACAACAATTGTGTCTCCTACACCAAATGTAAATGATACACCAAAAGGAACAAGGACATCATCTTCAACGTCTGACATTAAGGGTGAGACACCCCAAACTTCAACTCCAAAATTTTCAAGTTCAACATCTAGTGGCAATGATACACCTAAATTAGCACCATTAATCCCCAGTGGTAATGAAACACCCAAAGGGAATAGCACTGTCTCTAATGAAACTGCTCAATCTACAACACAATCAGGGGGTGTGACCATAAATTCAACAGCCGCTGTTCCATCTACTACTTCACTCCCTGTTGTGCAAGGGGGCACATCACCCAATTCAACTATATCCTCAACATCTAGTGTTTCTACACTGCTGACGATCGCATCGACTATCCCTCCAACTGTACCAGCTACATTAGCTACCACGCCTAATCCAACAGTAAACACAAGTTTATTGACAAGTGCAGCAGTTACAAGTGAAGCAGTTATGTCCCAAACAACTCAAGTTACAGATCAAACTGATGCAGTAACAAATCAAACTGGTACAGTTACAAATGAAACAGATATGATTACAAATCAAACAGGTACAGTTACAAATCCAACAGATATGGTTTCAAATCAAACAGATATGATTACAAATCAAACAGGTACAGTTCCAACTGATATGAATCCAGTTACAACCCAAATTGATACAGTTACAACTCCAACTGATACAAATACACATCCAAATGATACAACTACAAATACAACTGATACAAATACAGCTCCATCTGATACAAATACAGCTTCAATTGATGCAAATACAACTTCAACTGATACAGCTACAACTCACGTAGATCCACTTACAAATCCAACTGAAAAATCTACTGCTTCAACGGATACAGCTACAACTCACATAGGTCCACTTACAAGTCCAACTGATAAATCTACAGCCAAAAGTGATACGGGTACAACGAAAGGTGAAACAGATAAAACTACAACTAATATCCCAACCTCTGAGAGTACAAGTGCCAGCACAGACAACATTGTTAAAGTCCCTGCCAAGCAACCAGAGGGCTTGAGTAATGCAACCAAAGTGGGGCTCGGGATTGGTATTCCAGTAATGCTGATCGCACTAGTTTGCTGTGTGTTTGTGTTCTCACGTTGGAGGTATGTGACCAATTGAGATTTGTGTCTGTATTTAACACAGGTTCTATGTGGTGTCTAGAGGACTTAAAAGTCGAAATATAATTCGTGAATATTTTCAAAAGTACCTGTCAGATATTTTAATCTTTTGAAAAGCTTAAAGTGAATTGTGTAAAACAAATCACAAATACTACTGTATATACAGTACATCTGTCCCTGATAGGAATTTATGATCTTTCTTCAATCACAAATGCTTTGTTTGTGTTACAGGAGACGTCGTGGAGGCTTCAGGTTTTTGACGCTAAATGACTACGATACAAATTGGGATTCTACCTATAATAACCCAAGCTATGATAAAGGAAATGAGGTGAGTAGATGTTCAAAGTTTTCCCATTTTCTTGAAGTTAATATTTTCTAGTAAAAAATGATGTTTATAGTTCTCAGAAGTAATAAAATTTAGCCCAAATGAGCAAGGTAAATTAATACATGCGGAGTTCATTTCCATAGATTTGTATTGTATCTGTTGGTGAGGCAGTTGCGTCGCCTGCCTCGTGCCTTTTTTGAAGCAATTTTCAAATCACATTTCACCTTTATTTCACAAAAGAGCCATGTGCATCCAATAAAGAAATACTGTCATGTTTTAAATGTACTTTATTGAGATTTTTTAATACATTACAGTGATCTCCACAGGATTTTTTCTCAAGTGGGTGCAAAATTCTCATTTTCACAATTCAGACCAAAATCGGTCAAAATATGCCATTTTTCATTGTTTTTCTATTTTCAAGTGGGTGCAAATGGATTTTCAGGTGGGTGCAAGCCTATTTTCAAAATCTCGGGTGGGTGCTGTGCTCACTTGCTGCTGGGGAGATCACTGCATTATATATGATCCTGAACACAATATCTGTAGCAGTGAAGCTTGTACATAACACTTGCTCTCTTTGTTAAATATGTTAATTAAAATTAGAAACAATTTTCTTTTTTGTGAATGATACCACTAGGATGAAGAGTAACTAACATTTTTTATGTTGTACTTTTGTAGGGAGACTATCTGGTGCTAGCTTGGTAAGGGGATGCATGTATGATGTTGTAGAATCTTTATGTATTATTAACATACTGTATATTATGTTAATTTGGCACTATGAACTCTGATGTTTTCACAACTTTTACACCATGAAGAAATGCTTCCGTATTGTTATATTTACTGTTTTTGCAATCATTTGCAATAAAATACCAGATGGTGACATTTTGTCACTGTCTCTAAAAATGTTGTAATTATTTAGGTAACTTATTGTAGTTTCCAAGACTGTATTCAGATTTCTTGTGTCTCTTTATTTGAAAGATGCCTTCAAAAATAGAAATACATCTACCCAGGCTAATATCTTTATTTCAACAGCGGTGTTGTAGCTTATATCTCTTTTACAATAGATAGATGTCTAATGTGTTTACTTAAAACAGCGGATTATATAAAAAAATTGACTGTAACAAATACCCGGATTTGTTGGTTTTTAAAAAATATATAAATAATGCTCAGCATAAAATGGGACATCACTTTTTATGCTGCATAAAATGGGACATCACTTTTAATGCCAGCATAAAATGGGACATCACTTTTTATGCCGGGCAGTGAGATTAAAAATTTTTTTTTTTAAAAACCAACAAATCCGGGGATTTTTTACAGTCCACTTTTATATAATCCAATGTTTTAAATGCCTAATGATTAGCCTGAAATTTTCTCTTTAACATGAAGTGATGCTGTATTAACTTGGGCTTTAAAGGTTTTGGTTTTAGGAATTATGCCACAAATGTCCTTGCTAACTTCTATTCTAAACAGGGCTAATATGCTTTATGCTTTGTGATCTTTCTAGCAAGTTAACATAAGGAGAGTTGTCGACAAGAGCTTTACATTGAATTGCCCACTAACTGATTTTACATTACCAAACCAACAATGCTAACAAAAATAACTTGATTAAAGTTTTTTTTGTCCATTTATATTGTTAAATGTGTAGTTTGCAGTGCATGTTTTTTTATTACAATTGTCTCTGGGTACTCTATTTTTGCAAAAAAACTGCACTATCTTATTTCAAATTTTGCAATTTTTTTAATCCACAACTAAAACTACTCACAACTACCGTATTCTCTGTAATTACTGCCCACTCTCCAATAAGCGCCCACCCCGCTTCACAAAGTTGAGAAACATTGAGGAATCACCAAGTATTAAAGAATTTAGAGGCTCTGCTGGGTATTTCTTCAATCACAATATTGATTCTTGCAGGATCATTTCTATATTTTAAGCGATCGTTACCGTATTCTTTCTAATAACAATAAATATCATTATTGTAAAAATGTACTGATACTTTGTTTTGATGCTGCAAATAAGGCATTCTTGGCAAGAAAAATTGCCATACATAAAATTCCTGGGGATTCTTTCATACATGGGCGCTTATTAGAATGGTCTGCAGGATGTCTTAAATTTTCTAAACGTCCTGGGCACTTATTACAGAGCATACGGTAATACAATTTAGTGGACACTCAGGAATACCACAAGTGATGATATATTGTTATAGTTTCCAACTTTTTTGTGGAAAGTGTTTGGTGCGTGGCATTCAGTGTTCGGTGGTCAGTGTCTGTGAAAGTGGTGACATTTTGCATGTTAATTCCATTTACAATTTGGACCAGGTTAATGGATGGAGAGGTTTCCATATTTCCATAGGCATTTCTTGGGACTCAGTGAATGAAAAAATTCTCAGCATTCTTTAAAACTAACCAAGTAATGGCATGTCATTTTGTTTTCCTGCCATAATATTTCAAATTTAATAATTTGTATTTAATTCATTTTCAGAAACTAACATTCCTTGATGACCTTTGAGGTTGTGTCTAAGTGGGTCAACAGCAGATATTGATTAAAAGAAGTTATTCAGATCTGATTTTCTTGATTAGAAAATCATGGAAAAGTAAATGTTATAGCCAAACCATGTAAGTGACTTTTGGCCTGACAGGACCACTTACAAACCCGAATGATCCTGGGCCTTCAAGAGACCAAATGCCAAATGCCCAAATGCTGGTATAGCGTGGGTTGTTTTTCAAATGCTTTCAACAAAGGTTGGGTCAAAAATCTTCGGACAAAAAGCCAGAACTAAAAAATTGATTATTCAAATTTAATGTACATTTTAGAGTGTTGACCCAGGCTCTTTGATGTGTTCTTGAAATCTTCTTCAAAGGATGGGTATCGATATGGTGAACTTTTTTAACACAAGTTTCTCTTAAACCAGTCATCAAAGAATACTGAAAATTTTACACATCGTCAATTTAATGGTCATCTTTTGAATGGTAACAATATAATTTGAAATAAATATATATACTTTTCTCTATACTGTTTTAGAAAACACATCAGACACTTCTTTTGTTCTTGTTTGTTCTTGGTATCATATGTTCGGAATGAAATGAAACATCTATCCGAACTTCATTGGAACAAATTGACATAAGCACAACGTGTTTAGGTCTCTCAATATTGTAATTGTAAGTTTAGTTGATTTCCCTTGTATAACTCTAATATTGAAAGGTCTAAGCAGATGTATATGCTATTTTGTTCCAACAAGCTTCGGAAAGATATTTTATTTTATTCTCAAGAATTGGTAAAAAGGAACAAAAAACAATTGCACTAAAAAACAAAAATGTTAACAAAAACAGTTATATACATTATATATAGAAATAATTTTTGCATTAAATTTCTGTCAATCAGTCAAAATTACATATAAAGGACTGTGATTTTTTACAGAATGTTTGCAATAATTGGTTTAAGAGAAAAACATTGTTGAATTCAGGTCACCATATCGATACCAATCCTTTATATAAGAATATGGAGATTTTGTAGTTGCTGACATGTTACTAGCTTGCTTTTTATGTTCAAGAAATAAACATTGTCAGCATTGTAAGATACTCAGTACTTCCTTGTTAGGGTGTGTTCAGTACTAGTCTAGTATATTAATACATGTACCTCTGTACTTCGGGACAATCAATCAAAAATATTGTTTTTTCTGAACGAGGCATACTCAACGAGGCAATGACAAAATGCTAAGACATAATCCATACCTACTAAGGTTCAATGTAGATAACATGCAGGAATATACCATCACTATCTTGGGAGTTACATATATTTCCCTCTTGATAAATCCTGTATCTAAAACCTCCTACTTTGTAACGTAATTGTATTCATACCAGTTGATTTACATTTTAAAATATTTATGACTAAATATAATATATATAATGTATATTATAATGTGACTTAAACCTTATTGTAAATACTCAAAGGGTTCTTATATTTTATTTACTACATAGCTATAATCACTGGTTATATTGATGCCATTTAGGCCCCCCTTTGCTTATTTTGGAGAATTGTCTAAGTGAGGCATCATATTAACCACTGAGCATATAGATATTTTGTGTTGCTGTTTAGATCTGATGAGTATACAACTTTTGAAAGTAATTATACATAATGTGTATATGTTCATAAAGCCACATTATTTATATCTTATAATCATTGTTAAGTCATTCAAGCCTGGGGCTAAATTTTGCAAACTGTTGTAATTTATAGTTTGGTCTAGACTATACAGATCAAAATCATGTGGGTTAATGATAGAATAGGGTCTCAACTGCTAATATACAATTCTCATTGAGTACTACAATGCCTCAAGACCCCAAGAGGCTTTTTATTTGATCACTTACATTTGATAAAGTTATTTTAGAAGCTGATATTATTAAGAATTATTAGATGTACAGTCTCTACATTTTTATTTAGTTTTTATGTCACCACCAAAGAACATGAAGAAGTGGTGACATATTATGGACATTTTCTTTTATGGCCTTCATTTTTTTGTCAGCAACAATTTGCAATAACTTGGAAAGTGATGATCTGATTGACTTGATTTGTACTGTTGGTAGTATCAGATCTAGCAAAGAGTAGTAGAAGTAGTGGTTTCAGAGGCAAAAATTGTTTCACTTTTAGAATATTTTGGGCTCATATCATTCCATGTCTATTTTAGAAATATCCAAGTGTATACTTTATTCGAGGAAAGATTTTTACAACAATGCATTCATTTTTGTTGTCATTTCTACAATAAATTTGGTATATATTTATTCTTTGGGAGGATTTAAACATTTTTTCCTCATTTTTGTATTTTGAAACTTTTAAAAACTTTACCAATTGATAATGTATCGCATATCTTATGGGATATATTTTATTTAAGACTAAGGAATGCATTGGTAGATCAACTGTACATGTTGCTTGCAATTTTGTCACAACCTACAGATCTGATTCTGCCGTAAGGATGTAACTTATAGCATAGCATAAGTTCAAGAAATAAAATCCTATAAACGTAATCTTCAGACTGAGTTGAAAATTGTACATTGAACACCTTTTTGTGATATTACAAAGTTTTTCAGATTTTAAGCAATACCTGTTACCATGGCAATGCTTTATAGGACTTGAACCACTTGTAGCATTTGTGTAGTGATAACTTGAGAACTAATGATCAGATTGGGTTGACACATGTGCGATATAATGGAATTTTATTTATTTTATTTTAGGAATTATCTCATTACCATGACAACAATTTATGGGAATAATTATAATTAACAGTAATGCAAGAACCTGAGATTATTTTCTAATATAGTTTTCATTTTGACTTTCTTAGATACAATGCAACCAGGTGGTGACATTTTGTATTATCATTTAAAATCATTAAAGTTTATATTTAGTAACTATTATATAAAATGTAACAAAATATTAATTAATTTTGCTTATATTAAGTTACCTGTAGTTAATATGTAACAAAATATTCAAGAATATAATATATCATAAGATTCATTTCATAACTCATCCTCATAGCTGATGTAGTTAGAATTGATTATTAGAAAGATAACTAGTCATGTTTTTTTATACTAAGTGCTGTTTAGTTATTTTTAACCAAAGAATTATTTGAACTAAATAGAATAAGGTGAAGATTTGTACAATACATGGTTTAATTATTTTCCATGTTTGCATGGTATTGTACATAAGTAGGGCACTTATATATATTATAGCTTATATTTATGCATATGTGTACATACATTGATTTTATTTGCAGGAATAAAAAATTATAGAATATCATAAAGAATAATCTGATCTCATAGATGTACTTAATTTAGTGGTAGAAATTCTCCACTTTGATGATTCTGAAAAAGTAGTTATGACATACATGTATACATTATTATATATGAACGAGTATATTGAAAATAAAGGTGTTATGTGAAAAGAATAAATTGATGATTGTCGCTTTTTGGTTATCACACTTGTGAACTTTATACAGGTTCATGTGATTAGTTATAGTGATATAGGGAGCCCTTCATTTATCTGAGGCAATAACTATTGGAAAACGGCAACTCCACAGAGGGTCGTTCTTGAATAAATCGCAACTTATATTATGACCATCGTAACTTACCACCCATACTTATGACAGGTCATAAGATACGACCGAAATGTTTTTGAAAGCCCCCAGAGTAGCAAATCCCACCAAACAAAATATCTATTATGTGTTTTGATAAATAACAGCCATCTTGAAAATGTTTTCTTGAACGGAGCTCCTTTATCCCTAGGCATCAACATTAAAACTTGAATAGAATGATATGAGTTTCAAGAATTGTGTTTTACGAAAAATGGTGGCCATTTTGGAATTCAGCTGACCTCTTGAAAATTTCTTCTTGAGCAGAACTTCTTTGTCCCAAAGAACCAGCATATAAAATTTGAATTAAATCTAATAATTGTTGGTATTTGGTTGCCATATTGATAAAGAGCGGACATCTTGAGCAGAGATTCTGATCTCAGGGCATCAGCATATAAAATCTGTCCACTGGTATTTGAGTTATCAAAGATTACATTTTTTACTAAAAATAATGTCCATTTTGAAATTCAACTGTCATCTTTTTCACTCTAACCCAAATACATATAACAATGTGATGTAATAAACTTGATAATCTTTTTCACGATAACATAGTATTATTTTTGTATCAAGTATCATTTTTGGGTCCTTCAGATTTTTTTAAATACAAGGGTTCACTGATACATTTCAATGAAAATATATTCACCATCATACCCAACACACAATAACAAACAATATATTATTGTATTTTAGATTACTCCCTTTATTTATTTATAATGCTAATATTGTCTGGAGTTAACATGGTTGCCACGACAATATCATTTATTATTATCATATTTGTTAAAGGTGGGTCATATCATACATATATGTCACAGATTTAATATTTTGTTTTATTGCTAGTATAAGGAACATGTATACAGTCTGGATATAGAATAGAATAAAGCGTACCATCCATGAATAAAATTACATAAGGGGTATGTCTTTGAACTCTGAATTCACAGAAAAATTAGGCAAAAACATGGAATATAGACTACACACAAGAGTTTAGGACCTAAATGGCTTTGAACCAGAGATGAGAAACTTGTTTTATTTTATTCATAGAAAGTGCATGAAGTTTACATGTACATGACCTGGATGAGATATCAGGTAGTAGTCAGTGTTAAGCTATGTTACACGTTCTTTCAAAAAGACTATGACAAAAAACATGTACAACATTTGTATATAAAAAACAACATTTTGATCAATCAAGACCAGCAGTTTCTTTCTCTTTCGCCAAGATTTTTATCATCTTTTTTCAAACATTTAAGCAGTAATCTGTGTCTCGTTATTTCCGTTACCATGGCAATGCATTACAATATATACAGTGAGTTGAGTAATTCAAAAATTAAAAAAAATAATGTTCAAATATACTGTACAATTTTTCTCTGTATTTCTTCATTCGTGTAATGTACATACAGATAATGTTTAGAGTAACAATTGTAGGTTTTATCTACTGTTGCCTTGCTTTTGACTTCTGTCTTCAATATTCTACGAGCTCAACTATGCATAAAGGGTCCATTCTTTAAAAAAAATACAATGAATTATTACCATTCCTCAATCTTATCGAGTCTTACAAGGCATAATTCAAAATATTTCATGCAAGGTATTTATATCTGACTCCCACGAACAGTTGAAACCTTGGATACCACAATGAGATAATTGAATGGGTCAGATAACTAATTAAACTATAGCAACATTTAATTCAGATTTCACGAAGATGACACGACACTTCAATTTGTCATTTAAATCCACCAATGTATTTGATTACAAACGCACAGGCATCATGTTCAGCACCTATTACATCAAGCAAGAAACATGATCAGACCAGCGTTACATAATACACAAAATAGTTTTTCGACGTAAAAAAGGAATGAATACATATAAATGACTTACATTTACATACCCAATCAAGTGTCTATAGTTATAAAATACCTCTAAACTATATTTTTATTGTAAAAATAATAAGCACATTTTTAAGCTATATTCTTTTGTTATACAAAACTACACATGCGTGAAAATTTTCTTCCGAATTTTGATTGATAAATTAATTGGAACATACCAACTTTGTGAGAGAGGAATTTAATATCTTCAGTTACAAAATTCCAATATAAAATAAGTACATGAAGTATTGGCATATATCGAAACAATACAGCACGTAAATATCAAGTAGCCAATCAGATTTCAGGATTGAAAAAAGGCAAAATATTCTCAAATCACAACACATATTTCTGTCAGGAACCAATCACTGGCTACACATCACAGTTTAACAGTTATTTGGCGTTTGGGGAGGTCAATTCACACAGGTATTTAGTCGATAAAACAAACATCATGGGTCTTAAAATTACCCAAATTGTTTATTATACACGTCCCATATATGCACATAAGCAGAGCATTAGCTAGAAAATATATAAAAATCTCTTTGATATAGTCCAGATTAGCAATTCCACTACAGGTTTTGTTTTACAATCCATCCTACCACCCCTCTATATAGTGAATTAATGTGTATATATGGTAATATTAGTCCATAATCAATATTGGGGGGTGTTCAACATTCATCCTTCCCACCCTCTACTTTATGACTTATTGTCTATATACAGGCATAGATGAGTCCATTGTTAATATCTAAGGGGTGATTAAAGTCATGGATATTATGCCTCCGTGCTGTCGTTTTCTGTTTTCCCTTCATCAATGGACTCATCGTCGCTTCCCCCAGGAGCTGTACTGGATCGACCCACTCCAAAGTATTTCCTACTATACCTGAAAAACAGACGGAAATATTATTACACAAAGAAAACAGTCCCAGAATCATTTGCCAAGATATATAAAATAAACTTCAATATTCAAGTACAAGTAAAAAAAAAAAATCGTCTAAATATATCAGGTATTTTTATTGTTTTATTTTATGAACATAGCTATAAGCCCATTGATAACAAAATTTGCAACATCTTAAGATCGGATATTTCCCCAGAATTCACGGGTATCAACCAGACCTCAAGATACAGTGAGCTTTTTTGGCAGAATTACAGCTAAGGCTGTGTATTGATGAGCACAGTGGTATGATTGGCTCAATGCAGAGCTAAAAATAACAAGGTATCGACATGAAAAATGTCACCACCTGTCATTGTTAAAGATACTGAATGCCAAACACCAACCACTGAACACTGTCCACAAAATAAGTTGAAAACCATAACAATATGTCACCACTTATGTCACCACACAGTGTCACACCACTTGGTGACATAATAACAGTATCATGAGGTCTGGTTTATAGCCCTCTTATTGATGCCAAGGAAACATATCATAAACATATATACAAGTCACATTTACAAGTCACGTGTGCAGTTTGACATCACAAGTTGGAATACTTCGTGTAATTCTATATACTACTGAACCTCTTCATGTGCTCTTAAATTATACAAACTTATTTAACTAAACAGGTAACATTTTTAAGTGTATTAATAAATATGATTTAATTTTCATGATATCTGATTAATATGATTAAGGATTGATTTGCTTATTTAGAAAGATCTATGATTCAATGACTAGTATTTGATGAAAAAGTTCGACAAAGATTTGGAAAAATTAATAAATAACAGAATTAACTATTATGCCCAAAAGAGCAATGCTGAATATAAAAGTTCTGACTATATATCTATATATAATGAGATTTGTTCATGTGAAAATTACCAGCAAATTGGGATTCTTTATGGCTAATAAATATTAGGGCATGCATAACAATTTAAGAGTATATAGTCTAATGCAGGCCATTCAGGGGTGCCAGGTGTTCTAATAAGTGTCAAATGATCTTATTGTAAGTTGTCTATTTAGAGAAGATGAAATTAACTGTTCGTAACCCTTGTCAAGTCTTTATGAGTAACATGAAGTATACACGGCATTAACATGCAAAATGTCACCACCTGCCATTTGTTATAGACCCATTTGCTACAGACAACGAACACCAACAAAAAGTTGGAGACTATATATACCAATATGTCACCACATTTGGTGGTGACATAATAAAAATGAAAACATCTTTTTTAAACAAATATGAACTCATGTAATTTTGATGATTCTAGCCTGACAAGGGTTATGAGTTTATTATAGATAGTTTATCAGACAGGAATATGATAAGGGGATGCCTACCCATATCTACAAATTCAAGAGATTATACAAACTTCAGTAAATTCTCCCATAAGTTTAAGATGCAGGCATACAATTATAGGGTATATGGTTTATAATTATCATATGGAATGTTTATCCTGAGCAAGTGAAGAAAAGGAATATCAGTTGACAGTCTTCTGAAAACTCATCTTCCAAATATAGAGTTTTTCCACATGTGCGTGCAAATGACCTTGAAGTCTCATGCCTATTACAGAATAATTCAATACTGATATGCAGTTCATGTGTACTTTATACCCATGCTACTAAATCTTTAATAGCATTCCTAAATATTCTCTGAAAGCATTTGTTCTAACAAGCCCCTTCATAGGCTTTTAAGCAACACATGCCAAGTTATTTGTTTACAATCGAAGCCTATATGGAGACAAAAAAGCTGTTCAGTTTTAAAAATAATGAAAATACAGTGTAAATATTCTTCGTTTTCTAAATATATGACAGATATTATGACATAATCTTGAAATATGGGTCTCATATTATACACATTATATAACAGAATAAAGATGTATGCACGTTGTATGCCACCTATTTTTTAGCCCATTCTAACATCTCCATGGAACTACACCAGTAATGCATGTAAAGCTCCTGATGTTGGAAGACCTTTCTAAATTCTATTACATATATCTAAAGAGCCATTGATCAGATAGTACATTTCTATATGCAACAAGGAAACGATAACATTTCACAAAATCTCATATTACATGAACATGAACTAGTAATTGTCAACAAGAACAAGAAAAACATAACAGTAAAACATACTTTAAACAAAAGCGATGACATATGCATGTGTTAAGGGGTCTCAATGGATGATAACTATACTATGTGGTCTCCATTTGGGCCTCCATCCAAAAGATCTCATTATGGCCATGCTTCTTCAAGTTCTCAAATAATTTAAACAATGAGTCTGATATTTTCATGGCTATTTACTGAATCATTCCATGCTCATTTCTCTCTATTTTCATTCTCTCATGCAGAGATTTGTCCTCAAGCTTTAGCTCCGTGGTTGGCAAATCAAAATAGTGGATTCTAAAGATAATTCGTATATTTACTGTACATAATGATCAATTCATGAAAAATCTAATCATTTTTAATCAAAATTTGCAATTTATTAGATATTTGAGATACCAGAAATAAAAATATTGGTAGAAGGATGTATTTTACAAAACTTATTTGTCATATCAGAAATAAAAATATTGGTAGAAGGATGTATTTTACAAAACTTATTTGTCATATTGAAAATACCAGATTTGCCATCAACAAAGACTAATGGAGGGCATCTGTGCATATAAGAGAACAAAATATTTTCTTAAAAGTCAAAAAAGTCTCCAGCATGGCCACCATGGTTCTAAGCAGGTCCATACTTACGCCTATATGAACACACTTACTTGGAGCTGTTTGGTAAAAAAATCATAGTTAGTTTAGAGAGCATCTAGAATAAGTAGTTTCAACACAGGTTAGGTCAATCTTTAACTAAAAGCTAGCTCTAAATAGCAATTGAAAAGATCAGAAGTAAATAAATAAAATATATTATATGTACGATTGTTGCCATATAATCAAATAATTTGTCTAATGGATTTCTCAATTCAGCTGTCCATGTCTGAGAGATTCATCAATCTTTTATCAAGCAATCAAATATCTATTTGGGATACTAAACAACATAATTGACGGATCAACTGAAAATTTGTTCACCCCTACTACTGTGTTTGTCTTTAATTTGGCGCTACTTAATTTGGCGATTTTGTATTTTTGGGCCTATTGGCATCTATTTAATTTGGCGGATTTTCAAGTGTCCCCGACATCCTCCTGTCTAACATAATTCAAAATAATCATTGCCAAATTAAAGACAAATACAGTATTACTAAAATGAAATAATTATAAAATCGAGAGATGTTAAAAGTAAAGTCCCCATTCTATTACAATATAGTCATGTACATGTATTGCCCAATACACAATTGCTTATTGTCAATAAAAAATTAAACTGCCATAAATCTGGAAAGCAAGCCTATCTAAAGGTTTGATTGGTTTAATAAGGGATTCAATCAGCCAATCAGCTTTCAGTTTTTGATGCAAGAATTCACAAACATAAATGCAGAGCGCAGATATCCAATTCTAAAATTGCATCAATATACTGGGCAGCATAGGTGTACAATTGGAACCAATTAAGAGTTAAAAGAGAACTTGAATTGTAATACAAAACACAGAGGCCTGTACAAGGGCAACTGCATAAAATCCAGAAAGAAAACAAATGGCAATGCCTTTGAGTAAAACTGTATAGATCAGAATGATATTCATGATTATAGTTACCTATAATTCATTAAATAGGTAATATTTTTCATATTTTTGTTTTCAACTTTTTGTGATTGTGCTAACTTAAGATCTTAGCAGAAACTCTAGCTGCCAATAATGAAGGCTTTAATGTTACATAAATAATATCAGGTATTAAATTTTGCAGTCCGCCATAAAAACTGTGTGAATTTGGAAACAGATACGAGATTAAGAGCATAATAGTTTTATGACTGACCCTCATAATATACTGTAACTTTCACTCAAATGTAAAAACGCCCATCTAATTCACTTCCTGAACAATCACCCAGACACTTAAAAAGTCAATATTTTGCATTTTAAACCTGGACTCCCAAGGACAAATTTAATTTTGCAGAAATGAAGCACATAAAAAATCACAGATGACTTAAAATGACTCACCTTCCTCCTGTTGTGCTTGATCTAAGTTTGCTTTTCAATGAGTCATTCTCCCTCTGTAGTGCTTCAGCACGCTCAGTCTCTTCATCAAACTCGCGCTGAATTTTTCTCTTTTGGGCATTCACTCGAGTGCATTCCTCTTCAGCTTCATCTAATTGCCGCTTAAGGGCCTTCATCCTGGCATTTGCTTTGTCGACCTACATAATAACATATAACATATACTGTAAAGAATACAGCTACAAACGATTAAATTGAGAAATTGCAATTATAAATCATGAAAGAAAATCTATCCTATTATCTTTTATACACCATACAATTTAATGGTTATGACAAATTCTTGACCCTCTAAAAGTACCAAACAAGCATGATAGTGAATAAAACAGTTGATATTTCTTAACAGACAAACACAAAGATACATGCCCATCAGCACTTTGAAAAGTGTGTTAAAAGGTATTCCATTCTACCAACTCAGTACTTAAAATGTATAATGTGAACCCCAAAATATCACAAATATCCTCTCTCTGTATATACCTGGTCCTTATACTGATCAGCATGACGTCTCTCATCATCAGCATTCATTAACAATTCCTTGATCTTCTTCTCTGCTCTACGATTACCCTTGGCAAGTGCCTGACGCTCCCTATAACAAACAAACAAGAACATCTTTTCTCAATATCTATCAATCCATGCTTTCATACATACATTGGTAACATACATCATCCTGATGCACGATAAACACATAAATATCTAGCAACTCAGTCTTCTAATAGAGACAGATAACAGAGACAATTGAAAAACCACAAAAATGAAGGGATCAAATTAATTAAGCATCGACCTTTAAGAATGCAATTTTCAAATCTTCAAAATGATTCTAGGTTTAGGTATCAATGTTGCTCCAATGCTGGGGATAACACTAGACTAATCGGAGAGCATATTATATAATTAACGGGTTAGACCAATGGGAGATCATATAATAAATAACATGCTATTATTATCACTGATGATTTTATTAAATTCTAGAGTTTCTATCGGTACTTATAAGTAATTTTGGCGCTTTAGAAATCTTATTTGATCACAACGGAGGATCAAGACAAGCAAATACAAGGTAAGTCTACTTGTTTTTTAAAAAGCTACATAAACATTTTACATAAAATAAACATTTTTCAAAAAAAATTGCCAATCCATCAGTTTGTTCTTTGGTCTCAGCTTTCAATTGTTCCAAATTTATTATGTATTTTAACGGGTTAAGTCGATTCTTTCCTTAATTTCTTTTGTATAAGGGAGATATATTACTACGGAATATACGAAAGGGATGCTCATAAATTTCATAAATTCAGGTTAATTTTTTTGTAATATGGGACATTAATAATTGTATGACATTTAGTTAATATGACTAACATAATATTTTGTATGTATAATGTGAAATTTGATACTGTGCCTAATTTTATATTTTTCAAAATACAATGTAAATACTGCTTCATTTTGTAGATGCATTGTATTTTGAGGTATCGTTGAACTTTTAAAAATAATTTCTCTATATGTTTTAATCTTTTAATTATCTAACATTAAAATTAAATTGACCATTCTAAGAACACATTGATTCACACCAATCCTTCATTACAGACTTCGAAATAAACAAACACTGATTTAGAGCTGTCTGTTAGAGTGGAAGGCTTGGACCAGTAGTTAACAACAGTAAAACAATGAACAGTACGCTAGGACAAGACATGGCTGCCAACCATACACTTATAGATAACACCAACAATACCAGCAGACAGCCTGGTGAAATTCATAAACTATGGGTGGACTTGACTATTAACATTTTTATCTGCCTCTTCACTATAACTGGCAATGGTCTCCTTCTGTGGACTGTATACAAAGTAGAGTCTCTCCAAACAGTTACCAATATGTTCATTGTGAATCTTTCAGGTGTTGATTTATTTACTGGTGTCATTGTACTACCCATGGCAATGGCTACTAACTATGTCATACCTCTTATCACGGGCAACTATATCCAAAACAAGTTTGTTTGTTTGCTCAAGACATTCTTATTGTTATCATGTAATGGGTTATCAGTATTAGGGTTGATAGGCATTGCGATAGAACGTTACATCGCAATTTTGTATCCATTAAGGTACATCAATCTGATGACTGTAAATAAGGCAAAAATCTTCATCGTAAGCTTATGGGTTTATATCTTGTCAATCACCCTTATTATGTTTATAGATGGCCTTAATGTCTATCAACACGGGCAACAATGTACAACTAATAATACCCTAGAGCCATCATACTTCATGCTTCTCAAAATGAACATTTTCCTCCCCGTTTTAGTGACCATAATTGTCTATTCAAAGATCGCGTGGGTTGCATATAAGCATCGAGTGAAGATCCATAGTGAACTCGCAAGCATTGATAATGCTAGAGCTGTCGCTTACAAAAATGAGCACTCATTCATGAGAACATCCACGATTGTAAATGTTGTCTTTATTATCATGTATGGACAGTTTATGATAATATCATCAATTAAATTGAGTCCCGAGCCTGAATGGTATAGGACATTGTGGAACGTATCATCAGCCATCTTGTGGTTGAATAGTGGAGTGAACCCGTGGATTTATGCCATGCGTCATAAGAAGTTCAAGAAAGCAATGCTGTTTGCCCTCAAAATAAAACCAAATGAAGATGACATTGCCTAAAACAGTATAGAATCTGATTTTTCTTGGGATCTGATCTTTTAATTGAAACCAAGTGTGGATTTCATGGCACAGTTTGTAAGACAAAAAGGAAACGTGTGGTTAATATATACCATTTGTACAAATGATTTGAGCCTCAACAGCAGATTAATGCTTTTTCTTTGTAAATATATAAATTACAACATTACACCTGCTTTTATGCTTTTAATTAACGTTCTTTCTTTGTAAATATATAAATGTCACCATTACACCTGTTTTTATGCTTTAAAATCAATGTATTTTCTTTGTAAATATATAAATGTCACCACTAAATCTGTTTTTATGTTTTAACTTTGATAAAGTTATTTAAATGATGGCTAAAAGGTATTTAAATGATGGCTAAAACATAAAATGGCCACCTTTTTTTAATCAAGAAACCATTTTGAAAAAAAGCTGACAGTTGAAAATTCTGTAAAATAGAGCTTTGGCAAATGGTACTGAAGCAGACCAAAGCAAAGAAATATGGTGTCCATTTTGAAACAAGACACCATTTTGTAAAACAGCATCAGGTGACCCACCTAGTGGTTATTATGGATGACTTCTTGATATCTCAACTCAAACTTCAGTGAGAAAATGATGTAAATGCAATGTAAAACCTGATCTTTAGTGAAAATTATTGACTGTGCAGCCCAGTATTATGTTCTTTTTATGATTCACCTTTAGAAATTAAATTGTAACATGATTGTCTCCCAATAGATATGACATCTCATATTCATTTTAATAATAACAAACTAATAACTATGATTCATTTTACTTATTACTCAATGTATCAGGCTCCAAAAGGTTATGGTTTTAATAGCTCAGAAAATTATGTATCTCTCATTGCCTGTTGGATTTCTTTTTACAAAAGTTGGTGATAGTTAAGATGCCTTTTAGAACTTCTAGGTAGAAATTCGAGATTTGAAAGTTAAAAGGAGTCTTACGAAGAACAATATTGTACAAACATGGCCACCTTAGAATTTACCAAGCAGGCTAAAAAACTAGTCAGATCTAGAAATATCAATGAAAATTTTCAATCGATTTATCTGAAAATATACAGATAAGAAAAGTATAAGGTGTCACTGCTAACTCACAAGGTGACAATAATATTACACCATTTAATGTATTATAAAATATCTTTAAAAACAACAGTAGTAGGAGTTCTGAGCCAAAGCAAATGGGGAAACCATGTCTACGTTTTTGCTGCTTCACATAAGATTTTCATGTGATCTAAAACAAAAACTCACACATACCTGACTTCAATGTCGACCTGTTCCTCTAAGTTGGCGATCTTGCTTTCCAAAGAGGCGATTGTTGCCTTGCTACGTCCAGACAATTGGTTCTCAGTCTCCTGCAACTTAGCACGTAGCTCTTTGTTCTGTCTTTCCAGTAACATGTTGTGGTTCTCAAACTTCTGGGATGTTGACTTCTCCGTTGCAAGATCAAGAGACAGTTGCTCAATCTGAACAAAAACAGCAATTCATTTACTTTCTTATTATACTGCGATACAGAATCTTAAATAGAAGTACAATATGAAATAATCTGCGAGTTAAGATTATGCACATTCTGTACGGATGGTTGTCATGTTTCCAGGCTAGTCACAGTTTAAAAAGAATGTTTTCTATAAACTTAATTGATCTTATTTCTTTAATGAGTTATAATGAGCTATAAAAGTTCACAGTCAGTGTGCATACAAAGCGTTTATGTGATCAATGATATTCTATGAAGTGTGAAATTAATTGAAAAGTGACTGATTTTGTGCCATGATACCTCCACAGAGGCACCAATATTTCAATAAAGTGTTTGTTCCACCCACTAACCTGCAGGGCATTCTTTCTTGCTTTGTCACTAATAATCTCCACATTTCCTTGTTCTTCCTCCAGTTCCTCTTCAAGCTGGTTAATTCTGGCCTCAAGACGTCGCTTCTCATCAAGCAAGGCAGACCTACGTATGACAATATCATATGGTAGTTAGTACATGCACAGTCAAACTTGTATAGCCAAACACATCTCTGATATGTACAATATGAATGCTTTTGGTCCCATTTTTTCACCAGCCATGTTGAAAAATCTTGGAATGTGAACCTGCTAATCCAGACTTGTGTGTGGTCCTATAGGTATTTTGATAAGACAAGTTGTACTGTTCATACTTGATTATGGAATAAACATGGTTTCAAACCACAAAGTAGGCTTGCAAAATAATAATTCATTGTATAGCATCAGAGCCTGATTGTCTTAACAATCTTGTATGGTTAGATTGTGCACAACTTAGCATGAATAGTTGCGTAAATTGAATCAGAATTTGACTTATTTGACAATAAATATGACATACTTGCTGGTTGCACTGTTATTAATTTCATCTTGGAGTTCATCACGTTCAGACAGAGCCTGTCTTCGTGCACGTTCTGAAGCAGCTAGATCTTCTTGGAGTTGTAAGTTCTCAGACTCCATCTGTTTGAGCCTTCTCTCCAGTTCCTTCAGATGTGCCTGCACTTCTTCTTTGGTAGCACCATTCTCATCCAGTTGCCCTGCCAGATCCTTCAACTGGGCCTAAAGGAAGTCAAATATCTATTATTTAAAATTAACAACAAAATACATAATAATATTACAGTGTGTGGTGGAAGAGCAGTAACATTTGAACATTTCCAAAATATTCAACAATTACAGTTCAGAATTTTATCCAATTGCATGATGAACTTATTATTAACTTTTGCAAGTTTATTGTACAGCCCGAGTCGGGATTTGTCCTAAATCACAGTTACGAATATTCAGGGGCCAGATGTTTGAGGAGTCCTGAGGAGGATTTGTACTTAATCATTAATTATTCAAGAGCCAGTAGACACAAATCCATTTTACATATATTCAGTAAAACTTCACTATTGACTGAGTCGAAAAAAATGAATAAACTACTTTATTTATGGTAAAAGAAATATGCTGGTAATTTATTTTTACTTACATGGGCTCTCTTCAGTTGCTTCAAGGCATCATCCTTTACTTTGTTTGCATTCTCCAGCTGGCCATCCATGTTCTTGAGGTCGCTTTCTAACTTCTTGCGAGCATTTACAGCACCAACCCTTTGTTTGCGTTCATCTTCAAGCTCAGCTTCAAGTTCTCGAAGCTACAAACACAATTTCATGAAATAAAAAAAATACAACATTAACTCAATTTTTAGGTTTAACATGGTTGTTCTAAATCATTGTACTCCGTTAAAATTTATAATATTGGAGGTTTACATCACATCACACTACATCATATATTTATTTGTTTTCAAGATATCAGTGTATAAATAAATATTTTGTAGTATTTTTTATAGATTCTTATCAAAAGCAGAATCAGACTTTTGACAAAAGTTGTTTCAATTTAAGAATATTTAGGGCTCGTATCATTCCTTGTCATGTATATTTTCTAAAAAATTCCCTAAGTGATGAATTTGAGGAATCATTTTTTGCACTAAAACTTAAACTTCACCAACAAATAGCATTATATAGTGGATCTTTTGGGTGACAAATATTTAAGATTGTAAGGAATACATTGGAAGGTTGACTGTACATGCTACTTGCACTTTTATTTAAGATTGTAAGGAATACATTGGAAGGTTGACTGTACATGCTATTTGCACTTTTATTTAAGATTGTAAGGAATACATTGGAAGGTTGACCGTACATGCTATTTGCACTTTTATTTAAGATTGTAAGGAATACATTGGAAGGTTGACTGTACATGCTATTTGCACTTTTATTTAAGATTGTAAGGAATACATTGGAAGGTTGACTGTACATGCTATTTGCACTTTTATTTAAGATTGTAAGGAATACATTGGAAGGTTGACTGTACATGCTATTTGCACTTTTATTTAAGATTGTAAGGAATACATTGGAAGGTTGACTGTAGATGCTATTTGCACTTTTATTTAAGATTGTAAGGAATACATTGGAAGGTTGACTGTACATGCTATTTGCACTTTTATTTAAGATTGTAAGGAATACATTGGAAGGTTGACTGTAGATGCTATTTGCACTTTTATTTAAGATTGTAAGGAATACATTGGAAGGTTGACTGTAGATGCTATTTGCACTTTTATTTAAGATTGTAAGGAATACATTGGAAGGTTGACTGTACATGCTACTTGCACTTTTATTTAAGATTGTAAGGAATACATTGGAAGGTTGACTGTACATGCTATTTGCACTTTTATTTAAGATTGTAAGGAATACATTGGAAGGTTGACTGTAGATGCTATTTGCACTTTTATTTAAGATTGTAAGGAATACATTGGAAGGTTGACTGTAGATGCTATTTGCACTTTTATTTAAGATTGTAAGGAATACATTGGAAGGTTGACTGTAGATGCTATTTGCACTTTTATTTAAGATTGTAAGGAATACATTGGAAGGTTGACTGTAGATGCTATTTGCACTTTTATTTAAGATTGTAAGGAATACATTGGAAGGTTGACTGTAGATGCTATTTGCACTTTTATTTAAGATTGTAAGGAATACATTGGAAGGTTGACTGTAGATGCTATTTGCACTTTTATTTAAGATTGTAAGGAATACATTGGAAGGTTGACTGTAGATGCTATTTGCACTTTTATTTAAGATTGTAAGGAATACATTGGAAGGTTGACTGTAGATGCTATTTGCACTTTTATTTAAGATTGTAAGGAATACATTGGAAGGTTGACTGTAGATGCTATTTGCACTTTTATTTAAGATTGTAAGGAATACATTGGAAGGTTGACTGTAGATGCTATTTGCACTTTTATTTAAGATTGTAAGGAATACATTGGAAGGTTGACTGTAGATGCTATTTGCACTTTTATTTAAGATTGTAAGGAATACATTGGAAGGTTGACTGTACATGCTATTTGCACTTTTATTTAAGATTGTAAGGAATACATTGGAAGGTTGACTGTACATGCTATTTGCACTTTTATTTAAGATTGTAAGGAATACATTGGAAGGTTGACTGTACATGCTATTTGCACTTTTATTTAAGATTGTAAGGAATACATTGGAAGGTTGACTGTACATGCTATTTGCACTTTTATTTAAGATTGTAAGGAATACATTGGAAGGTTGACTGTAGATGCTATTTGCACTTTTATTTAAGATTGTAAGGAATACATTGGAAGGTTGACTGTACATGCTACTTGCAATTTTGTTGCTCCTTATAGATCTGATATTGCCTTTATTGAAATTTTAAATAAAACATCAATGTTTCAAAATTAACATCACAAGTGTGAGCATTTTACTGACCTGTCTCAGGAGACTTCTCTTTGCTTCCTCTACAAGTTCTTCTTTCCCTTGAAGGTCCCTCTCAAATTGAGATTTCTGGGCTTGCATGTTGACCTCCAGTCTCAGTTTAGCATCCTCAGTGGCCTGAAGTTCGTCTTCTAATTCCTCTATCTGAGTCCTCTGCTCCTCAACTTGGCTAGCAAGAGCTCGTTTGGCCTTCTCAAGATCGTGAACATTTTTACCTACATCATCTTTAGACGAGACTAAGTCTTCAAGTTCACGTTTCTGTTGCATATGTGTGTTTTCTAAACTGCTCATTTGTTCTCGAAGATCATCAAGATCACGGTTCAGATTAAGGATCCTGGTTTCTTTTTCACGGGCTTCACGCTCCGCTGAGTCTTTTTCAATTGATAATCTAGAATGGATGAAAATGAAATTACTATTTATTTATTCAAGTCAGCGAAGATTTATTTTACTTTTCTGGAAATCAGAAAACATAAAATTTATGCTTCCTGTCTCTAAAATGGCACACAATTTTAATCATACCTTTCAGCCAAGTTACGTTCTTCTGCCAATTGTTGATCGAACTTCTTCTGTTTGCGTTCCATGTTAGTCAATGCTCCTCTGGCATTCTCAGCCTCTATCTGAACATCTTCTAACTCAGCCTGGAGTTTAGCACGAGATCTGGACATTTTATCTCCATTTGCGGTTGCCTGTTCGAGTTGTTGTTGCAGGCTGTCCATATCTCTGGCTGCTTTCTTTTTATATTCTTCTAGTTGTTCAATAAATGAATTATCCTCATCTGCCCGCTTCTTTGACTCAGTAATCTAAAGTTGTATAAGGCAGTTTTAAATAATGACTCAGTATTATCTGAATCTGAGTTTTCAGTTTTGTGAAAGTTTTAATCCTGTATTGACTGTACGTATACAGAAAGAAATCTGGTCACTTCAGGCAATCTTCTTTTCTAGTAAATAAGCAAAACCATCGCACATTCTCTGAAAGTTCTCTAATGTTAACCGTTATTTATATTTTTCAATGGGTTTTCAAATATGTGTACCTGTGAATTGAGATGAGAGACTTTGTTCTCCAGTGATTTTCTGGCCTCTTCTTCTTCATCTAGTTGGTCTTGAAGTCCATCAAGGTTGTCTTCAGCCTGTCTCAGCTTGGCCTGAACCTGGAGCTTCTGCTTCGTCTCTTCTTGGAGAAGTTCCTGCGCATCAGCCAACTGGCCTGAAATGTAGCATTCTCCATGTGCAATTCTTATTCTCAGTTTCACTTTACCCTTTCAACCCCTCTCCCACTCTTACTACTCCTACTGTCGAACTAAGAACAAAATGTGACACCATAAATATGATGATAGTATCCACCAAAGATCAAACCTGATATCGAAATGTGTCAAGAATTTTATATTACAGGATTTATTTAACACAAATATACCTTGTTGGTCTTCTTCTTGTAAATGTTATAATAATTTAACAATAAAAAAACAAAAACATACCCTCTAAGTTGGTGACTTGTTTCGCCATGGTTGAAGCTTTAGTTTCTACACCTTCAAGTTGTGATGTAACATTTTCAGATTCATTCTACAACGAGTAAAAATCAGAATTGAGCAATAAAAAACAGTAGACTCATCATACATGTGCCAATTACTGTTCATTTTTAAATAGAATTTCATGACCTAAAATACTCAATGCAATTCAGCACACATATGACATGCATGTCCTTATATATTATTAAGTCTAATATTATTTTAAGTGTCTTTGTTCTAAATCCATTATTTAGTAGAAGACAAAAAGTGAAAATTATTTGAATAATTGAGCTTATTCTACCATTTAATAAAGCACAGAAACACTGATCTAAATAGGACATTAAATCATAATTGACCACTGACCTGTAAACGCTGAACCTTCTCCACAACTTCATTCCTGGCCCTGTCTGTTTCCTGCAGCTTCATTGAGAGTTCCTGGACTTGAGCCTCAGCTTGTTTACGTTTCCTGTCCTGTTCCTGGCGGGCCTGACTGAGTTGTTTGACCTCATTGGCCATATCAGTATTTTCAGACTCCATGTTGGAACGTGCTTTTTCAAGGGAAGCTTTAGCCTAGAATGAGAAATTATATGACATATATTGGAATATATTGAATTTTTTGTCATTTTTTCACCACACTAATAATTACACACTGTTGGCAATAGTGTATGATGGTATATGGCATGGTATAAAATTTGCATCAAACCCTATAACTAGTAGTTGTTAAAAATAATAAAAATAAAAAATTCATGAAAAATGGCAGCCATCTTGAAAATTCATTCTTGAGCAGTCTTATGTCCATAAAGCATCAGCATATAAAATTTGAACCAAATTTCCTACAACTAGTAGTTATTAAAAAAAATTTCATGAAAAATGGCAGCCATCTTAGAAATTCTTTCTTGAGCAGTCTTATGTCCATAAAGCATCAGCATATAAAATTTGAACCAAATTTGTCGACTGGTATATGAGTTACCAAGCATTACAGTGCCCATCTGATTGAATTTACTGAAATCAACTATTGTTTAGAGGAACTTTCAATCTTGAATTATTTTTTCAAATCAGTTTGCTTGTTGTTTTAATCCATTTAGCCAAATGTTAAGAAACTCCTGCCATTAAAACAGGTTTCCACAAAACTTACCTTTCTGGTAGCGTCCAACTGCTCATTGAGTTGCTCAATTTGTGCATTGTGTTTAGCACGGATTTCTTGTAAGTGTTTATCATGCTCCTTGGCTTCAACTTCAATCTGTTGTTTGATATTAACCACTTCAGCTTCACGTTTCTGTTTAAGTTCCTGTGCAGCTGTCGTCAGATCATGAGAATCTTCTAATTCACTTTTCAGAGCTTCGAGTTCCTGAAATATAAATGTTTACTGAAATTACTTCTTTGTTTAATTCAAAAGCATAGGTCTGAGGTTTGATTCACTGAAAATTAAGGTGATCAAATAATAAATCAATTGAACATCTCTTTAATATCACAGAAATGAGGCAATAATGACAGCCAATTGAGTAACTGTGTTTAAGACTTCACATCATACAATATCCTTACCTCTCCAAGATCACGTTTCTGTTTTTCAGCTTTAACTCTGGATTCTTTCTCTTGTTCTAAATCTTCCTGGATTTCCTGGAGCTGATTTTCCATTTCTCTCATCTGTTTGATGGTCACTGATCTGGCTGACACTTCCTCTTCATTCCTTAACAAATAAGTAACTTTTATTACATGATTTTGAGCAACTTCAGAACTGCATACAAATCACAGAGACTGCTCAGATTTGAGCTTTTATGTAAAGTTTTTTCTGACTTATACAAGAGACCGACTTTGACTAATCTTTAAGTCACGCTTATCTTAATGAATATTATTTTCTAATAATAAACAGACAGTACAAAGTGGGGGCTAGCCTTGATGCAAGATGAAAATGATTTGTTTTCTTTTTCAATTCAGTTATTTTCTTTATATCATGTTTATACCCATATACAATACATAAGGAGTGTTACATACATGTTGAGGGCGGCCTGTAGCTCCTCTTCTCTCTTGCATAATTGGTTCTGTAATTCCTGGCATTGATAGCTCTTCTCATTGAGCTGCTCACGGAGGTCATTCAATTCAGCTTCTAGCTTACGTTTGGCTTTTTCCAATTCACTACGTAACTGGAATAATCAATCCATGAACATTGACTTCAGTTGAAAGCACATCAAAAGAAATGAATAGATTTGTTTTTACATCTTTTTACATCGATTTCAACTCTCTTCCTGATTTAGTCTGAATTTTACATAAAACTTAAAAGATTCGGGGTACTTACCAGCTGCTCTCTTCGGAGTCTCTCCTCGAGATCAGCAATAATAGCTTCATACTTATTCTTGAGTTTACTGAGACCCTTGGCCTTTTCCTCTTCTTCTGTGAGCACAGCAGCCATCTCCTGAAGTCTCTCTTCCATCAACTTTCGCTCCTTGGATAACTGAAATCAAAAATTCAAATTGTTATTGAAATTCTATCACACGTGTAAAACAACAGAGACTAAGCACGACATGCATCTTCAACACAAATTATTAGGATATATTGAAACAAAAGGACACACATAACAAGCAAATCCACTTGAGTTTGAAAAAAGGGTAGTCTTACTTATTCATTAATTAAACATTGTAATCTCAATCATTGGTTTATACTATTAATACATTTATTTTATATGAGCATATGATATTTATTTCTTACCTTGAGGTTGGAATCTTCCTGCATGGCGAGAGAGCTCTCTAGTTCCTTGAACTTTGAGTCTAGTGCAACCTTTTCAAGTTGTAATTTCTGTCTTCCTTGTTCTTCCTCCTCTAGCCTAACACACAAATAATGCATTTTATTTTTCTATTCATTATTTCATTCATTTTTTTTAATTTGGTACTACCTTGGACCCACATTTGAACCCAGTGACTAATTTTCTTAAACGAAATATATATGATTATCTGTGACTTACTGTTCTTCAAGATCTTGTATTGTGAGGTTAAGTTTTTTCTTCTCTTGTGAAAGTGCCTGTGTTCTTTCTTCTTCCTCTTCTACACGAGCCTCAAGGTCAGTAAGGATCTCTTCTAACTCTTGTTTCCTTGCAGCGAGCCTGCCCCGAGACTACAACACACATTTTAAATAGCATTTCCAAATGTTCTTTTTCATTAGGTTTATCAGTAAAGATACAGGTAGCTCAAGATTTTTTGCAAAATAAAAGGAATCCTAGTTTGGAACATCTTTAAAATTTGCGATCCAAAATAGGGGTTCAGCTCAGGCAAAATTTTAAGTTTGTGTAGAGTGAAGGCTAGATCATAGGTCTCAATTCTTAAATGGGATCGGGTCAGGAAAATAATTCTAAAATTCAGAAAAAACATTCTGTAAGGCATAAAAAAAACTGTCATATCTTGGGAGGAAGCTAAATAATAAATGATCTCACCTCCTCTGCTTCGGCACATAGTTCAGTCTCTGCTTGGAGCTGCTCTGCCAGAATAGACTTCTCTTCCATCATCTGTTCCTGCTTCCTTATGAGCTCCTGGTAGTCATTGGACTGTTTCTCAAGCTGGTCAGTCACCTAGCAACAAAGATATTGACACAATGAATTTTCAATATTGTCCTTATTAAAATGTTACTATTTCAAAAAAACTACAATGAAGAAGATTCAAAATATACACAAGTTAATTCAGTTCCCTGCCTGCTTTTTATTTTATATTAACATTTGACAATTTTATCTTCCATCACAGGCAGCTGGTTTGTGTGTCCTACCTTACGAAGTTCCTCTTCTTTAATAGCCACCTTCTCTTCCTGTTTAGTGACGGAGAGGACAGGTTTGACCTTTGTGAATAAGCGCCACCATTGCCAGTTGCGCAGTTTCAGATATGAAGAACAGTTTCTTTGAATGATACGAATGGCGCTCAGTTGTTGGAGTCTCTTCTGGAACATTCTGGAAATAACAGATACAGATTAGAGGTAGTGTGTTCAGGGTGAATGGTCAGTTAAAGGTTTTGATACTTATAGAAAATAGAAGACATGAACTTGAGTCATAATCAAATAAAAATAACATGCAATTTCTACTTCTGGGATATTGTGATATTATAGAGCACGTATAAAAGAATATACACGTAGAGACATCACAGGATAAATGGATAGGTTGAAGATCACAGTTGAGTTTCCCATAGGTGGCCATTATAACATTTTACCCTGTAACTTATTAACGATTAGTATCCAAGCCTAGTGCAACATACCACAGTGTTCGGGAGAGACTCGCCTAGCCTGCTATAACAATCTTACCATGGGTTGTCCACCGAATTTTTGAAATAAATAAACTTGAAGACACTAACCCCCTCTATCGTCAGATTTCTCAGAGAATTCTGGTAAAATCACCAAGGTCAAAATCACTCCGCCGCCAGCTTAAAATGAGATTTCCCACTGAACTCTGACATGTTTTCAGATAAATTAGGACCTACCCTATAAATATTTATTCCCGATTAACTTCCCAAACGCTAGATGGCGCTCCAATGGGGTAGGGAAGGAGAAAATGACTTTTTATTCAGAAAACCAAATCACTAACGGTAACCGCTAATGTCCTTACTCAGGACTATATCCTAATAGTAAACTAAATTAGTTTGTTTTCTTCCAACATGGTTATATTAGCATTGTAGGCATTATCCCGATCACAATGGTATATAACAATCCTATATTTGAGAAAAAGCACGGAGGAAAATTCAATCCTTATAGACACAGGTCCTTTTAGCAAAATTCAGGAAATTTGATTTTGAGATTTCTTGAAATTTCTTTGGGGTAGGGGTACACCTTACAGATTGCATCACAGATTGAGTACACCCAACTGAGGTGAACATGGCCATATGGGGTATCATTGGAAAGCGATTTCTACAATAAAGTTCAAGTGATATCCATGCCAAGGCGTTCAATTGCATCTTATGACGTCACATTGGTAGGAAGAAACAAAGGTTCATTCAAAACTGCCCCGCAAACAATTGAATGGCACGGGAGAATGGAATTCGGGTTACTTGGCACAGTGGCCTCGCCCCCAAAACACCAAAATTGCTTCAAAATGTCACGATTTTGGTAGCATTGTTCAGCTAATATACAGCCCTTTAATATGATATGCGCTATTAGGCTTCTCAATGAACTAAAAAACCTCAAAAAGGGATAAAACCTTCAAAATGCCCCAAAAAAGCGCCTTCTAATAGTAAACTAAATTAGTTTGTTTTCTTCCAACATGGTTATATTAGCATTGTAGGCATTATCCCGATCACAATGGTATATAACAATCCTATATTTGAGAAAAAGCACGGAGGAAAATTCAATCCTTATAGACACAGGTCCTTTTAGCAAAATTCAGGAAATTTGATTTTGAGATTTCTTGAAATTTCTTTGGGGTAGGGGTACACCTTACAGATTGCATCACAGATTGAGTACACCCAACTGAGGTGAACATGGCCATATGGGGTATCATTGGAAAGCGATTTCTACAATAAAGTTCAAGTGATATCCATGCCAAGGCGTTCAATTGCATCTTATGACGTCACATTGGTAGGAAGAAACAAAGGTTCATTCAAAACTGCCCCGCAAACAATTGAATGGCACGGGAGAATGGAATTCGGGTTACTTGGCACAGTGGCCTCGCCCCCAAAACACCAAAATTGCTTCAAAATGTCACGATTTTGGTAGCATTGTTCAGCTAATATACAGCCCTTTAATATGATATGCGCTATTAGGCTTCTCAATGAACTAAAAAACCTCAAAAAGGGATAAAACCTTCAAAATGCCCCAAAAAAGCGCCTTCTAATAGGTTGAAGATCACAGTAGAGTTTCCCATAGGTGGCCATTATAACATTTTACCCTGTAACTTATTAACGATTAGTATCCAAGCCTAGTGCAACATACCACAGTGTTCGGGAGAGACTCGCCTAGCCTGCTATAACAATCTTACCATGGGTTGTCCACCGAATTTTTGAAATAAATAAACTTGAAGACACTAACCCCCTCTATCGTCAGATTTCTCAGAGAATTCTGGTAAAATCACCAAGGTCAAAATCACTCCGCCGCCAGCTTAAAATGAGATTTCCCACTGAACTCTGACATGTTTTCAGATAAATTAGGACCTACCCTATAAATATTTATTCCCGATTAACTTCCCAAACGCTAGATGGCGCTCCAATGGGGTAGGGAAGGAGAAAATGACTTTTTATTCAGAAAACCAAATCACTAACGGTAACCGCTAATGTCCTTACTCAGGACTATATCCATACAACTCATGCCTCACACTTAACTACTGAGTTTACTGGGTTGATGGTAAAAGGCCATTTTGTTCATTGCATAGTGCAAAAATCCCAAAATCAAAAGAATCACATTCAAAAATCTCGGTTTCATTAACAAAGGAGTGTATAGTCTAGCTAAATTGTTGAGGAATAGAAACTGGCAGATGTTGCTTTTTATTCTTACTTCCTGGCGATGCTTCCTCTGGCGAAAGCCTGGAAGGTGATGATGATGTCTGTCAGTTTCAAGTCACGTTCTTCCTCCAAGTGAGCGAGCACTCCAGCACGGAAGAAAATCTTGCTCTGTCCAATACGGAACAAGTTCTCATCCAACTCAAGGTAAGCAATCTATGAAAGAATCATCAAACTATTAAAATCTAGACCCGTCTAATATATAACATATTTAAGAAAGAAGAGTATAAATTAATATATTTAAACTATATGATAAATAGAAAGGTTAAACTGGTACTCTTTCACAACTTAAAAGTGAACTTAAAGTTTGAAGTGTGAAGTCAATACAGGAATATTATAGAGTGCACATACTTTTGTATCACTTCAATACATGTTCAGATTCATTGTTTCATGCTTAGAACAGGAAATTTGAAATTTCATGTAGGTGACCAAGGGAATGTTGATCTCATTTTTATTGATAATATACATTTTCGTTTCGATTTAATGTGCAAGTTTAACTTCTCCAATATTTCATTAATGTAACTTACCATTTTTTCACATGCTTTCTTTCCATCCATGAAACCTTTGGGGATGATATTGGGAGTGAGAAGCTCGTAGCGCTGTCTGAACTCTTGGAAAACGATCCTGTTCGGGAAACCCTGTCTGCAAATACGGATGCCCTCCAAGACACCATTGCAACGTAACTGATCCAAAACAAGAGGAGCATCAATCTTTCCAGGCTAGAAAACAATAAATCACATATTAATTTACTGCTGGTCCAAAATTCTATATAATTCTATATAAAGATATTAAACAAAATTCTTTATATTTTGAACAAATCAAATGTGTTGTTTTCTACACTACTGCTGATAAATATCTCATTTTCGATGAACGATTTCCCAGTTGAAATACAAAAGCGTACAAGACAAAAAGTAAATTAACAAACCCAGGTCTTATTAATATTTTTTTATAAAAGACATATATACCTTCTTTTCATAATTGGGGATGATACAACGAACAAAGTTGGGGTTTGTATTGTTCAAGGTTAACATGAGTTTGGTGAGCTGTTCCTTGTAAAGCTGTCCTACAGTTCGGAACATTCCCTTGCGTGTACGGGCTCCAAATGCTGACTCATTTGCTGAGGCTGCTCCCATGCCAACAATATCAGCTGCAAAAACAATTAATATTCATATAATTTTCATAATTCTCATTTCATTTTTCATAGGATTTTCACAGAATATTCCTAAGATACAATACTTATGTAATATATGCTATTTTATTTTTTAATTTATGATTGTTCTCATTCCAAAAATGTATACATGTGTTGCGCTTTATACCAAGTAAAGACATAAGTTGAAAATTAAACAAATAAATAAGTTAAAACAATCATGAAATACTGAGATTAACTGGCTTGTGACAATGGTAATGATGTCACATAGAAAATACATATAAAGAAGACAACATACCATCCTTCCATATGCTCTGCACAAATGGCTCTTGTGAGGCCTGTAGGAGTGAGACAATGTTCTCATTGAGGGGATCCATGTTCTTTACCAGCCACTTCTGAGCCACATACTCAACCTAAAATACACAAACAGAAAGCACTGAATTTTCAATTTCAGATTCACATACAACACGTAAAATCATAAGTCTGAAATATTAAAGTTCACACATTTTATAGGTGTACATTTGGTATAATGCCTGAAGAAAACAAATCTGAGCCAGTGTTACCTTGCCAGCGTAGTGGATGATACTGAAGTCAGCATTGGATCTGAACTCAGCCTTCAGGAACTTTGGATGTGTGGTATGTTGGGCCATGAGTTTATCACAGAAAGTCTTGTCTGTTGCTTTGGGGAACCAGCACTCCTCATCCAACAAGGCGAAAATACCAAGGGGCTAAAATATCAAACAAATTAATTCCATATTTATCAATCTTATGTAAGTGCTTTTGGGACACTAACAGAAAAAAATAAATAAAATACAAACCTCTAAGAGAATTATCTTTTGAAGAAATTAAAGGCAAGAATCTAAGACAAATCTTTATTTTTGTTCCCAAACACCAAAACCTTCAATAATATATGGTGTAAACTATTTCTAAATACTCTTTGCAATGGTATTTAGCATTAATATTCATTCAAAACAGTTTGGTTGGAGAGAGAAGGTGAGAGACAATATTTTACGCAGTGTACCTTTTCAAGCAGGTCAATGGTAGGCTGAAGATCAAGCCCAAAGTCAATGAACTGCCAGTTGATGCCTTCACGTTTGTATTCCTCTTGTTCCAGAATGAACATAGTGTGGTTGAACAGCTGTTGGAGCTTCTCATTTGTGTAATTGATACACAGCTGCTCAAATGAATTGTGCTGCAAACAGATGTGAAGATGTGTATTAAATCATATTCATTAGTCGTTTCTCATGTTTAGATCAATTTTCGACTCGAAAAATTAAAGTGGTCTCTTGGAAGACAATTTCTAATAATGATAAACTAACATAATCTTAAGTAACGAAGACCCGAAGATGTAGATATATTCATTCAAAAAGTCTCAACATTTCATATTCTTTCTTTATTTTATAGACATGATATCAATGGATTGGAAAAATCAACTTTGTAAATTATTTAAAAACCAACCTCGAAAATTTCAAAACCAGCAATATCCAGAATTCCGATAAAAGATGCACCCTGACGTTTGGTCTTGTCCAGCGATTTGTTGATGCGGTGAACAAGCCACTTGAACATGCGTTCATACAGAGCCTTTGTAATGGCCTCAACAGAAAACTCAACCTAGAAATACATAATTAATATCATCCATGTAAAACTGTTTCTATAAATAATGCTACTATCCAGAAGATGTATATAATGTTAAGGCAAGTAAGAAAATTGCAGATAGAGGATTGTGCAATATATCTTCAAATCCTATTTCAAAATATCATTTCAATTTATCATAAAATATTTCAATTTCAGCAGTCACCATTACCACTGCTTACAAGGACATGTACTTCATTAGTGTCAGCAAACGATAAATAATGCTTTACTCAACCATGAGTGCCTTGATTCAGTGAAAAGTACATACCTGTTCTTTTGTTTGTGCTTTGGTCACATAATCTCTACCAACTTTAATCCTTGGCTTCAAGAATGCTTTCGTCACCTCAGTTACATTTACCCCCAATAGATGACAGACTTTCTGTGCGACTGTGTTATCTGGTAGCGTGGCTTGGTCAGAGTTGCGCTCTTTCTTAAATTCAAGGTTGCCAAAGTGTAGGACAGCTGACACGACTTTCTTTATTGCTAGAATAGTTAATTAACAATTGTCAAGATTAATGTACATCCATGAGTTTAATCGATTACGATACATTTTGGGGAGGGGGTAAAGGTTTTCAGACATTACAATTTTCAATATTTTCTAAGTCGATACCCAGACTCATTCCCAGACTCATCCTTTAATCGATTATGATACATTTTGGGGAGAGGGTAAAGGTTCCTTAAACATTTTTAAAACTTACAGATATATGAACATGTGGTTTTTTGATTTAATTTTTAAATTCTTATATGATTTCAAAGTATTTTTAAGAACTCAGAAGCTGAAAGAAGTTTCTACTCTAAAGTAGCTGTCACACTTGGCCATGTGGACTCATCATTGGGCATTAATCTTTAAATAAATCTATCAGATTTTGTATTTGGTGTGGAGGGGAATATCTTAGAGCTATTTGTTTTGCACACTGTGTGTCCATGCCATGTCCCCTCATCTGCCCAAAGTATTGATACGTAGGCAAACAGTGAGCCCACACGGCCTAATGTGACAGCTCCATAAAGCAGCATTAGTAAAGTAGCATTACTCATTAGACAAAATGTCATGCTCCTTGGATAGATTTGCCTTCTGAGATCTAAGACAATATTGAAACATATGAATCACACTTTGCAATATTTTCAAGAGATGGCCTCCTGACTAAACTTACATATTTGTTCATCTGGTGTGAAGTGCATGATGTCCATAGCTTCCATTGAACTTCTGTAGAAGTCTGTGTCATCCATCTCATTCACCTACAACATACAAATCAGATTTTTGTCAATTATATTTATTCTCTAAATAATTCTCTAAAATTAAAAGTATTTATTCTCTAAGTAATTCTCTAAAAGTAAATAAAAATAAATAATATTTTTTATTATATACATCAAAAGGCAGAAATAAACATTTTTCAGAAATGCATTTATCTCTAAAGAATTCTCTTAAAGGAATATTCCTTGCCAGACCCTTTCTCTCTTGATATGGAAGCTATAATCATATATATAGTTTCCATATTTAGCAAAACATGGGAAAATGTTTTAATATGGTCAATATTGATCATTTAAAAATCTAGTGCTCATTTCCAGTGAGCTGCCATCTTTTAAGATTTCTTGCAGGAAGTGATGTCATCAACTCTCAACTTCTATAACCTTGCCCATAACAGTATAGGAAAGTAGCACAAAATCACTTCTAGACAAGTGATCATTACTTTCTGTGCAAACATATTTTCAGGGCTTGTCAACTTAGAATAAAAGAAGAGATTTTCAGAAGGATTAAATAAGATACAAAGTTGAAAAAGAATATTTAGCTGGTTTTGTAATTCTTAATAGCTCCTCACCTAATGCTATATGCAAAGTTGAGAGTCGATGACATCACTTCCTGTGTGAAATTTTAAAAGATGGCAGGTTACTGGAATTGAGCATCACATTTCTAAGTGATCAAATTTGACCATATCCAAACATTTTTGCGTGTTTTGCTAAACATGGCAAGCATATATATGGTTATAGCTACCATATGAGGAGAGAGATGGTTTGGCAAGGAATATTCCTTTAATACTTCAAACAATTTATTATGTGCTCATATAAATATATCCTCTATTTGATACATATAGATGTATTAAGACTCTCACCTGTATATTTCCATTGCTCATGTATCTGTAATTAGCCACATTCTCCAAGAGCAATTCCTTCTTCTCTGCAGCTGATGCACCATTCAGTAAATGGTAGAATATGTGGAAGGTTCTCTCATTGTTGCCCTGGCGGATAATACGAGACTTCTCCAGCAAGTCTGACAAGTTAAGGAAGATTTACCCAAAGACCCAATATTTTTTAATCACACTAGTCATGAAGATAAAGATTTACACTGGTATAAATCTCTAAATTAACATAATTGATGAGAGATCAGGAATGTAACCAGCTTTTGCCAAGGAATGGGGTTCATGTTTCAAAAAATCCTTGGGAGGTTCACATTTCATAACTTTGGCCCTAAATCATTTGAAAAGTGCTCAGAATGGCGAAAACTGCATGATTTTGATCACATTTTTACCTAGTGCATTCACTCAAACCCCACAAACCACCTCCCTTCCCTGGCTACGCGCCTGGAAAAAATCAAAATAACATTGAAAAGACCCAAAAGGTGAATTAAGTAATGTCTATAAAGCCTCTAAAAATAAGTTGTGAGAAATTCCCAATAATTGACATCATAGAATTCATTCAAATCTAATAAAAGTTTTGAAAAAATCTAATACTTCACCTCAATGAATGTACTGGTGATCAGTAAGTACAACTTATTTTCAATTCAATTCTATCTCACAGATTAAAACATGGCTGTTAATCTTATAAAGGATACAAGTCTCAATGTTAGCACCAGATATGAACCCAGATGCATCGAAGTTGATCCTGATAAACTTTCCCTGAAAATAATAAAGGTAAAATATATATGATCTGTAATGAACATTCCAAGCATATATATAGAACGTCTCTATAATGTGATCACAGGGATATACAGATATAATTTATCTGCCTAAATTAGAACATCTTGAAAAGGGAATACATATTTGCCTTTTTCTGGACTGTGAAATATGAATCAATTTATTTTGACATGACAGTGTAAACTAAAATTGAAACTGACTGCCAAACAAGTCTAGGGATCAATTGCGTAAAATATCAAATTATAAGGTGGATACACAGAAAGCATTTATAAAATGTCAACTTTAATTTAACATTGACATGACTATATTTGGCACAGTTAAGTAGCCTGGATAAGATAACAGTTTTTGGAATAGTTTCAAATACCCAGGATGCATAAAAACTGAGGAAAAGATTTAACATAAAGATAATGATAGTTAAGGCATTTATATACAAATAAAACATTGCAATTATAGCATGTATTCTGTACTTTTTTTCGTTTCAATAAAAATTCCAAATTTTTAACATATTTGCATTACCTTTGCTTTACTCAGGAACTTTATTTCACTTCAAAATCATATCCCAATAATATTTATTTGCAACATTTTTATGTGATTTAAGGAAATTATGAAATAATTCACACAGTGCAACCCACAGAACTCTTTTATCAACTAGATTTCCATGGTTACTCACAACAGATCACATCTGAAGTTATGATCAATAAACTGACAGTGCTATTTGTCTGAAGTAACAAAAAGATGTTGCAAAATTACAGGGATGTTAGAGTGAGTAAATGGAAAGTTTCATTTGTGGACATCATTTTTAAGTATTTTGTGGCTTGCACTGTTACATACTCAATGTACATAACCACACCCAGGTAACAACTTACCTTACACACTCTACATGTAATCGATCTATTCTATAACAAGCACCTACCTTGAGTACCTTATACAGGTACACTATCAAATCAACATATACACAAAAACGTAAGTATGTTACATGGTCAATATCAGAATACAATGACAGCCATTGCTGGAACTTTCAACTTTCAAAATGGCACAAGAACATTCTGAAGGTTAAGGTAACAGCCGCCAATGTATTCTTATATTGACTAGTAATATTCAAGGGAAGAGGAATATGTAAAACCTTTTATCTATAATGGAGGCTGAACATTTGAAACGTTTTTTTGTAAGAAGATGATGGAAGGTATAAAAATTGTTTTTGGTGTATATTGATGATTTGATGCTTTCCTAGTATGTAACTGGATTAAAGAAGTCCAGAGCAAATCTTCAACCGTGTATGATATAGTGAGAGGGTGTGTGGATATAGAGGAGGGTGCATGCATTAATGAAGATCTTGACTATAAGGTGATCAGGTCCACTACCATAGGTCTACAATAGGTCTAATCTATACCATAGGTTTTCTGAGTAGGTTTATCTATCATTCGCCTATTTATGAGGGTTTATTCATCAATTATGGTCTATTTTCTATGATCTGTCTATTCATCAAAGGTCTATTTACATAGGTCTATCTGTCTATTTCATCATAGGTCTAGTTAGTATGATCTGTATATTTATCACAGGTCTATTTGGTATGGTCTGTTTATTTCTCACAGGTCTATTTACTATGACCTGTCTACTATCACAGGTCTATTCAGTACGGCCTGTTTTCATCACATGCCTATCTTTCTATTTATCACAGGTCTATTAACTATGATCTGTTTATTTCTCACAGGTCTATTTACTATGACATGTCTACTATCACAGGTCTATTTGGTATGGCCTGTTTTCATCACATGCCTATCTGTCTATTTATCACAGGTCTATTTGGTATGGTCTGTTTATTTTTCACAGGTCTATTTACTATGACCTGTCTACTATCACAGGTCTATTCGGTATGGCCTGTTTTAACAATAGGTCATAAGTCATCTTTTAACAATAGGTCTATTTGTCAGATATCAATTCTATTGATTAACTTTCTCACCTTACAATATATTACATGTTTGTATTCACCAACTATGACCTAAAAAGCTTCTACAACCTCTAAAGTCTAACAACTGTGTATTTGAATTGTTTCTTATGTGTATGAGAAGACACACTAATTAGTACTGAATACAGAGGTGCAAAAAGTAAGTAAAGGATTAGGGGGTATATTGATGGGATTTCCTAAAATGGACTATTTCCTTTTGAGGAAATGTACATATTTGTCTGTGATAGGGAAAGGTATAAGGGGTGGTGTTTAATCATGAACAGGTTAGGAGGAACTTCCCTCTTGTAGAGTGGGAAATGAAGATTTCACAATGAAGGATGAATAAATGTTGATTTCAAGTGAAATACAGGTGTTATCACACAAAATTAGCTTCACTGAACACGTGTGAACAAGAACACAAAAAGGTGACTGAATGTAACAGTAGAGAAACACATAATGGTTAAGGAAGGACCAAATGGTGAAAAACTATGCAAGAAGATGAAACAAAGTCAGGGGAGAAAAGGTAGAGAGGGCACTTTGATGTGATGTGAGAAAACCTGGTATACACCTTTACCAGGTACTACATGCTCTGGATGTTTCTACTTACGAATCTAGATGAGTTGTCATTTTTTGTAGTCTTTGCATTACCAAATGCCTCCAAGATCGGGTTGGCCTGTAACAGCTGAGTCTCAAGCTCCCCCTGTTAGCCCACGAAGGGTAAATATTAAGAGTAACATATTTTACAACATTGTCTAGGGTTAGCTAAAGAATTAGCCAATTCACACATTACAGGAGGAATAACCCTATTCATATAGTCCCATGTTAGAACTCCAATGTCACATCGGTCTTTTTTGATCCACAATTTTTCTTTCGATGTCTGAACTTTGCGACGTTTCTTATTCTATTAGCCCATTCTGATATGCTCTCTTCAACTAAAGAAACAATATCTCTATGGGATATGGGATATTCCCCCCTACATGTGTGTACTAGCTTTGCTTGGTAGCTAATAACAAGCCATGATCAAAGTGACACATCCTGAATTCAAAAATTCAAGAAAAAGTAGTTCTAGTCAGTGCCACTTTACTCATGTAACCCGCAGCAGATTGTATTCATGCACAGCACATCACAACATAGGTGTGTACTTACAAAACGTGACGAATTGTCATTCTTGATGGTTTTCGCATTGCCATAGGCCTCCAGTATAGGATTAGCCTGTAGAAGCTGGCTTTCTAGCTCACCCTGTACAGAACACAGTGTTCCACTGATTAGTATGTGACATAACACAAGGTTATATAGTCTAAGGAATAACTCAAAGATAACACATAATATACGCATTTATAGCATCTTCTTTGTACCCCAAACCACCACCTCATCCAGATTACCCAGTAAATCTATTTTGAAGATATCTTCAGACTTACCGATTTTATCAAATCTTTTTATATCATGTAATCTGATCTGAGATCTAAGAAAAGCTATCTTTGGGTTATTCATTAGGTCATATATCCTAAATAGTGATATAATATACCACACAAAGAACATTACTCAACACAACATGCAGTCATTTGTTATGAACATCTCAAGTCATTTTTTACACTTAACATACTTATTAAAATGTCCTATATCAGAATTTATTATACTGCATACATATAAAGTTTCAAAATCATTTATTCTATAAAATAAAAATCTAGAGGCTGTGGCCCGCTTCATAAAGCTCACTATAATAGCATCTATATCATATTTATACCTTTGCTCAACAACCAACTACAATACACAATAACCTTTTTTAACATTCACAGTGACTTACCATAACACACAGGCTTACATGGTATGTTAACTGGTGCGTTATGGTTAGCTACCGTGATAGTGATTTAAAACTACATTGATATAAGCAAACCCAATATCCGAATACAACCTTAAATCAACATTAAAATTTTAATATGATAACATGAAACTGCTTTCCAATGGTAGTCTTACTCTCTGAGGCAATCCCGCAGAAATACATTTCAACATCTGAAAATCAAAATGAAATAAATTTCTTTGCTTCACTGCTTCCTGCTGCTTTGGTTGTCATATTCAAATCGTCTTCTCATTAATCTGATGACTAAGAATTAACATTCATATACAAATGTATGTACCTGTGCATTAATATTGTTAAGTTATCGCACACATCATTCTGGAAACCATACCCCCTCCTCTTTTCATTTGTCACAGAGTACTCTCTGTAAAGCCTCAGTCACATTTGCTCTGGAGTGGCCATCCAGCCACCGTAGCTTCACAAAATCGACATAGAAAATCTACATCAAATTGCTTATTCTTATATTTTATGCTGGATATTTCTCTCATTTTGGGAAGCTACAGCCGCCGTCCTGTTGCCGTAGATCAAATGTGACTGACGCATAAGTATGCAAGTTTACACATATAGGAAGTCAAAAAGTGATGTTCTTGTTACTGTTAATGTTATAAAATGAACTGATAAATACATACATGTGAATTTTGAAATACATGTGAAGTAAAGTTTGATTTGTTAGACATTCCAAGGGAGGTGGGGGTACAGCACAAGTAACAGAAGTGGTGAATGTATGGAGATATCTTGAAATAAGAATGAATGGTACAGCAAAAAGATCCTGGTTTCTGGGGGAGATGCACCAGACAATTATTTGATACCAAATATAGATATCACATGGTATCTCAATATACAGGATAATTCATGTACTTACTACACAGGCAAAATATTGAAGGATTTGAGAACTTAAGTAGTTCATATTCAACTAGTGATTCATGAAATAATTCAATATCATGAAAAAATTCTTTCTTAAATTTTGAAACACTAATCATCTTGCCCTTGGTTTGTAGTTCTTATAATGGTGTTTATATAAATGATTTAGATAAGTAATGCTATATATAGGCATGTGAAGGATGCCATAAAGGACAATGTTTTGCCTATGTAAGAATAAATAAAAAGAGAAAAACACACAACAATACAAGTATCTGCTTTCTCCTCATAGAGTATACTAGGATTGAGAAGAATCATAAATATATAATTTGACTGATATCATATGTTATCTTTGCTTCATCAACTCTTTCTCAGTTTATTCTATCAGAGGAAGCAAGATACCTCATCAAATTTATATGAAAACAATAAATTATGTACATATGCCACTACCATCATGTTTTAATGCAATTTCATACCAAACTTATTCAAAATCTAAATGTACTTTCTCAAATTACAAAGTCGCTAAGATAGACATGTCTTTCATCCATGCAATATGACATTTTACAATTCTTTTACTTCAATCGTCAAGGTCAAATGAAAAAACTTTCAAAGAGATCAACTTTTTTATTTTTGACTCACTTGGAATCAATTTCATGTTTCACCATTGTGCTATTCACATTCCTAGTTCATCAAAAGTGAAACAATACTTGATAACTTTTTTTCTTCATTCATTCCACATTTGCACGGCAGTGATAACATTAAAACATGAGAGTAGCGCGAGACATATTTGTTGATATTGATGGACGTGTTAATGGTACTTACGAGATTAAGATCCTTGTACTATGTACCAGAGTAAGAAAGGAGAAAATAACACAATTAGAAAAATGTGAATTAATTACATGCATTAATTTCAAATTTGTTGTCCAACTTATCTTTTATATTGTTTATGGGGGTTGTTTCTGATTTGTATTCTCCAATGGTTGCCCTTTGCTTTTTCTCAACAATTGGTTATAAATGTGCGAGAGCATTTTGTATAGGGGATCTTTATTTTCAAATGTTCATTTCTGCTCATTTTCGGGTAAACTCCTAAAGAGAAGATAAATGTATCTATTACAGAGTATAAATAGACGCAATGAGCTACTAATTGTTGTTATTGAACACTTATCCCTTATCAAATGTTGGATTAATTATCAGAAAATAGATTGAAAACAGGGAAACTAGCTTGATCAAACATAAAACTGAACTTCATGACATTAATTGACAAAATTGAAGTAAATCGCTTTTATTTTGCAAGAAATAGCAACTAGCACCATCATTGCCCATTTAAAAAATATCCTCATACCCAAGATAACATTTAATGTTATTATTCAAATCAATTATTGCCAGTTACCTGTTGGACAAAGCCCAGCAATTGAAATATGTCAAGTTTATACTTCTGTGATAGCGAAAAAAAGAAGAAACCTTATAATGTTATTTATCATTTTTTGCCATATTTCCCAGGCATGTTGATGTAAAGACACGTATTATATGACACGTTCAACTACTTTTATTTGATCTTATTCTCAGGTGTGTGAAATAAGGTAAATATATGAGACATACAATGAAATACTATCTGGGTTCTATTATTATGCAAATTATTTAGCTCAAATAAAAAATTTAAATCATTTTTATCGAAATACAAAATGACAGAATTTGACAACCTTTCAAATCAATTAAATCAGAGACAAGTTATGATATGGTATATTTGTATAAGATATATAATCAAAGAAAAACATAATATAAGAAAACTTTGATATTCTAATATGCATTAGAGATAGTTGGACAACATTTATCATTTGTGATTTTTGAGATAACAAAAAAACAATTTGATTATGAATGCTATTGTAATATTAATCTAAACTAGAATACTGAAATCAAAGTGCTTGTAACTGACAGAAAGTGATGTTTTCATTTTAGTTTAATCTTTTATTAAATCATTACGTGGACTCAAAAACAAGATGCTACACACATACTGTAGATGCATATCAAAATTTATGTCAACAATTTTTATATTTATACGATATATACTGAATTAAAAATATAAACTAGGTCAAACCTAAATATGAAGAAAACTTTTGATCTTTTATCAACATATTAGTAGGTGCGCTTCCAAGCCAGTGTTAAATATAGCAGATTCAAAAATAATCTTATTCCATTCACATAAATAATCTTAAAAGATAAATATTTAAAATGCTGATGTTTACAAGACAAATGCAAAGGAACTCATTTACAAAAGCGCAGACAGAGATAGGGCAAACATGACACACGAAGACAACATGAATTAAGCTTTTAAATGTAATTTCTAGTCAGGTAGGAATTAAATTAGATGAGTAATTAAAATGCAATTAAAATATGAAACTAATTAAAGGTAAAAAATTAAAATACAAGGTAGACTTTTGTTTAGTAGGTGCATTATCATAGACTGAAAAAAGCATGGGTGAGGTGAAACGGCTCTTGAGACATATATCTGGAGCTTTCCAATGGTAGTCCTTTTTAAAGCATGCTCAGAAACAAAGTAATAAAAATGCATTTGAGAAAGAAATATGTAAATTATTTAAACCTAGAAAATAGAGATACTGAAGCAATTAGAATGAGTATGGCTAAAATAAAAGCTGGAAAAAATCAAAATGAACAAGTTATTAACAAAAACTGGAGTGTTAGGACCAAAGTTAGTAAAAACTGTCAATATTCATCAAAATATGAAACCAAATGCCCCCTTCTTTTGAGTATTTTAATAGAACCCATTAAAAACTATGACTAACGAAATAAGCACCTTTCAAATTGTTATAGCTTTTATAAACATGATCAAGAGAAGCAGTAATATTAATGTGTAACCATGGCAACAGCCTCCAGTTTTGTTAATGGGTACAGTAGCTACATTACAACTAGCTGACACCAAAGCTGTCTGACAAAAAGCATCACAAAAATCACTATAAAATAATCAAATTCACCAATAATCACTTTTATTATTCATAATTAAAATATATGATGCTGCATGAATTGAATTTATATTGGTGAGTTTTTTGTGATGCTTTATGTACAATAAAGTGTACAATATATACATGTACAACAAAGCATACAGTACATACAATGAAGCATACAATACATTAAGCTAATCTTGAGATGCATATTAACCCTTCCTGTATCTACAAACTTTACCAAGTGACAGGGAAGGGTTAAATCATGCAGTTCTTAAGTCTCATAATTGCACCCTTATCAATTTTGCAAAGCTTAAAAGCCAAGCATAAAACTGTAACAGCCATAAGCATGAACTCAATCACAATTATCATTAAATAAATCAAAGTCTTTCTGAATTTGTGTATGTAAAATATAATATCCTTCCCCCAAAGGAAATATTGAAATGTTATTGTGGAGCTCACACACAAATTCTATAAAACTTGAATATCAAAGCAGATGGCCAGATCTGTTAGAAACTGGTCGATTAGATTATAAATTAATTTGTTATATCTAGACGATATATCAGAGACCAATCTATTCCACATCCAACCCAGTGCTATATAATCCGAACATAGCTCTGTAGTGTTATTCCATATTTGAGAGTAACTTTATGTTTCCATTAAAAAGGGTGTGTTCTTGAAGTATGACAAATACCCATGCTGCCATGAGTTCTCTCGTACCATATATATAGTAATCTCTCAAAATAATTTCTTGATAACCAAAAATGCAAGAATGTAGCTTTAAAAAGGTGAGCATGTTCAGGATTACATAACACTATAATTAATTGATCGCCAAGTTCTTTAAACTTACATGCATTGCGTTGACAACATTTGCAACGCTTTGTTTGCCATGTTTGAGTGACGCAGCCACGTACGCCAAATACTGAATGACTTTTTTGGTGTTTTCTGTTTTCCCTGCACCTGATTCTCCTCTGCAAAAACAAGACATTGTTCAATTTACTCTATTTACTGATTGAGACTAAACACAAATGAAAAGTAGAAGGTGATAACATGCAAGATGTCACCACCAGCCATTTGTTACAGATACACCAAACGCCAAACACCGTCAGTTAGACTATAACAATATGGTACCACTTCTGGTGGTGACATAATAATATACTTTAATCAGATAAGTTTTGCCAAACTGGGATAAGATGTTTGAAGATTGTAAAATCAATGGCCTCAGCTGTCAATTGCTCTCATAAGCGTTAGATAAAGAGGGATTCAAACTTACAGAAGGTGTACCTGAGTGAATTGTTTAAAGGAAAATGCGGTGTACATTCATATAAAAATGGATTCATTCTAATTTCTAATAATGATAGATGATGCTACATTTTCTCTGAAACCATGGTAACAGTTAACCATGGCAATGGTTATTTCTATCAACCACAAGTCCCCAAATCATTACATTGACATTGAACAAATGGAAATGCAAGATTTATGTTGAGGTCATGTTATATTAACAAGTCATTTTTCATGAATGACACAAGTCAGAAGTTAGTAGTTAAATATCCAGTTAATACTTTCATTACATTTTTCCGTCTTAATATTTCAGTATGTAAATATTTACTTAATTGTGTCACTTTTAGATTTTTAATGTATTTCCTCTGTAATTTGAAGTCTGGAGATCAGTGTGCAGTATATAAATCTCAACTTGAACCTTGTTCATATTATGAAATCTGCTGTTCCCCACTATTTTCACAACTTAGTATATGTTGATTAGTTTTGTGTTACCCTCTCAAGTGTAGAGAGATGAAGATTGATGAATATATCATCTTACTCAGGGAAAAATACAATATTATGCTTTTTTTGTGTAGAGATTAAAAATTGGAGGGAAGGGTAAGTATAACTCACAAGTAAACATGATGTAAGTAGTGATTTTCTACTGTTTAATTTTAGAGAGATTTGGGTCATAATTGGGACATTCTATCCAGTTAATAGTTTTGTTTAAACTATGGAACATTTTACAAATAGTTATTTTATACTTTGAACCCAGAATACTGTATACTGAAACCTGTATATCAGAACACCTCTATAATCCGAACACCTATCAATGTGAACACTCTTTCACATTTGTAATCTCCAATTGACTTAAATGTTCTTTAAACCTTGAAATGTGGGGACCTGTTAATCCAAACAATTTTGGCCCATCCCTTCAGATTAGACAAGATTTAAAGAATTATTGTTTATAGATTCCGCCAATATTTAACGCCTTTAATCACCACTTAGAATTGTGAAATCACCACAAGTACTTTGAGCGCTTAATCCCTTAAAAGATTAAAAATATAAGTTGAAAAGAAATGTGAATAACCATATCTCATAAAAGAAAAGTAAAATATATAGAAACATGACGAATACAGGATGTCATGATAACTCTGCCGCTGTACTAGAGAATGTATTTTATATATTTGATTAAAACTAACATTCATTTCCTGTTATACTATTGACTCTCCTTGAAGTGTTTATTTTAAAATGTCATTTTACCTCTATGTAATCTTATACTGCACTTTACAGTACTGTACAAGCACAGTAAAAACTGACTTATGCCAACACTACTTGGACTGGTCAAAAGTGTTCAGGTGTTCACATTTCGAGGTTTCTTAATAAGTGAATCAAAATCTGAACCAAGAAAGTGTTCACAATAAGAGGTTTTCGGATTAGAGAGGTATTCTGATATAGAGGCTTTATTGTATATAAATGCATATAAAAGGTACCTGATACTACTTATGGGTTGAGTCAAAATATGTTCTATAGTTTGATTAGAACAACATGAATGAGAAAAAACACTTATTTACTCAAAACAATAGGTTATTTTGGTAAAGATAATCTGAGAAAATGTGTACCTTTGGTTGTTGCCTTGTCATTTCTATGCAATTTTGACAGAATCCCTTCCCTATTTAAAATGAAACAAAATGCCGATGTTCTCAGTGAAAAATAACATTGTTGACAAAAAACGATGTTCTGACTTGACCTCTCATATTGTTTGAACAGAACAATTGAAATAAATAAAAAAAGAAAATACGTAAAACATGGGAGGAAATGATCAAGTGTATAATAGGATATAGAGGTCGAACAAATTGATGAAAGACATAAACTACATCTTTATATCAAAACACAAAAAAAAAATTAACAACATTATAAGCCAAACTTAACCATTTACTTAATCATCAATTGGCATTGTAAAAAATAAAACCTTATGGTAGCTGTATAAACCAAAAAAATATCATAGATTGACAGAATGTATGTTCTACAAAGCGATAAGAAGTTTTCACTTATATCTTTACTTTGGGAGATTTAAAATTTTCATGTTTCAGTTCCATGTTTTACCACTTCATAGGGAGTCTAGAAGACTACTACAAATAAAGGTGATACAGGTTATCACATCTCCAAATGCTTCATAACAACAGGGATTTGTAACAGTGGTCCTAGAGATAAATTCTTCAGCACAATATATGAAATCTTCAGTCAATATTTTATTTGTAAATACAGAGAAGACTGAAATTCATGATAAATATAATGCACAATCTAGTATAACTTAAAATTATCCGCAAATGCCAGAAATCAGGCAAATAATTCAGACAGGTTCGTAAAAAGTGAAGAATGATTCTTATTAGGGTGAAACTTCACGATTAGGAGGGTTAAATAAGCTTAAGTGGTTCACATTGATAAGTTTCAATTAAGGCTACTTATTACAGAAATGAAGAGGTTGCCCTTATCAAGATTTCAATAAGTATTAGCAATGAACAATTGCATATTTCTAATAAGTAGATGACTATGATTTGTACTAATTAATAATTAAAAAGATAAGTAACTTAATTGTAACATTGAAAAAGTTTTTCAGAAACTGTATCCCTAGTTTTCTACCTGACCCCCAAGGGTTGAATCTCAGTGAGGGTCAGGAAATCAGGATTTATATCAATTTTGGTTTCTCCAAAGTATGCTAGATCACAATTCTTGATGTTACAATATAAAGATCATAAATCATTAAAAAGAAAATACCTCAGAGGAATTTATAAATATTGAGAATCCAGTTCTACACCCAGATATGTTTTCCTCATAGGGTGGATGAGGTCAAATATGAGACCTGTTAGATATCACTTCATCAACTTTTTCACTTATTCACTGCCACTTCTTATAAGATTCATTTCATGATAAAGAATATGTTAATCACATTGTTAAGTGGAGAATGGTGTAGTTCAGAATGGTGGCAAATCTATCAATTACATTCTCTGGAAATAATACTCCCTGTTTATAGAGAATGGTATATTACAAAATGGGAGCAAATCTATCAATTACATTCTTAGAACCCTGGGAGTAAAGTATTTCCTCTCACTCTCAGTATTTTTAGATAACCCTTTTAAGAGTTCAATTTCACGTCTTTAAAAAGAGCTTAATCAACAGTTGTAATTTCTGCTATTCTCTGAATTTGAGGGTTACGCAGAGACCCTAGAATATCGGATAATAATTTCTCCAGGATAGTGAGGTATTATAATATTAAGTACCCCTCTCTCTACAGGTCTCTTGACATGTACTTACGTGCAAAGGATGGACTGATCTTCTCTATCTGAAAAACACAAGAAAACATTCGATGAATAAACAAGAAAAATTCCAAGGACATGTAAATGATAAATTGGCATATCAAAGACACACCGATGATTTTGATACTTATACTAAGAAATTGGCATATATGCCTATATAATATAAAACACAATGAGTTCATGGAAGTATAGTACAAGTACATATATAGTAAATATACAGTACAAGTACATAAATATACAGTACAAGTACATAAATATACAGTACAAGTACATACATATACAATATCCTTTACATGTGCAAGTACTTCTGCTAACTTGCAGACAACATCTACATATTAAAATGTCATGATCATTTTAGACTTTTGGATAACTTTAGTATAACAATATGTCACCACTTCTGGTAGTGACATGAAAAAGATATTGTCAAACTTATAAATAAGCCACCTTATAGCTAAACTGACATCTGGGCAGACTTCCCAGTTTATATGTAGCATAATGCAAGCCGACAGAGAGGGGCTGAATATGAGAATGGCAAGTTTGGCAACTATATTTATGTTTGTTCAAAAATCTTTTAATAAGAAGGTTATGTTGTTGTGTTATGTTGTTCTACCCCAAAAACCTCAAATTTGAGCTGAGGCATACCAGCATCTGACACTTTTGACTTGTTTAGTTGCTCAGTGGTTTGACATTCACGGTGGTGTTCATTTCACATAGAGACTTTTCCCATAGAGTTTTGTCACTTTGACATTTAAATCCACTAAATGTTATATTCCCATTCTGATACTCATAGCATCTCTCTCTGTTGCATCGCATCCAGAAGGATAGAGATGGAGAGGGCGTGGATTACCACAATGTTATATTCCTAACTCAGTCGAATGCAAAGTTACATGGAATACCTCTAACCAAGCTGAATGCTTCATTTATTCATAACAGGTAGTTGCAGAGAACTTGCAACTACCTGTTAATCAGCACATTTAGTTTTGACCTTAAAATCAACTATTACCAACATTCACATTCTCAATGGACACTTCGTAATCTTTTTTAGATGTTCACACTGAGTTTGCTAAAGTATCCCAGAAAATAGGGAATAATGTTATAAACAGGCAGATAATAACTGAACAGGGCATCATTCTGCAAATGCTTACAGTTAATTAAATTATATAGCATATAAATTGAATATGTACTTATTCAATCAATAAACAGAATTGTTATCTACATCTTCCCACTGACAAGACAATAATAGAATTTTAGAAAAATAGAAACATCCTATATCATTTTTCACAGATGATGATGCTGATGATGTTAATGATGTTCAGGATCATAGGATGGGCTTTTAAAAATTCATTCTGTGTTTTCATTAACTAATCCTGTTTTTGCACAGTCAAATTTCTACCTACAACATCATCAAATTAGCCAATACGAGGGGTGATCCAAAAGTCTTGGACGCTCCACTCTAACTTTGCTATTTTCTAATATAATTGCACGAAACTTTCAGATAACTAGAAGATTGCAAGCAATCTTACGGAGGCCCCGTAGGCTGTTTTGAACATTTAAAGGTCAGCCAAAGGTCAAATCTTAAATACAAGGACATATATGAACTCCAGGCATCTTGTAGATGATTTTTAAAAAAAAGTTTGGTCAATTTGAAGCAATGTGAAATTTGACCTTGAAAAATTTCAACATTAGACCTTTTTCAGTTTTTGAGGTCCAATATCTCAAAACTGGTGCAGAATTTTAATAGATAATCAATTGTTATTATGTGTAAAACCTTTAGAGGAATATATATCCTGACTTTAATTCAAAAATATTGATTTGTAGTCACAAACTTTGAGAAACTTAGAAAACACAGTTTGTGATCTTGTTTGATGACCTTGACCTTTGACCTTACAGGTTTTACTTTTTAGACCTCAGTATATCTTTTCTGATTGAAGAAACCTAAATTTTAATCCAGAAAATCAATTTGAAAAATTAACTTTTTTGACCTTTCGAAGGTCACTGAAGGTCAACTAAAGGTCATAGTTCAAAACTAAGGTCAGATTTGAGTTCCTGAGATCTTGTAGATGCTTTTTTAAAAAAAGTTTGGTCAATTTAGAGCAAGTTGAAATTTGACCTTGAAAATTTTTGAAATTTGACCTTTTTTCAGTTTTTGAGTTCTAATATCTCAAAACTGGAGCAAAATTTTAATAAATAGTCAATTGCTAATATGTGTAGAACCTTTAGAGGAATATATATTCTGACTTTCAGTAAAAAAAATTGATTTGTAGTCTCCAATTTTGAGAAACTTAGAAAACACAGTTTGTGATTTCTTTTGATGACCTTGACCTTTGACCTTGCAAATTTTACTTTTTTAGACCTCAGAAGATCTTTTGTGAATAAATATACCTAAATTTGAATCCAGAAAATCGATTTGAAAAATCAACTTTTTTGATCTTTCTGAGGTCAATGAAGGTCAACCAAAGGTCAAAGGTCAAAAGTAAGGTCAGATTTGGAATCCTGAGAACTTGTAGATGAGTTTTAAAAAAAAATTTGGTCAATTTGAAGCAAGTTGAAAAAAGACCTTTTTTGACCTTTTTTTGACCTTCAATATCTCAAAATCTAGGCACAATTTCTCTAGACGGCAAAAGGCTAAGACTAATAGAATACTAATATCTATCTGTGTGCAAAAATTCAGCCAAAAATATTTAAGTGTAGTGTCAGGATTTGAGAAACTTGAAAAAAACTTAGATTTGACCTAGATTTTGACCTTTGACCTTGACCTAGATAAAAATTCCTTTCCCGCCAAGTTCAGCCCAGGTCCCTAGTAGGACTATGTAGTACCTAGTTGAAAGGTAGTTGGAAGTAGGAGAAAAAGAGGGAGGAAGAATAAATAATAACTAGACATGTAAATTGAACAAGTTCAATTTAAGACTCCAGATTTCACATTTTTTTAAGCTGAGTCATCCAGAACTTGTAAGCTGAGTCATTCAGAATAAGCTGAGTCAGCTAGAATATAGACATTTAGACAACTTTTAAGAAGGCTATCTTCGACTCTATTAGCTTAACATGGGGATATCATCATATCGACTTTTCGAGACTTCAAACCGCTATAACTATCTAACCAGAAGTTAGATCGAAATTTGGTTTAAAGATTCTGATTCCTGAGAAAATTCTACCCTTAATTCATAACTCATACGTTAAATTTGGATAATTTTTTATTTTGACCTACATTTCGGACACCATATCTCAAAAGTGGGTCAAAAAACTTTCTGACGGCAGAAGGCTAACACTATAAGCACACTCTTTGCTACCTGTATACAAAATTTTGAAGCAAATCCTTAAAGTGTAATGTCAGAATCGCAAAAATAAGGAAAAACTATGAATTTGACCTAGATTTTGACCAAGGCATTTTTGCGTCCAAATTTTAAAGCTAGATAGCCTTCGAGGTCCCCTCCTTTTATAGGCTTTCAGAATATTAAGCTGTACTCAGTCTTTATCTGGTATTTTACACTTCAAAAAATCCTTTTTCTCATTGACATAACATGGGGCACCAAATTTAGCGATTTTTGAGCTTTCAAAACCCCATAACTTTCGAACCGGAAGTCGGATCGTAATTTGGTTTGCAGATTTGGATTCCTGACAAAATTCTACCCCTAATTCATAACTCATACGTTAAATTTGGATTTTTTTTATTTTGACCTACTTTTTGGACACGCCATAACTTCCGAACCGGAAGTCGGATCGAAATTTGGTTTGCAGATTCGGATTCCTGGGAAAATTCTACCCTTAATTCATAACTCATACGTTGGATCTGGAGAACTTTTTATTTTGACCTACTTTTCGGACACCATATCTCAAAAGTGGGTCAAAATACTTTCTGACGGCAAAAGCCTAACCCTATTAGCACACTCTTTGCTACCTGTATACAAAATTTGGAAGTAAGTTATTCAAGTGTAGTGTCAGAATCGTAAAAATAAGGAAACACTATGAATTTGACCTAGATTTTGACCTAGGCATTTTGGTGTCCAAATTTTGAAACTATGTAGCTTTTGAGGTCCCCTTCTTTTATAAGCATTCATTATGTTAAGCTGTACTCAGTCTATATCCTGTATTTTACACTTCGAAAAAGTCTTTTTTCCCATTGACTTAACATAGGCACCAAATTTAGCTATTTTTGAGCTTTCAAAACGCCATAACTTCCGAACCGGAAGTCCGATCGAAATTTGGTTTGCAGATTCGGATTCCTGAGATCATTCTACACTTATTTCATAACTCTCATGTTGAATTTGGAGAGTTTTTTGTTCTGACCTACTTTTCGGACGCAATATCTCAAAATCGGTAAGAGTAATCAAAAAATGATTTGCCTTACGGAATTAGCGGTTTTTCCAAGAAACATGATGAAAAAAAACCGGAGCAAAAATATTGAAAGACGACTGAGAAAAGTGGTGAATTAGTGAAAATCAACGATTTGACCTAGTTCTTGACCTATGACCTAGATAGAAATTTGACCTAATTTCCCAGAAAGCCGGATACAGTCCTTAGTTAACCATGTAAGTTGGATTAAGTAAGCTGTTATAGTTGACGAGAAATTTGGTGAGGAGGAATAATAATAATAATAAAGAAAACAGGCAAAAACAATAGACTCCAGATTTTCAATCTGGAGTCTAATAATAAAGAATAATAATAATATCTACAAAATTGATAGGAGGCCCCTTCGGGGGGCCTCCTAATAAAGATCAACATCTTAACAACATTGTGTATAAGTTTCAACAGAAAATAATATATTTTAGCTTTTTGGTAAAGATTCTTTAACACTGGGTCCCTGCCACCCGGAACGGTATTTTTAAATATAGCAAATCACGTCACAACTGTTATAATATGGCAAATACTTTAGGTGCGGGTGCACATCCTAACACCAGTCATTATATGAGAGAATTTCCGATTTTCAATCTGAGTGTCATCTGCTATCATCATCTTCACATATTAAGACCTACTTTTCAACATATTTTCCACGAATTTGAACCCATTTTTCATACTGCTTTGCCAATGA